ATGTGCTTTTCAAACTGCAGAAATTCAATTTAATTTGGGGGTAAAAGACCTCCTGCTCAGGGGGCGAGAACTTCCCATTGGCCCAGAGATTTATATCCTACAGAACCTAATGTTATTTGATCAGTGAAACCATGTGTGTACGAGAACTTGACTCTGTTTATTTACATTTCTTTCCACAGTTTCAGGGGTATCATTAGGAAATTATCTTGTTTATGATATAATCTGGTTTACAATTCACAAGCTGAGCAGAAGGATAAACAGGTAGTGGCACCAAAGGCAAATATTTCCTGTGACCAGATGTTATGTAGTAATCAAACACAGTTTACCTGCTGCAAACATGACTTGTGACAGATTTTTTTAAGTAATTTAAAAATGATAACCACCAAAGACTCAAAAGAAAGTCCTTTGCGTGTAACTTAATTCCCACATACCATCTGTGGATGTCATTGACCTGATTTGCATTATTTACCCTGGACCTCAGGACCCATTAAAAACCCATAACAATGGGTCACAGGAAGTATTTAGTTCCTTGGAGAGAAGTCCCTTTTGGTCAGGAAGCACCCTAAGATCCATATATTCTGTATTCTGTATTCTACTCTCCACCGCTAAGAAGTCCTTTTTGTGCTCTTGTCTTAACCTCTGTTAGTTGACTCTGTACTCCCAGTTTGTAGCCTTCTACTTTGCTGCTGCAGTTCCCAGTTCCTTCTGTTCCCACCATGCCAAAGTTAAAGCCTCCATAAGCTGAACTACCGTCATCCCAGCCAGAGAGGACAGTCGTTTATTTTGTTGGTGTTTAGTTTCTAACTCTATAAAGCACTTTGGGCTACTGGGTTATGAATGAACGGTGCTTTCTAAATAAACTTGTCTTACCATCCTCTCAGCTCACTTCCCAATGAATACCTCCTCCAAAACCCTCCTCCCACACTGGAGGACATAATAAAGCATTTGTAAACCCTGTGAAACTTTATAGTCTAATAATCGAGGAATTTACTTTTGAAAGAATATCTGTCTCTCTTTCATTCCAGCTTTTGTCAGACCCGATCCTCTTAATGAGAAAAGTTTCATGCTATTCTGTATTGTTATGCCCTAGCACCAAGTTTTACTTCTCTTTTATTTATTTTCTGTTGCTCCTGTGCCTCTAACTGTCTCCATTTACGACTGTGTATTTGTGGTTTTGATATGGCAATCCCTCCCTGTCTTTCCTGGCTCCTAAATTCTTGGTAATCATGCGTACCTGCTCAACCTGCTCGCCTGCACCCCACCCAGTTATCAACTCAGCAGGATTTCCAACCCGGATCTTCACCCACACTCTTTGCCAGATTGTCCTTTCACAAAAGCTTCAAGATTCTTCGTTCATTCATTCATGTTTTCAAAGTATTTTTTCCTCCTAAATTCTTGCGTGTCTCCCTCAGGTCTGGTGAATCATTTACCTCCCAAAACAGCCTGAATTCTACTCAGTTTTCCGCCATCATATCTCACCGTAAGTCTTTCAGTATTAATAAATCCACATGAATATTTAGCTCTTGTGTTTGTGTCTTACATCTGGGTTTACTTCACAACACTCACAAGCTCAAGTAACTGCAAAACAAAAAAGTTTAAAAATAAAGTTAAAAATGATCAGAAACTAAAACTTCAGATACAAAATTCGCACATGAAAGCAGTTGGGTAAAACTATTCACATATGGTGTTGGACATCAAACTTAATCAAATATTGACCATAGATTAGATAACTGAGAGGATAATCCAAATAAGTCTGTCATTCTTCAACAGTGTTTTTTTTACGCATGCTTGCCTGTTGAGGTTTGGGAATTTGTTCGGATGTTAGAGAATAAATACTTTGGCAGCTGCACAAGATAACATACTGATCATGCATTTCCCCAGCCACTCACAAATCAGATCAGAGAGAAATCCCTATGGAAAAAGATATTTATGTTCTAACACAGTTGGCCTATGAGGACAGGGTTACCTCCGAACAGCCATGAAGACGCTTAATGTAACACAACTTCACAAAGTTGACTGAGACATGCATCTACACTCTGTCTTTGTTTGTCTACGGCTATTCCTGTGCTGCTGTTTGCATTTGTGTGAGTGTGTGTGTGTGAGATGGAGCACAAACGTCTCTTGAGTAAACCAGAAGCCAACTCAGAGTTCTGGCCGTCATGACTCCGCTTAAGCTTCCCAGTCACAGAATGTTCACTGAGGGAAATAAATGTGATTATCAGAGCTGTTCTTTCACTAATGTGACGTAACGCCTCGTCTAAAAATAAAACTGAAAAATTCTGAGCCCCTTTTTTGGTTAGATTCCTAACATTTATAGCCTGGATTTAACCCGTCTACGTCAACAAATCTCCAGACTGGGAGAAAGCAACAGGCAGGATTTTTCTGAATCGTTTCAAACAAATTGGAAAATGAACCTGAACTCTTGTGGTTTGAAGCTTGAGTCGCAGCTTTCAAGTCTGGAGGACTTTGGTTATATCCAGACCCAGTTTCTTTGCCAAGTTGACTATTTTCATCACATGTATATTTTAAACTACTGCACAAAGTTTGACTACACCCCGACAGTCCAAACACAACTGAATTTTTCATAGTTATTAGTAGCTGCTTTATTTCAGGGCCCACTGAAATTTTGTGAGAGAGGGATGTATCCACCTTTCGTCAAACTTTTGACAGGTCTGACCCTTGCCCTAGTTAGAGCTAATTTGCATAGGAGAGGGGTGGGGTGAACTTCTGACAACCCCCCTTTTCCCACGGGAGGGGGGTTGCCGCACCCCTCTTTTTTCCCCAGACACACGTGTGTCTGAGCGTCTGGGGTTTTGTGTTACAACTACGAAGATGTGTTTAGTATGAGCACGTTTTAACCAACTATGACATACCATGAAACCATATGATACCGCACGGATCTATCTTCGTATACATAAACCCTGAGGTACCCCCTTTTTTTTCCCCCAGGCATACACGTGTCTGGGAGTGTTAACTAGTAGTAAGAAAAGAGCTTATGGTTTGGAAAACTAAAAACAAACTAAACAAAAGACTTTCATTTCTCACAAAAGAGACAAGTGTTTGGCGGGATACGAAATACGGGTATAAACATTCCATCATATATAAAAACCAGCTTATGGTTTGGAAAACTAAAAACAAACTAAACAAAAGACTTTCTTTTCTTACAAAAGAGACAAGTGTTTGGCGGGATAAGAAATACGGGTATGAATATACCATCACTCCGAGTTGCTCTACGATGGAGCAGGCCCACAAGACGTGCGACTCAAAACTCAACACGATGGCTCACGGTGAAAAGACTTTGCGTTTCTACACACATTTCTCCTTATTTATGTATAACGTTTAAAAATATTAAACGAAAGACCTGTGTATTTTAGCATTTACCGTCACCGCAGATGTCCACCCAGCACCGCAGTTTTCTGGTAAGTAGTTATTTATTATTTATTACATTTAGTATTTTTTATATATTCTATTTAATCGTCTAAACATCTGACTGTGTTTTTTTTAAATCAGAATTAGCCATCACAGAGGCAGACTGGGAAGGAATCGGCTTGTCTCAATCACATTTTGGTAATACTTGTTTATTTTTTAAATTGAAAACTCACATTGCGACCGTTTCAGCAAAACATTCGGAGTATTAACAGAAATATATACATATATTTGCAGATTTTGCGGACGGTCCGAACGGGGTACAAGTCCTCAATGACAGTTTCGCGGAGGTTTTGTCAGAAATCCAAGCGCTTGAGGACTCGGCCTGCATCCTGTCAGAGACTGCGTTATCTATTCATCCAGCCCCGACCGACACAGCCCCTCCGACGGGTGAAGACAGCGTCATTACGCCGATAACACCGGTGGCGGTTGAGGCGGAGGATCCGGCCGTCTTCCACGGGTGTATTGACGAGATTCTGCCGGGGGGATTCAGCGGCTCCATCGGTCCGTCCCCGGGGAAAAAGGAAGGACCAGCAGAGTGATTCGGGGTTAACCGACCGACCAAAAGAGAAACGTCCGCGTAAAAATAAAAGGCAGATTCAGCAGAGACCTCCGGCGCAAGCATCCGACGGGGCACGGGAGATATCAGGTAATTTTGACCATTTTTTAAGCCTCATTCTTTAACGTTATCTATAAGCGGGTGGATGTTTACACCTCGCGCCTCGGCGTTCAAACGAAAAATACAACTTCCTTCTGCTTGGTCGCAAGGCGATGACGTTAATGACGTATTGTGTTCTCATAGGTCATTATCGTCCTACGACAGAGGTCTCAGTGGCCAATCAGAAATCTGGCGGTTGCGCATGAGTCGTAAGGGACGGGGCTCAAATATTGAGTATAATGGGCCCAATATGTATATTGGTTTAATCCACTGTTCTGATTGTGCATACACATTTGAGTATATTGTGCATACCACACATGCATTTTGCAAAACGTATGCATTTTGCAAAGTGTGTGTTTTTAAATTTGGAACGGTAAATAAAGTATATTCTGAATCTGAAAATTGAATCGTTTGTATTAAACACATTAAATTTGTTATACCCAACAGACTCTCGGCCTATGGTCTCGACACCCCTGAGGTTTCGGACACCGCCTCAGATAGACCTCCCATCCCCTATCAGACGACAAACGGCCCCTGTGACCCCTATTCTCTCATCTTCTACCGGGTGACAGAAGCCCCAAACTTCTCCTTCTCCTTCTTCTGTGAACGTCACCGCTACATCCGACATTCAGAAGGCTCCGGCGAGACCCCGCAAACCACGTAAAATACAACATGTCAGATCCTCAATCGTCCGCAAACTTTTTGCAGACGCTAACCGCCTATCACCAGGACCGATTGTGGGGAAAAGAGGCGCTGGAAGAGACGCCCGAAACCAGAAATTGGTAACAATCCAGATGGTTACCCAAGTAATGCAATCTATGATTTCTTCTTTCACCGCCATTTGTGAAAAAATGCTTTAATCTTAGTTCGGTAGTATGTATATTTGTATGTTTGTGTGACTTTTTTTTTTTAAAAGATGAATAGAGAATTTGATTCCGAATCTTTATCACGCTCAACCCAAGTCCCTCTTGAAATTGAGTTAGCTGTAGAGCAATTGCGTCATATTCCAACACCTTCTTCCAAACATCAAGTCCCTCTCGACTTGCAAATAGCCGTAGATCAGTTACGTTATATCCCGGTAGCTAATAACGTTGACGCGCAAAATAGCTCGCCTTCAGAACCGCAAAATCCTTTCCAAACCTTAGAAGACACAGTCCAAAGGTTAAACCAAACCGGCGAAGACGTCTTCCGCGACATAGAAAACTCACTCCAAAATCTAAATCAGACAAACACATCGGCTCTCAACTTATTAAACGAATCTGAAAATGAGTCTCAGCCACAGACACAGCCACAGACACAGAGGGGTGAAGGGTCAGGACAGAGACACCATCATGCTGAAGAGCAGGAGGAGGAGGGGGGTGAAGGCTTAAGGCAGAGACACAGACCCACTGAAGAGCAGGAGGAGGAGAGGGTTAGTGGGGGCAGAGAATCAGAAGCCACCTCTTATGATCGGTTTAACACTCTGGTCATGAGACGCTCATTTACAGTACCACGGCCCGGCAATGTACCCGATATCGCCGCATTTTATCGAAATGTGATAGGGGTAATTAGGGAATTAGCCAACGAGGTAGAATCACGAGCTAGTCGCGACGATGTTATTCAGTTGGAGGTGGTAGGCGAAAATGTGCGCGATTATGTTTCGGTCACCAACAACGCCCAGGGCAGAAATATTCTACCGGCTTTTGAAGGTTTGCTCGATCGTATAGTACAATCAAACAACAGCGTAGCAGGCGACGAAGACATAGAATTAATTGTCCAGATAGTGCGGAACCCTACGGGCGGTGCCAAGCGTAAGATGGAGAAAACTTTAGATTGTGAACCCCTCTCGCATTTTGCAACAGACTTCCCCGATCATTCCAAACCTCTGTTTTTATTCCTGTTGCAAAATCATTACTACGGGATTAAAAACCTCAAAGCCTTTATGGGTACAAAGTACGTCTGTAACTATTTTTACAAGAGTTTCAACAACCCAATCGTGCACAGCTGCGAGGGTTACTGTCAAGTCTGCACGGACCCCATCTGCACTACAGAAGAGCTCAAACCTTTAAAATGCACAGATTGTCACAGGACGTGTCGTTCACTCTCCTGTTTTGCTCGGCACAAAGAGGCTAAGCCGTCTCCTATGAACAAACAGCCTTTTAGTTTCTGCGATCAAATCAAAAAATGCAAACTATGCAAACTAAGCCACTACGTTAATATGACCACAGGCAAGGCCAGTCATCATTGTAACACAACCAGATGTAGAATCTGCGGTGAAACATTACCGTTCGGTTCTGAAACAGACGCTCACCTGTGTTACATTCAACCCGTAGCCGGCGAGACCAAAGAACTCGGTTTGGTTTTTTATGACTTTGAAACATTTGTCAACGAGAACAACGAACACATCCCCTTTCTAGTGTATGCAAAAACATTGAAAGGTGAAGAGAAGGTGTTTTACGGTCTGGACTGTGTGAAACGCTTTCTCCTGTATTTCAGAAGGAATCGGCACCGGAGAAATGTTTTTATAGCGCATAACGCTCGCGGATTTGACAGCTACCTGGTTTTAAAAGGTATACTGAAAGAGAGGGCATCGCCGCAAAACATTCTCATGACAGGTTGTAAAATCCTCAGTTTCGAGGAACCCGATTACCAACTCAAGTTCATAGATTCCCTATTTTTCCTACCCATGCGTCTTAGCGCCATGCCCAAGGCTTTGGGTTTTAGCGATCAGTCCAAGGGGTATTTTCCACACAGATTCAGCTCAGAAAAGCACCTCGAGTATGTAGGACCCTACCCTCCGCCGTCTTATTACGGCGTAGACCGCATGACGGCGTGCGAACAGGAGGTGTTTTACAGATGGTACAACGAAAAAAGTCAGGATGTCTTTGACTTTGGAAAGAAGCCTTGCATTACTGTAAGAACGACGTCGAAATTCTCACCACAGGATGCGCTAAATTCAGGGAACAGTATCTCGATGAGACGGGTGTGGACCCTTTCAGCACTATTACCATAGCCTCAGCCTGCATGAAGGTGTTTCTCACCAAGTACTTGCAACCTAAAACCCTCGCCATACCATGCCCCCACAACTACGCCCTGCGGTGTAAAAGATTCTCAAACGAATCCATCAGATGGCTAGAGTGGGTGATGCACGAGGAAAAAATCTTTATTCAGCACGCTCTCAACACGGGGGAAAAACAGATTGGTCGCTATTTTGTAGACGGCTACGCAGAGATTGACGGTGTAGAATATGCTTGGGAGTTTCACGGATGTTTTTATCACGGTTGTCCTGATTGTGTTGATCCCACAAAGACATGCCCGCTAAGGGGTTTGACCTTTGGGGAACTGCATGCAAAAAGCGAGGAGAGAGTGCAGGCGTTACAGTCTGAACACAATCTCCGCGTCATTGTGGTGAGAGAACACGTGTGGAATGAAATGAAAAAATCAAGCGAGGTAGTCATCTTTCTCCAACGGTTCAACTTCCCAGAACCTCTCACACCACGACAAGCGCTGTATGGAGGTAGAACGAGCGCTTTAAAGCTGAGACATACGGCAGGGTCTGACGAGATTGTGTATTACGTTGACGTTTGCTCATTGTACCCATTTGTTATGAAAACGCAGCAGTTTCCCCTAGGGCATCCTACCATCATTCACAAAGATTTCGGGGATCCTCATAACTACTTCGGGTTAATCAGAGCCACCGTATACCCACCACGAGGTCTCTTTTTCCCTGTTTTACCGTACAAATGCTCAAGCGGTAAATTAATCTTCCCGTTGTGTCGTACTTGCGCTGAAATCAACAACCAAGAGGGTCTCTGTAGACACGACGATGAAGCCAGAGCATTAACGGGGGTGTGGGTCACGCTTGAGTTTAACAAGGCCCTCGATCTCGGGTACAGAGTGGCAAAAATCACAGAAGTGTGGCACTTTGACAAAAGTAGCGACTCAGTGTTTGTAGACTACATCAACAGTTTTCTCAAAGGTAAACAGGAAGCATCGGGGTACCCGCCCGATGCGACGGATCAGGAAAGCCGAGAAAAATACATCAGAGACTATCATACAAATCAGGGCATTCTGTTAGACGCAAACAAAATTGAAGCGAATCCCGTCAAGAGACAAGTGGCCAAATTGTGTCTCAATAGTCTTTGGGGGAAGTTTGCGCAGAGAGACAACCTACTCCGTACCAACATCGTCTCAGAATCTGAAGAGTTTTTCTCCTACCTTTTTTCAGGCACGCACAAGGTTGAATACTTTAACGTTATAGACAACGAAAGAGCCTTAATTAGGTGGAGATACTCAGACCGTTGCGTTCAACCCCCGGGTAAACAGAACAATATATTCATTGCAGCATTTACCACAGCGCACACGCGTCTGAAAGTGTACAGTTATTTAGAAAAGCTGAAAGAGAGGGTTCTTTACACCGACACCGATAGTTTAATCTATGTGGTAAAGAAGGGTGAGACGCCTTTAGAGATGGGTAATTATCTGGGGGACTTGACGGATGAACTGGACGGTGATAGCATTCAAGAATTTGTAGCCACGGGTCCAAAGAGCTACGCTTACCAAACAAAAAACAAAAAAGTAGCAATGCGCGTCAAAGGCATCACTCAGACTCAGGAATGCTGCGAGCGTGTCAACTTTGACAGCATCAGAGATCTGGTGGAGGGCTACCTGCGTGGTTCTGGCGAGAGCGTGATCGAGATCCCTCAGCACAACATTTGTCGTGATAAAAAGAGCTTCGTCTTGAGAAACGCATCATTTCAGAAAAAGTTCAAAGTGGTGTATGACAAAAGACGTCTCTTTGCTGACGGTACAACTTTGCCTTTTGGATATTGAGTTTGATTTTGCGTTGTTTTGTTTCATTTGTTTTACATTGCGTTGTTTTGTTTCATTTTGTTGCAAATTGTGTTGTTTTGTTTTAAAAATGTCACACCTGTATGTAATGGAGGAAATTGATTTTGAACCTAGGTTTATATTCCCTTTTTCATGTTTAATTGTAGGACCTAGCGGTTGCGGGAAAACCTATTTTGTAAAAAACGTACTTGAAAACTGCAAACATGTCATGAACATTGTACCCGAAAATATCGTGTGGATTTATACTTCTTTTCAACCTATGTACATCGAGTTGCAGAGGTTGAATAAAAAGATTAAATTTGTTGAAGGATTGCCGGATTCTTTTGACGATGAAAACCTGTTTCCTCCTGATCAAAAACATTTGATCATTTTGGACGATGTTATTTTCCAAGCCTCTGACCATCCCGATGTAGTTAAAATCTTTACTCAGTATCGGCATCACAAAAACATGAGCGTCATGATGCTGACTCAAAATGTGTTTCATCAGGGTAAACACAGTCGCACCATTAGTTTGAACAGCAATTATTTGGTGCTGTTTAAAAATCCTCGAGACAAACTACAGATAAATATATTAGCCCGTCAAATCTTCCCGTCTCAGAAGGCATTTTTTTTAGAGAGCTTCGAAGACGCCACCAAAGATCCTCACGGGTATTTAGTCGTAGACCTTACACCCGTCTGTCCAGAATGATACAGACTGAGGAGCGGTGTACTTCCTCACCAGAGTCCGACCGTCTACGTACCGAAATAAAATAACCTAGATCACCGTCACCATGTCGGCGCGTTTAAAAAGAAACGCTTCTTTACTTTCGGCTTTATACCGCGCTGCACCCAAGAAACGTAAAGATATTCTTATTCACAGCTCTCCAGACTTTATCCAAGCGCTGTGCGAGATTGCTTTAAACCTTTTGAAGGGAAACATCCCTTTATCACCTTCTCAATTTAAAAAACTGAAAAGGCAGAAAAAAATTATCAGACTGTTGGCGGACAAGAAAACAACTTTAAAGCGCAAACATCAGGTTTTAAAGAAGCAGTCGGGCGGATTTCTTTTACCCCTGTTATCCGCGGTCATACCTGTGATCGGGGATCTTATCGGGGGACTCGCTAGAAGGTAATATGTCAGAAGATGTCGCTGAGGAAAGCGCAGAAAATGTTTCTCGTCCCACCTCATCAGCTAAACCGTATAACACAACAACAACAACCAACCGCCATCAGAGAAGCCGTCGAGGATGATTTGGATGCCAAAATGAGAGCCGTATTAGATGAGCCGGGGTTGACTCCCCACGAAAAAATTAAAAAGTACAACGCTTTACTGCAAAGATATTTAACTTTGATGAAGCAAGGTCAGAAAGAGCAGCGGCGTGTAACCCTAACTCTTCAGAGGGAATCCGAAGGGAGGGAGCCCGAGCTCTCAAATCAACAAAACGGTCAGGTATCATCTCAGGAGTCAGACGATACCGATCATGTGATAACAGAAGTTTTAAAAAGCTTCCCTCCGCGAGATCGCAACAACACCGAATACATCTTAAAAAAAATATCCGAGAGTGATAAAAGTTGGAATGCAAAGGGAGAATTTGTTTATAAGGGTCATGCTGTGAAGGGGTATCATATGACTGATTTATTGAAACACCTATCACACTCTTATAAATTATCCCGATCTGCGCCACCGACGGGTTGGTTAGAATTTTTGAATACCCTGGCTGATTTAAACATCCCTTCTTACGCGGTGAAAAACTCTCAAGCTCGCGATCAATATCGGGCCCTCAAGACGGGTACGGACGATGACCAAAATGTCATGGCTGAAAAAGAAACAACTCGCGCGAGGAGACGTGGAAAGATGAAGAAACAAACGACTCTGTCACCGACTTGGATCGGTATTTCACCGTAAATAAATGTAACACACAACTTTGGCATGTATCAATAAAGTGTTTTATTAAACATATTTTTTTGCGTACAGTCTTTTTTTCAATCAATCAATCAATAAATTAGAAGTGAGTTTCGGTTCAAACTATAAAATATATAAGATGACATTTATCCGCAACAGTCTTTAAACCTCTGTAGAGAGCAGCTCCTCTGTTTTGGCACGACGTTGATTTTATTTTTGAGACGGCGTTTTCTCACAAAGTCGTACACCATACGATCATTTTGTATCACATCGTCGCTGTACAAAGACAGTACTTGATGGTAAGATAATCCGCAAGCCCGATGACAGAGGTAATAGATGCAGTGTTGTCCGCAAACGGATGACAGGGGGTGTTGCAGTTGACGGTCGTGGTATTTGATGTTTTGAGAACGGTTTTCCAAAAACTGTAAGATGCTCGAGGGGTAGTGATCAAAGTCTGGCGGAAATCCATAAGAGTCAAAAAAAGTGGCTTCGCCACCCTTTTCTAGGGTTAAGGCTAACCAGTGTTCCCCAGGCATGTGAGCCGGGTGTGTGTTGACTATAAAGTAGGCCGGTGTCCTAAAGGAGGGATTCAGCGAAGGTAACAGGTCACAGGCCCACACGCCGCAAAATACACCTCCCAGCAAACGATTCAAAATACTCTCAATCTCCAGATTATCCATTTCTTTTTTTTTTTTTTTTGTTTTTTTTTGTTTTTTGTTTTTTTGTTCTCTTCAAATAAATAAAAAGTTAACCTCCTTAATAATAATCCACAAGCACCTGTCTTTTTGAGTCAATCTCCAGAATTGAATCAAAACAAGCGTAGACGATAAGGGTGGTGGTTTGTGGCAGGGGTGCTCTGAATCTCATCTCTAGTCTTAAATTACCGCCAGATATGGGAGATAAGGCATCGTTGTCATCAGCAGGGTTGAGATTAAACACAAACAGAGAGTATCCGTTGTTAAAGTCCTCTCGATCGATACACAGGGGTAAATCCTTAAGATGTCTCCCCGTAGCCAGGTACATGTTGTAAAACTCTCTGATGGCCTGTCCGTTGTTAAACTGAGGCTGAAAAGCCTTAGCGGGAATCTGTTTACCATCCTGACAGAGAGCTAGATATTCTACATCATTGTGAATAAAATTGAAGGGTGACAGGTCTCTTCTCCCGGTGAAAGCTTCGTGGTGCACCATACCCAAAACTATATATTTAGGCATAGACCCCAGAAAAAGATTCTCTTGGCTGCGTATCCTAGAGTTTTCAGGGATAGAGTATGTCTTCACATTGACCCGTGAAATGGGGTATAGCGCGTTACCTTTCATTAAGGCCGCTGCGTGACCTAATCGCACGGCTGGGGACACAGACACTTTTTTGGCAAATAGAGACGCTCCCAGTATTTTCAGACGATACGTGGAGTCACGGGCTCCCATTAGACAGAAAGCGTCATTGGCACGGGTTAGTTTAATTCTCATGTCAACAGAGTTCAGCAAGAGTCTCTCGCAAAAGAATACATCCCCGTGAAGAGGACCAATCAGATGTAGTTCTTGTGATCCCGCTGTGAAACCGGCTCTTTTGTTTAACCCTCTATTGGGACCGTTGACGACCACTATAGAGTCCATGCCCCCAGCGGTATCTTTGTAAAAAAGACCGGCTGAGAACTGACTGGTGAGCGCATCTTCTGAAAAGTTGAGTAGGGTCTCAATCATGGCGCGGTAAGCGTGTGTGGCACTCGACTGTGAGATTAATCTATCCCCCAAAATAACGTCACATTGGTCGAAAATTGTATTCAGCGGGTAATTGATAAGACCCACTACCGCATCGTTAGCCAAGTCCAAACCGTCCGCGTTGGTGATTTTCACACGGAGATGCAGCAAAACATCGTTCAGATCCAGATACTTTTCCCCGTCTCCTGGGATAAAAAACTCTATAGGACCGCCTTCTGTAATGGCCGACACGGGGGAAATTTCGGTGTATGTTTTATCTTCAACGGAAAGCTGCATCATAGGTGCTGTAAATAAATCCAGCTCAGAGAGGGTGCACTCTGGAGATTTCTGGTGTAACAGGGCCATGATTTTTAATTCTTTAAATTTATTTAATTTTTTTGTTAGTTTTTAAAATCCGAATTAAAATATATCAGAGCTCTGGGGAGACTTCCTCTTAACCCGCCTGCTTCTCGCGACTGATTTCCTCTTTTTACCGGCAGAGCGTTTTTTAGAGGTTGCTGTGAGGCGTTCTCCCGGAGGTCGTCTCCTTTGTCTACGCGCCAAGACCATAATTCCCCCAGACCCCTCTTGTTTCTGTTCACCGCTGACAAATTTTCCCACATTGCTGAACACGTCCGAAGCAATGTTGCTAGCGGCTGCTTTGAGATGAGGTTTAGCTAAGGCAAAACCTTTCTTCACCACGGGGGATATAAAACGAAACAATTTTGAAAATATAGAGCCTATACCCCGACCGTACATGACGGGAGCTCCATAAAATCCTGGTAAATTTCCTCCCACCTGACTCTCATAATAATGTACGAATCTGTGAGGATCCTCTCGCCAGTCTACTCGTGCCATTTTGATCGACGCGTAATGTATCTGCGATTATTCGTATCTGATGCCCAGCGCACCCGTCAGCGGTGAGTCACTATCGCAGGGTTAGACGATACTGAATGATGTGGAAAATCTGACGGTTTATATATATATATACATATATATATGTATATATTTCTGGATTTTCAAACTTTTGGTCTAAAGTGAAGCGTCACGATAGACTTCCCGTAGGTAAAATCTACCGGTTTGTTTTGATCCGTTTTGATTTCAATCTTAATGTTTTCAATGTGTTGTTTGGCTACAGGTAAATAATAAGGCGGGTTGAAATGCTGTGTGATGACATCCCCGAACGAGCCCTTAACATTGACCGTTCTCAAGAACGGGGCATAAGCGTCACCCACTAGCTGCGGTTGTACTACGTCGCTGTAACAGTACAGATGATAAAACCCAGCTTTTATATCAGCGGGGTAGGGAGCCAGCTTTTGATCAAACTTGAACCATTCTCCCGACTTTAGACCCATCATGTAAGCGGCGGGTCCCTCGTAGAGTACATGCGTCTGACCTCCAGCCTGGAAATCAAATCTTCTCAGATTGATGTTATAAACTAGATAAATATCAGAATTAATTTCTCTATAAAAACCATCCATCATTAGTCTAAAGTCTTTTATGCCGTTGTAAAATCCCTCTGTAAACTTTTGACGATGTATCTCTTTCTGATTTTTTGATTCTCTCCAGTAAAAATAGGCATCATCCTTGTACCAACTGAACGGGTATGAAATCTCCGTCAAGGCAACCTCCCACTGTCCTTCTAAATCGATATGTTGCGCTAAATCCACGCGGTAACTGGAACTCTTGTTATCTTTGAAAACGTCGAGGCTGGCGTTAGAGGGTAGGGTTATGTAAAACCCCTTATCATCTGGCCCGTACATGATGAAGTGATACTCTAAGCAAGCGCACGGCGCTTCTTATACATTTATCATTTCGGAGGCTTTGATCCAACTGTTGAATTTCTCAGGCCAGTTTTTCCAACGTACAAACACTTGTTTTTCACCCTTGACGGTACGTCGTTTCAGAATCTCCTCGATGTGGTAGACTCTATCTTGATCCTTTTTCACTTTTTGCAACTCTGCCTCGTAAAATGAACCTTGGATGGGTTCTCCGTCATAATCTTTCAGTTTGTACACAGGAGGTTCGCGAGGGATGCACTCAGAAACTGTAAACGCTTCGTCCGTAAAACTCTGTTCATACTTTTTATCAAACACGCCTCTCAACTTTGATATCCTGACGAGGTCTCCTTCCTTAAAATTTTTCTTTAATTCGGTCCTCTGTGGGGCGTGAGTTTTACCGTACAGGTTTTCAAACACTTGGTAGACGTTCTCTTCGGTTACATCCATAGGCGCCATTTTTATGCTGCTGTGATAACCCTGATTATAGCTTTTCATCAAGTCTTGTAAAACATCGAGGTATCGCATGGCGTTGTTTGCTGTAAAATATCTCCACATTCTGCTTTTTAAAGTGCGATTAAATCATTCAATCACAGAGGCTTTGAGATCGCTGGCTGTGGAAAAATGTATGATGCCGTATTTCTTCATCAGAGCCTCAAAACGTTTGTTAAAAAATTCTTTTCCGGCGTCGGTTTGTAGTTTTAAGGGCGTCTGACTCTCCTCAAAAATGGATTCGAAGGCCTCAGACACCTCGGATCCGGTTTTTCTCTTTAGTGCACGTACATAAGCCTTTTTGGAAAACACATCTATGACCGTTAATAAATAATTATACCCGTCGTTATACTCTGACAAGGCTTGCTTATCGCATAGGTCGGCTTGAAATTGGTTTAAAGGACGCGGTACAAAAACTCTGTTTCTAGTAAAATGTATCCTGACGGGTTTGTGTAGAGTGTATGCATCTTCTCCAGCTAAAAAGTCTATGACCTTTTCACGTTCAATCTTCTTGCCCGTTTCATCATGCACTCCCCTACGGAGGCGTTCTACACCGCCGAAGCTACCCGGGTGTGCCGGGTTGTAATAAACGTTTTTCATGAAGCGTACCTCGGACATGTTGAGATCGTAATGAGAGGAAAAGACCGTGCGTCGTGTATTTGATTTTTTTATTTGAGTTCAACACAAATACAACGGTGTTCAAAACTTTAACTCACAAAACAATATGTTGACAAGAAAAACTTTAACTCGTAAAACAATATGTTGTCAAAAACGAAAAACTTTATCTAACTAGCAAAACATTGTTGTCAAAAAAGAAAAACTTTATCTAACTCAAAACAATATGTTGTCAAAAAAGAAAAACTTTATCTAACTAGCAAAACATTGTTGTCAAAAAAATATATATATGTTGACAAAAAAAAGAAAAACTACTTATTACTACTAAATCATACGATCATGACTAGAGTTTGTGCTAAAAGAGAATAATCTAGAGTTTGCTGCATATCAGCGTGCAGTTTTTTGAGTTCATCCGTAACGTTGACAGGGCGGTTGTTTTGCAAAAGTTTGCTGGTAACATCGACAAACATGGTGTAAAAAGCGAGTATGTGCCAGGGTCTAACGGTGTCATTCGATAGTTCTTTTAAAATTTTTTCAAAACTCTCTGATAATGTAGATTCAACCCCAAACGCAAGCTGATGCACCGACTCCTCCCAAGGTGTACAGGGTATAAGAGCAGAACAAGTCCGGACTTTTTCCATCAAGTTCTCCAGTCTCTGAACGTTTGCATTTTGAATAAAAGTGTTGTTTTTATGCCTCGAAACTCTGTTCTCTATAACCATTTTCAAAAGCTCTATCAACTGAGAGATGATGTAGTTATTGATGCGATTTATGATCTGAGTCACAATTTTTCTACAATAATTCCACATTTTCTTGCCGTTTAACGCTTCAACCACAGCTCAGTCAGTTTGGCAAGTTCTTCCATCTTGATCTTTCTGTCTTCGTCCTCATGTTCCAGCACCCAGGCCTGGAATGCCCTGTAAATGAAGCTCGTTGATTCCAGCTCAAATAAAATACTCTGCACCGTATTTTTGATCCTCATATGATCCACGTTGATGTTTTGCAGGCATAGGTAGTGTTGAATGGCAGGAATCAGATTGGGAGTGTACAGCTTATTCGTCAACCAGAAAAACTTTTCCTGGTAGAAGTCATCCCGAGTTACCTCCAGACACTGGTGCTGTCTCTGGCTGGTATGATTAATGCGACAGCCATCGCACATCTCCTCTTGGTACTGCTGTATAGTTTTGTGCAGCAGGTGGAGCACGGCTATTGTTATAGATTTATAATAAGTTAACTGATCGTCAGGACGGTCCCCTGCTTCATCAGCATCTTTCCTATCAGCAGCGGGAGAGGCGGCTTGAGATGAAGAGGGCTCAGCTGAGCCGACAGGAGTGTCCGAAACCTCAGATGAGTCGACAGGTGCGTCTGGAAGCTCAGATGATGTGGGCTCAGGTGAGTTGGGTGGAGTGTCTGGAACCTCTGCGTCTGGAATCCAGGGTGAAGCCGGAGGGGTGTCTGGAATCCCAGGTGAGCTGGGAGGAGTGTCTGGAACCTCCGCGTCTGGAATCCAGGGTGAAGCCGGAGGGGCGTCTGGAATCCCAGGTGAGCTGGGTGGAGTGTCTGGAACGTCGGTTAGCGGAGATGGTGGAAAGTAGTAGTCGATTGTTGAAGGAGACGGCATGCGGGTGGTGAGAATACGCCGGGGCTTGTAGCTTCTCTGAAGGGTGCTCATGTTTCTTCTTGCATCATGGCGCCAGTGCGAGCCGGCTGCCGGTCCGCTGCTCTGCGTGTGAATGAGAATGTATGTTGTGGTTGCTGTGCTGGTAGATCTGACTACCAGAAAAAAATAGTCTACTCTAGAGGGAGTCTTCTAGCTCTGAGGAGGACTAAAGCGAACTTTCGCCACGTTATACCCGGAGAGTTGAGGAGGAGATACCGGGGTAGCCGTGCCGGGGCGAAGCGTAGGGCTAAAGTAACAGCGAGGAAACAACAACAACAACGCTACAAGCCACCGATTCCCTCGGTGCTGATGGGGAACGTAAACGCTCTGCCAAATAAAATGGACGAGTTAACGGCACTTATCAAGAACCAACAGACTTACCGGGAGAGCTGTTTAATAATTCTAACAGAGACCTGGCTAACTGCCCACACACCTGATGCTAACGTGGAGCTACCCGGCTTCACTACGGTGAGGGCAGACCGAGACACCGTCGCCTGCGGTAAGAGTAAAGGAGGGGGCCTGGTGTTGTATGTAAACAACAGATGGAGTAACCCTGGACACTGCAGTGTTAAATCTGTCATATGCTGTCGTGACTGTGAGCTGCTAGCCGTTAGCCTAAGACCATACTACATACCGAGGGAGTTCACGCAGGTGATCGTGGTCTGTGTTTACATTCCTCCGAGGGCTAACGTGGAGGCGGCGCTTGAAGCAGTACACTCCACCACCGCAGGGTTACAGACGCAACACCCAGAGGCTCTGGTCATCATCTCAGGGGACTTCAATCACGTCACCCTGGACTCCACTCTGCCGGCCATGCATCAATATGTGGACTGTCCCACTCTACGCCAATGTGAGGGATGCCTACTCGGCCACGCCCCTCCCTCCCCTCGGGAAGTCCGACCACAACCTCATCCATCTGCAGCCCAGGTACACACCACTGGTGAGGAGGCAGCCAATCACCACGCGCATCGTCAGGAGGTGGACACCGGAGGCTGAGGAGGCTCTCAGAGGCTGCTTCAGCTGCACTGACTGGAATGTGCTGCTTGACCCCCACGGAGAGGACATCGAGCAGACTACACAGTGCTTGACCGACTACATCAACTTTTGCACTGATGTTGCTGTGCCTGCCAGGGAAGTGCGCTGCTTTGCTAACAACAAGCCATGGATCACTGGTGAGGTGAAGGCTGTCCTTAATAGGAAAAAGAAGGCGTTTAGGGATGGAGACCCTGAGGAGGTAAGGAGGGTGCAGAAAGAACTGAAAACCTGCTTAAGGGAGGCCAAGGAGGCCTACAAAAAGAAACTGGAGGGGAAGCTAAGGCAGAATAACATCAGGGAGGTGTGGGATGGCATGAAGATCATCACTGGATGCAAAAAAACTGCTGCAGGACCAGTTGAGGGAAGTGTGGAGAGAGCAAATGAGCTGAACACATTTTTCAACCGGTTCAGCTCTGGCGCCCCCACCTTCCCTGCCACCCCCACACCAACCACAACTGCATTGATCCATCAACAGCTGGCTCCTCTCCACCCTTCTACCCATACCTCCCTACCTGATCACCCCCCCCCCCCCTCCTCCAGCAGGTCCCCCCCCTCCCTCTATCAGCACACCCCTCCCACCCCCCCAATTACCACCCCTCACTGGATCGTCCCGTTCATCTCCAGGCATCACTCTCACCACACCAGCCCCTCAACCCATCTCACCTGATCCCCCCCTCATTACTGCTCATCAGGTGAGTGGGGTGTTGAAGAGACTTAATCCCAGGAAAGCAGCTGGCCCCGACCTGGTGTGCCCGAGGCTTCTGAGAGCCTGTGCTGAGGAGCTTGGAGACCCTCTTCAGCACATCTTCAATCTGAGCCTGCACCTGGGGAAAGTCCCCTCACTGTGGAAGACATCATGCATCGTCCCCGTCCCCAAGACAAGACACCCCAAGGACCCCAATGACTTCCGTCCCATCGCCCTCACCTCACAGGTCATGAAGTCCTTGGAGAGACTAGTATTGCACCGCCTGAGGTCACAGGTGCAGCAGACCCAGGATCCTCTCCAGTTTGCCTACAGGGAGAGGATAGGAGTGGAGGATGCTGTCCTCTACCTTCTCCATCGAACACACTCCTACCTCGATGAGGGAGGCTGCCCTGTGAGGATTCTTTTTTTCGACTTCTCAAGCGCATTTAACACCATTCAGCCCCCACGACTGCAGGAAAAACTGTCTACCATGCAGGTGGACCCCCTCCTCATCTCCTGGATATCTGACTACCTGACCGACAGACCACAATTTGTTAGGATCGGTAGCAGTATCTCCAGCACCATCACCAGCAGCACTGGAGCTCCGCAGGGGACCGTGCTGTCCCCCATCCTCTTCTCCCTGTACACTGCTGATTTCCAACACAACTCGGAACTCTGCCACATGCAGAAGTTCTCGGATGACACAGCAGTTGTAGCGTGTATTAGGGAGAACGAGGAGGGGGAATACAGGGAACTAGTGAGCGACTTTGTGGGGTGGTGCCAGGAGAACCAGCTGCTCCTGAACACCTCCAAAACAAAGGAGATTGTGCTGGACTTCAGGCGCCAGCCCCCCACCCCACTCCCTGTTTGCATCGAGGGCGAGGAGGTCGAGATAGTGCCCTGTTACAAATACCTCGGACTCATACTAGACAATAAACTGGACTGGACTCAGAACATTGACCACCTCTACAAGAAGGGCCAGAGCAGGCTCTACTTCTTGCGGAGGCTGGCATCATTCAACATCTGCACCAAGCTCCTACAGATGTTTTACAACTCTGTAGTGGCTAGTGTGCTGTTCTATGCTGTGTCTTGCTGGGGTGGCAGTGGCAGCAAAAGAAACATCCAGAGGCTGAACAAGCTCATCAAGAAGGCAGGCTCAGTGGTGGGCCTGAAGCTGGACTCTGTTGAGGAGGTGACAGAGCAGAGGTCACTCACCAGACTCAAGGCAATTATGAACAATGCCAGCCATCCACTGAGCTATGCCTTCAACCAGCAGAGGAGCACCATCAGCAGCAGACTACGATCACTGAACTCCTCAACAACAAGACACACAAAGTCGTTTGTCCCCCGCGCCATCAGGCTGCACAACTCCCTGAGCGGGAGGAAGAGACGGGAGGAGGAGTAGGAGTAGCTGGAGTCAAGCGGGTGTGGGGGGAATATCTCAAAGGCAGAAGTGCTGGAACACTTCTGTCCTCATTGTCGCTGTTTCTGTTGTGGTGTGTTGTTTTACCTGTCCCTGCCTTTGTCCCCAAGTTGGTTCTCCCTCCTGCCATTAGTTTTTCTTTATTTCTTTATTTATTTTTAGATATTTATTCATAATCTGTTTTTATCATATCATATGTGTGTGTGACTGATTCTTGTGAGCAGTTGACCACTCTTGAATTTCCTTCGGGATTAATAAAGTACATCTATCTATCTATCTATCTTCTTCTCAGAGTGTTTATTTTTCCCCGCTTCGGTAGGTCTCTTTATAGGGAGCGGCAACGTGTTTTTTATCCTTGTGTGGGAGGGGTGAAGGGGTGTGGTGTGTGCGAGTGGGACATCTTTTTATTTCATCAGGGCATTACCCCAGATACAGTAGCTGCGAGAGAGCAAAGTGTTCGTATCACTGATCTGATCCAACTTTTCACTCTAAACTTCAACCGGTAAAGCCAGCAAAGCCCTGAAAACACCGCGTTCCGTATTGACCAGATCCAAACCAAAATACCATTTAGTTTCTTGCACACAAACTCCATCATTTTTTAAATTTTTTTTTAATTCTCTAACCGGTAACTGTCTCGGCTTATAGTTTGACGAAAGATAAGGTGGCTAAATCCCGCAATGTGGTTAAATCCCACGGGTCCTCCGACGTGTCACCTTCCCTTCGCTGATAGAAATTCAGTTCCCTGGACCGGCACTTGAAAATATATCCCCAGCTACCACACTACCCTTAGGATTCTAAAGACCATTCCTTCTGCAGAGGTATAGTGAACGGAGGAGACACTTGGAAATACGGAAAACCGTCTACGCCTGACTATTGTGAAACGGGGTAACCATTTTACTCATAAAAGACACTGCGTCGTCGGCCAACATGGTGAGTGCACTCTCCTCTTTGTAGTCGTAATAATAACTCCCGTAACAAAAACCCTGACGCTCAGACACTCCCAGACACATGTATGCCTGGGAAAAAAAAAAAGGGGGACCTCAGGGTTTATGTATACGAAGATAGATCCGTACGGTATCATATGGTTTCATGGTATGTCATAGTTGATTAAAACGTGCTCATACTAAACACATCTTCGTAGTTGTAACACAAAACCCCAGACGCTCAGACACAGGTGTGTCTGGGGAAAAAAGAGGGGTGCGGCAACCCCCTCCCGTGGGAAAAGGTGGGTTGTCAGAAGTTCACCCCACCCCTCTCCTATGCAAATTAGCTCTAACTAGGGCAAGGGTCAGACCTGTCAAAAGTTTGACGAAAGGTGGATACATCCTCTCTCTTTTGTGCGTCTGTCAATGTTTTTTCTTCCTTTCTTGCAGAAATTACAACAAGTAGGCGGACAAAACAAAAAAGATAAGAGCAACGACAAAAAGAGAAAAAAGAAAGAATAATTACGCCTTAAAAGATGTCAAATAATAACTAAAAGTTAGCACAATACTGCACCTCAGAGCACAGACCACATGAGCACTTCTCAAGCAATGACCATAACTTAAGTAGATTACACAGACTGTCCTCCTATAGCACTGAAGGGCATTTAAAACAACCTGAGTAACCTGAACTGTTTCGTTTTAAACAGGAACTAAAGTCTATCATCATTCTACATGAAAAACAAAATAATTTTTCTGACATTTTGAAAAAAGCCAACATCAAAATAGTCAAGCATAACATGCTGTGAAGTGCAGTGCATGCACAATGTTTCCCAAATCATGTTGAAAACACTTCTCATCCTCCTCTAGAATTGGGTGGAAGTGACTTGTTTACAAAACCAGAGGAAGGATACCGTATCTTTCCTGTGCACAGGCCGACCTTTGCACTCTGCTGAGGTTAAGGGTGACAGAGTGAAGGATTGTAAATTCTTCTGACCTTATGCCTCTTCATTTTGGAACTTCTTTAAACCATTTGGGTTTCTATATGGCTCAAACTACACATCACCTTGTTTCTTAAGATATACTGGACACCTGCCTCGTCAAATGTTTTGGCAAGCTCTGCAGTCACATGTATTTTTTATTTTTTTGTTTCATTTCAGTACAGCACATCTCCCTTGTTTTTACTTGTTATTTTTGAGCCATTTGGCCTTTATTAGAAAGGACAGCTGCAGAGACACCAGAATGTGAAGTGTGGGCAATAACACACAGCAAATGGTTGTAGAAAGGAGTTGAATCTGTGACTTCTGTGGTAACAGCTGCAGATTTTATATGTGTGGTGTGCTCCTTAACTGGTGCCCTGCCTTTCTTTTCATTAGACTTTAGAATTTTAAATTTGTACAACATCCTCTACTTTAGTCACTAAATGAATTAGCCACTCTGTTGCCACTTTTATGCTACATAACAAAGTAAAGTATATGGTGTGCATGATACTTTATATGTAGTATAAGTAAGTGTGGATATAGGAAGGGTAAACAACACCTCTGCATAAGTCAGTAGCTCACCTCCCATTCAGAAAAGTCTGGAAACATCCCTGAGTACTGTGGTAGAGTAAATCTATTCTATGTGATGACTTTCTGGTGTTTTCTGTCCTCTGTCTCCTGCCAAACGAAGGTCCTCTATCTTTTACTATCCCCTAGTGGCTACCCGAGAAACTGCACCTACATGAGTAACTCGTTCTCAGTCAAGAACCCAGAGGAGGTCCTTAAAAGTTATGGATGATTCCTTTAGAATTGGATGCTTTCAATTTTATGTTTCCTCTTTAAAAATATTTGAATAGTATAAAAATAAAACAAACTTAGAAACATAAAACGAGTCTATGCTTTGACTCTGTGATAAGATCACTGCTGACTGGAGCATCAGGAGTATGGTTTGAGTAAATAAACATCACCATTCAAAAACAGACAACAAACAGAGTATTATGTTGTATACTGGATGTTTGAAGTAAACACTTCTAGATAATGGCAAGTAAAATAGATTAAAAAGGTAATAATGAAAAAAGAAATGGGGTTAGACTGTCTTTCTACAGAAATCTGAATAGATAGGAGGACATCTACTGGCTGAGAAGGGACATGTGACACCTTTGAAATAAAATCAGCTGCCAAATGTTTTTAAATCTCAATAAAGAAAAATGACCTAAAAGACCTAAAACATTGACGCTATTATTAGGTCAATATATCAGTTAAATATATAATGTCACTTTCAGGTTAATCTCCTCTTTCTTTATTTTATAATTTAAACCATTCATAACTGTGAGTTTCTGTAACCAATCAATAGATTTTATTGGATTATCAAAAATGAAATAATATAATAAAAGGTTTTATGTTTGGGTCATTCTTTTAAAGTTTCATGGGAAATATTCATTGACCAATTTCATCACTGCTCCGCTAGATGTCAGTATTGCTCTGTAATCTTGGTGGCGGTGACAAGACACCTACAGTTTTTATACAGTTTTGTTTTACTAAAAAAATCCCAAACACAAAACAATAACAGTTTCAGTATCTGACTCCTGTCTTTCTTATTTTCCATTTTTAATAGACTTTTACTTCTCTTATCATCTTCAAACAATATCTGAAAGGACCGATGATGAGAATACAAAATAGGACACAAAATTTCCAAATGATGGTGGTTACTATTTGAAATCAGATAATTTGATCAGTGTTTTTTTTTTTTTTTTTCTGAATGGATAACTGTTGCTGGCAGGTGCCTTAACCAGACTTCACAGGTAGGTGGCAGCATTTAGCTTCGTTCAAACCCACAGTACTCTTACCCCATGTCCACTAGAAGCTGGAAAAATGAGTTTTCAACCAATATGACTGTGGCTCATCACAAGAAAGATTGACTGCAATGTTATGTATCAAGCTATTTGTTGGATTCAAAAAATTAAATAAATACGTCTTTCTTTCACAAATTTAGGGGAAACTGCATAAATTATCTACTAAAGAAAACTAAACTGAAAGAAAGGCTCTTGAAACTCAAACTCAGTAGGATAAAGAAATAAACGAAGATTGTCAGTTGTGAGTAAATGACATTTTTCATGATATTTGTGACAGTAAGTATAGTGTTTTTCTATAATATACAGTGTAATCCTACAGATCAACCTCTCAGTCTTTACTCAGTCATTGGTGCGAAACTAAAATCAGCTCAGTGTCTGAAAACACTTGACACTTGGAAACACAAAGAAGTGAGAGAAGTTATTTGGAGGAAAACTTTGATTTCAAACGCTTTTGGTGAGTTTTCTTGGCGGAGCTGTCCGCGAGAGAGTGGTGCTGAAACCGCTTTGTTTTGATTCAAGCAGGACAGAAACCGGGTATTATCATATTATTATAGTGCTGAGGGTTTTACTCAGTTTCTGAACACTATTGAGCTCAGAGTTGAGTGAAAAAAAACGATGGTGGGTTGCAAATATAATAATTTTAAAGTAAAAACAAATCTAATTGGAGATAGGTGTGAATGAAAATGGAGCAGCTTTGTTTGAACACAAACTGAGTCAAACATCCTCGGCTCCGTCTTCAAGCAAGTGACTGGGCAGCAGTGCGCACCCGGGATTTTGTATTTAATTAGCATAAAACATCTTCTGGAGAGCAGAAGGACCGTGCGTCACAGCCATCGCCGAGGCTGGGAGGAGGGGAGGGGGGACACCTATGGGAGTCAACAAACTGCAGTATGTGTATTCCTTTCACGGCCGACAAAAAGCAGTCCGGCTGATGTGAAATGATGACTTAGCTGAGCGCGTTACAGGTGACTGGAGACAGCTGGAAGCGTCTGGGAGCAGAAGGGGCGCAGCAGACGGACCTAAACCAGTGAATCCTCCGCACCGTGAGCCGGAGGTGAACCCCCCAAAAAACCCGTGAGTGCTGCCCGGGACCAGCACGTCACCTGAATGACGGGATATGAGACAATGAAGCAACTAGGGACGACAGGGATAAAACGAGTCCAAGTCACGGAAGTGGAAAGGCGCGTGCAATGACGGACGGCACAAGGGACAGAGAAGAGGTAAAGCAGAGGAAAGTTATCTAGCTCATTAGTGGGGCTCCTGGTGTCGGATAAGAAAACAGAATAAAAGACAGAACAGATGTGCCAAGTGTGCGCAACTCTATAAACCAATCAAACGGGGGAAGCCGATTTATTTTCAAAGACAAGTCTCGAGCCAGAAGGAGAGAAAATCATGGAGCCGGAGGGGAGCACTGAGGGACAAGGCGCTAATTTGGCACAATCTGCCGCCTCCAAACTGTCCCAGATGGGCGAAAGAACTAAACAACTGGGCAATGTAATCCAAGACCCAGAGCGACAGAAACGGATTATTCTCGTAATAGTCTGTATTGCACTTTTGTTAGACAATATGCTTTACATGGTGATAGTGCCAATTATACCCGATTACCTTGAAGGGCTACAGAAAGCAGCTGATCATGCCCACGCTGTTGCACCGCACACCAACTCCACCAACAGCACCGTCCGCAAAGTTGCAGAGGGCAACTTTGACCTACAGATCGGTGTCCTTTTTGCCTCCAAGGCCATCGTGCAGCTCCTGGTGAACCCACTGAGTGGAACGTTTATAGACAGGGTCGGGTATGATATCCCACTCTTCATCGGTCTCAATGTCATGTTTCTCTCCACTCTTATTTTTGCCTTCGCTGAAAATTACGCGACTCTGTTCCTGGCGCGCAGCATGCAGGGCCTCGGATCGGCTTTCGCGGACACCTCCGGGATCGCCCTGATCGCAGACAGGTACACGGAGGAAAAGGCGAGGAGCAAAGCGCTGGGTATTGCCTTGGCTTTCATCTCTTTTGGGAGCCTCGTGGCGCCCCCGTTTGGAGGGGTCCTTTACGAGTTTGCAGGGAAGCGTGTGCCCTTCCTGATCCTGGCCTGTATCTGCCTTATTGATGGGGTTTTCTGTCTGACTGTACTGAAACCTTTCTCCAACAAAGAGAGAGAAAACATGCCGGTGGGCACCCCCATCTACAAACTGATGATTGACCCTTACATAGCTGTGGTGGCTGGTGCTCTGATCATCTGTAACATCCCTCTGGCCTTCCTTGAGCCAACTATCGCCAACTGGATGGAGGAAACCATGCATTCCTCCCAGTGGGAGATCGGCATGACATGGTTCCCTGCCTTCTTTCCTCATGTTTTAGGTGTGTATCTGACTGTCAAGTTAGCAGAAAAGTACCCTCATCTGCAGTGGTTCTATGGAGCTATAGGTATGGTGTTCATCGGCGCGAGTTCCTGCACGGTGCCAGCCTGCAAAAACTTTGGACAGCTCATGATCCCGCTGTGCGGAATCTGTTTTGGCATCGCCTTCGTGGACACTGCGCTCCTGCCCACACTGGGCTTCCTGGTGGATGTGCGCCATGTGTCGGTGTACGGCAGCGTGTATGCAATCGCAGACATCTCCTACTGTGTGGCCTATGCCCTGGGGCCCGTGGCTGCTGGACAGATAGTGCATAATCTGGGCTTTGTGCAGCTCAACTTGGGCATGGGCCTCGCCAATGTACTTTACGCACCGGCGCTCCTACTGCTGAAAAACGTGACACAGATGAAACCTTCCTTCTCTGAGCGTAATATGCTCCTAGAGGATGGTCCAACAGGACTGTATGATACGATTAAGATGGAGCAGCGGGAGAAAAAGAGAAAGGGGTTGTGTACAACGATCGACGAGAATGGTATTGAAACCTTTGCACAGCGGTCGTTTTCAGAGGAGGAATCCTCAGGGGGAGAGTATGCGTAAAAGACCTTTAACTGAGTGTAAACTATCAAAGTGCCAATGTAGAGTTGTGTGCATTCTGTCAGATTCAATCAACTGCTTAACACGATTAGGATTGTGTAACAGGCTAAATTATTCACTGCTTCTGGTGACGGTCCCTGCGGGGATTGTCAGATCAAGTAGCTTCAAGCTTTCGCGGTAGAAAGGCGCGCGCTGGCGTTTGTTCATCTTCAAGTGAGAGTCTCGTGAGTGGAGTTTTGTTGAGGTAAATGTCAAAGTCATTAACCGTATTTAGCACTGTATCAGAAACTGACTCATATCATATTCAGGGATTCTGTGTAAATGTATTTTAACAAACCAACAGCTGTAATGTTTGCGTCTTTTAGTGTGATCTGTGTTCATTTTGCCAGAGTTGTGCTGCTAAACTGAATATGCAATACCGACTGTGTGTGTTTTAGAGAGAAGCGACGGATGGACATGGAGTGAAATCTGCATCTTGTTGTCTGTTTATTTTCTTTATTTTGGATAATGTACTTCTGGAATGCATAGCCTCGTATTATAACAAAGACTGTACATAGATGTATATTCATGTACATAATTAAATGAAGATTATGTGAATGATACGGTCTGTGAACATCATTTATTTGAGTGATTTCAATGTTTGTTGTGCAATATGACAAATGTGTTTTTCTTTTCAAGCTCAAAGGGAGGCTGACAAGTGTTTGTCATCGTACTGTGTGTTTTTTATGCATTAAACAGATTGAAATAAAAAAAAATGATATTACATAAATTAAATTCTGCACTTAGAGAGTTTTCCGGACCTTATTGGTAAAATAAAGAAACAGAAATTTTATGTTCAAGCTTGTTACAGGACAAAAAGATGTCTAAAATACCAAAATAAAATCTAAATAAAGACCTGGAGTTAACAAAAATGTCTAATGGACTCCGGATTTTAAACAGAAAATAGCATTTAAACTCTGAGGGAGGAGTAGGCAACATGTGCGCCAAAATTACGCACGTAAAAGTCACAAAAAACCAAAGTATGAAATCCACGCAAAATGCATCCTAATTGTCCCACGGAGCTCTGAGGACTCGTGAGGCTCTCAGTGTGTGTCTAAATACGAGGTGGGGTGAAGATCTGAAGAGTCAAATAAACTTCTCGGCGAATAGAAAAGACTTGTGGGAGGAGGAGGAGCTTGGCTGGCAGGAGGGTGAGGTACCCTCTCAGCATCCTTCCTCCGCCAGCGAGGGAGTTGTGTTCGTGCCATGCAGGGGATTTAAAGACAATGATGAAGGACCAAAGTGGAGAAATATCTATTAATTTCTGCCCGAGATGGAATCAAGAGTAAAGGGATAAACTCCTCACTGAAGCAAAAGGACAAGGAAGATTGTTTGCTGTTTTTTTTCTGGTGAGTAAAAGAATTTATTTAATGAGATTCATTTCAGTTCGATTAATTAGTTTGATTTTAATGATGCGGAACAAATGCGCATGTCTGGACTAGAACTTTGATTATGATGTCCGATTTTTTAGTTTATTCAGCTTGAATTATCTGTTAACAGAAACTATATTTGTCTTATTAAAAAAAGTCACATTTAGAGATAACATTCCCCTGTTTTAGACGCGAATATTTACCAATTTATTATTATGTAACATTTACTAACAGTAATTTTAAAGCACTTTAACATGAACTTATTTGTAATCTTGCTGTATTTGTGGACACAGAGTCTTTCCCTCTGCGCCACCAGACAACATGCCCGTCCTGGACCAAGAGCCCTCCAAAGATTCAGGAGGAGGAGATGTAAATATCATTATATAATTTACCTCTGTTACTTTCTTTTTCAACAAGAATGTGGAAATATAAATATTGTTTAAGAAATGTTAGGGAGAATAATAAAACATTAATTTCAATGATATGATTAAAGTCACTCTTGAATCATCAAAAGATAACACACCAATATTGTTGAATCAATTCTTGTCCTGTTTAAAGTCAATTAAAACATTTTTGTCCTTGTTTTTATTACGTTTTTCCATTTGAGTTACTAGTGTTTTAATGTATTTTCTTGGTGAACTGATGCAATCAATATAAGTTTTTGCAGTGATATGTAGTGAGTGATTTCATGGGGGGCAAATTGGATTAGATTTTCTCATCTCACATGCTGTTCAGGGACTCCCTAAGCTGCCACTCCCAGCCCTGAAAGACACCCTGGACATGTACCTGAGGTGTATGAAGCACCTGCTCACAGAGGAACAGTTCAAAAAGACCCAAAAAGTCGTGGAGCAGTTTGGAGCCCCCGGAGGAGTGGGGGAGCAACTGCAGAGCAAACTGGAGGAGAGGAGGAAAAATAAGGCTAACTGGGTAAATATGAATCAAAGTGTGTGATTTCTTACCGCAAAGTAAACTGATTTCAGCTTTTACCACAAAGCATTTAGACCTTTTACATGACTTTTTACATCAACGCATATGTGAACAAACAGTCTTATTAAAACTTAGAAGAGTCCATGAATCATTATCAATCAATTCCAGTGAGAGTTGACGTCCATCTTTGATTTTTCTTTGACATATTTCCTTTCGCAGGTGTACGAATACTGGCTGAATGACATGTACCTGAACAACAGATTAGCTCTACCTATCAACTCCAGTCCTGTGATGGTTTTCCCACAGCAGAACTTCAAGGCTCCCATAGACTCTCTAAGGTGTGAGGACAGACTCTCTACAGGAACATATAACAACATAACACAGAGGAATTCACCACTTCAAATGATTCTTATGGTTTTGTTACAGCTTGATAACTAGAAAAATGACAGTGAAGTATTTAAATTACTCAGAGTTCAGCTTTGACGAATTGTAACAAATTAAACACTTCCTCGCTACACTGTGACTGATGGGGTTATTACCCAGAGTACCTTGAGGGGGTGAGGGGCCAGGCCATGCCGCTGGTGGCAAGGTTAATAGACAATGAAGGTTGAGCTTTGGTTAACACGGTATTGATCCTGCACTGCTCTCTTAACCAGGTGATTTACATCTTGTATTTATAAGGTTAAGTGTAATACAGCGACACCGAGATACGGGAAGCTAAAACTGTAAATACAGAAGTACACAGTGTGGTAAATGTGTGTATATTTCTATGAGTATTTGACAGTGTAATGTTTGTCTTTTTTAGGTTTGCTGCACACTTAATTTCTGGTGTTCTGGAGTACAAGACTCTTCTTGATGCGTAAGTTATCGTTCAATAGTAGAAAATAAACCAGGACTTCATGATCTTAATGGGTAACACTTTAGTTAAGTGCCTGACAGCATGTATATGTGTGTGTGTGTTTGTGTGTAGACGTGCCCTGCCGATGGACTACGCCCGGGGTCAGCTGGCCGGGACCCCTCTCTGCATGGAGCAGTACTATCGCCTCTTCACTTCCTACCGTCTACCGGGGCCTGAGAGGGACACACTCGTAGCTCAGGAGAGCAGTGTGATGCCAGAACCTGAACACATCATCGTGGCTTGTAAAAACCAGGTTAGATACACAAACGTAAATCTAGTATTTAGGATCACCAGCTTGATTTCAACAAACTTTGGCGAGAGCATCTTAAACCAACTTCCTGCCATTTTGAAGGCTTACTGGTGACTAAAAGATTGAGAAAAGTTATCAGTAGAGAAAAGGTTTATACATAATCTTGTAGGTTTAGTTTGCATATGTGTAAAAGCTCCAAACAAGTCCATCAGAACCTCTCATGACACAAGTCTGACAGAAAGAGACTCCACAAAAAGTCCACTGGGTATATTTTCGGGGGGATTTCAACCATATGACACGTTGTCTGACGACATTGAAAATTAGGAACTAAGCTTGAGCAGATAACAAGAGCTACAAATAGATCCAGAATAAACCTCCTCATGATAGACAGAGAACAATAGTTACAGCGACAGTTTCACTTAATTACAGTGACAGCTAGACTACACATCGTGTTTGTGTTACAGCACAACATATGGATCATCACTGACTTGTATCTACAGCTTATGTAAACAGACTCTGACGGCATTATGCAAACACATCTTCAAATGAGAGAAAACAGCCACAGCCTGCTGATGATGTCTCTCCTTTAAAATATTCATCTTAACGTGACAGTTGTGCAATAAACTTTCAGTATAGTAACTTGCAACTCCGCAGAAAAGATGCTTATGACCATTTAGTCTTTCAATTAGACCAATGGTGAGCCAGTGTTGTCGCTCTAGCCATATGAAAATAAGAGCCTACTAATGAGTCCCTCTAGAAAGAGAGCAGATTCAGATGTATTCAGGCACAGTCGAGCTCTAGGATTACCTTTGTAGGATAAACACCATCCAGACTGGGTGCAATGAAAATTAATATCATTCCTATCAACTTTTGGCTCTTAATAAAATCACAGCAAACAAAGATCACAGAGATTCTGCTATAGTAAACCGAAGTCAAACAGCACATGGCTCACAGGCAGAGAAAAGAACAAGTTATTCTGATAATTAAGGAAGAAAAAAACAAGTATCTGTGGTAATAACCCACCGCAGTTCACAGGGAGTATTATCGCTGATCTCTTATCTATTATTTGATACAGTGATGAGAGTTATCACTTTGAGTTTTTCCTTTAAACGAATCAGTTTCAATCAAGCTGACATTTTTGTGTTTTACTCAAAATTTTTTCTAAACTTCTTCTTCTTTAGTCTGACCCTTTAATTGTTTGCTCTGTTTTCTTCCTGAGTTCTTGTCTTTGTCTTAAAGCACTGTGTGAATTATCTATTTTAACGTGCCAAGCAGGCAAAGTTATTATCAATGTGTAAATAAAAAAATAAAAAAACTTCTTCTGGTGTCCACTTGAGGCAGACTCCAGTATCCAAACAGTCAGCGCTTCGATTAAAGTTATTATCTATAAAAAGTGGTTTTAGTCTGTATACCGAATTTTTCTATTTATAACAACTGTGCTTGGGTTTATTTAAACTTATTTTCAGTACCATTTCAAAGCTGACATACTTGGTACTGATTTCACTTCAGTTCCACCACTTTGCTAGTTTGCTAGCCTAGCTGAAGGTCCGTTGGAGTCAGGATTTTTTACATATATTAGAATAGGTATTGCCACTGAGACTACATGTCCATATCTATGATTACATAGTCAATAGAAACTAATGGCATTTTAATTAAAAACAAAAAAAAAAAACGTCATACTTTGTTTGAAGATGCTTTTGTTTTGCTCTGTAGAAATTTGAAAAATCAGACTCAGGCAGTGACGATCCTAAATCTGCTACTTTTTGACTCTAATATCATTACAGATAGAAATTCTGGTCACAAATTGTTAAATCAGACTGAAATCATGATAAACATAAGGATTAAACTTTACAGCTATATTTCCATGTATGGGTGTAGAGTGGATTCCTTGCTAATCTAAGTGTAAAATCTTAGAAATGAATAAAGTCAAAGGGCTTGATATCTGGTTTGACCCTCTGTGTAGTTTTTTGTACTGGACGTGGTCATCAACTTCCGCCGACTGAATGAAAGAGACCTGTTAACTCAGCTGGAAAGGATCTGGAAGATGGCTGAGAATGAGGAAGAGCGGCTCCCACCCATTGGTCTGCTCACTTCAGACGGACGCACAGAGTGGGCAGAGTCCCGCAGTGTGCTCATGAGAGGTGTGTTTAAGGCTTCTTACTACAAACATCTAAGTTTATCACACCAAACAGACTTTTTCAAACGTTTATTTCTGCTATAGAGTCTACTAACAGGGACTCTCTGGACATGATCGAGCGCTGTATGTGCCTGGTCTGTCTGGATGAGGCCACGGGACCAGAGCTGAGTGACACCACACGAGCCATGCTGATGCTGCACGGTGGAGGAGTGGCCAAGAATGGGGGCAACCGCTGGTACGACAAACCCATGCAGGTTAGAGAGCAAAACTAGTTAACAGTGTGACTTTAACATTTGCCTCTTTTGCTTCTCCAAATTCTTAGATATTGCTACAGAGTGAACTGCTATTGAGAAAAAGTAGGAAAAATATTAAATATGTACCTAAAAATAGAAGAAACTGAGGGGTGAATGGTTGAATAATTGCATTTAGTTTCAAGCATTGTGTTATTAGAATGAGGTTTGATGGAGATGTTTAGTTTAATTGTTTGTTTATTTTAGTGAATTAGAAAATTTATATTTGCATTTTAGAGATTCAGGGGTCTAGTTTTTAAATTAAGGGTTATTATATATGAAGGAATTGATGGTTGAAATCTGCAGAAGTATGCACAAGTACAGCATAAAATCGCAAATGCAAATAAAGTTGGATAATCCAGAATTGCAGTTTGATTTAACTGATTAAAATCCCACTGAAAAAAGTATGACTGTCTTAGTTTGTTATAGGAGCCGACGGCTGCTGTGGAGTAGTGTGTGAACATTCACCGTTTGAGGGGATTGTCCTTGTGCAGTGCACAGAGTATCTACTCAAATACATGTAAGACATGACATGCAGAATGTGTCTACGATGTTTATGAAAATACGAGGAAGAATATCGGAGGTAATGCAAGCTGGTTTAATGTTCCCATGATGCATCAGGATTGGCAGCCCATCAAAGCTGGTCAGAGCTGCGAGTGTGAGCGATCTGCATGCGCCACGCAGACTACGTTGGAAATGCACTCCAGAGATTCACAAACTACTCACTTCTTCTGCTGACAAGCTACAGAGGTCTGACGTTTATCCTGTTACCTGTTCAATCAAACAAATAATAAGAGGAGGTTTTCATCATGTCTCCTGGTTTTATATCTTGTAACTTTTTAATTAGAAAAAAAGGGCCATAATTTTCTCACGGTCTTTAATTTGGACTGATATTAAAACCTAATACGCAGGCCTTTTTTTACATAAATGTCACCCATAGGTGCTATTTAAATAAAGTTATAATTTGTTTTGAGTTGGATTCTTAAAGCCGATAGGGTTTACTGTTTTTACTTTTCAGACAGGTGAAAAATCTGGACATGAATGTCCACAAATTTTACGACTATGGGAAAGAGTTCATCAAGAAACAGAAAATGAGTCCTGATGCCTACATGCAGGTTGCTCTTCAGCTGGCCTACTACAGGTAAGAAAAAGCTGAATATCACAGGACTCTCATACGTCACATTAGCTCCCGACTCTGAGCTACATGAATTTTCTTTTGTGTGTTGCTCCAGATGTCACGGTAGACCTGTGTCGACCTATGAGAGCGCTTCTATAAGACGATTTCAGGAGGGCAGGGTGGACAACATCCGCTCGGCTACACCAGAAGCCCTGGCCTTTGTTAAAGCAATGACTGATGGGAAACAAAGTGCAAGTGTAAGATACTGTACTGCGAATATGAAGTATAAGAGTGTATATTTAGAGAGTAGATTTGAATATCGCTAATTCTGCATCAGTCTAAATTTGATTTTGAGCTGTTTGTTTCTCCAGGACGCAGAAAAGATGGAGATGTTACGAGGAGCAATAACCAGCCAGACAAAGTACACAATTCTGGTAACTATTCTCTACCCTTACCATGGTTTCAAATACAGTCAATACTTATCAATTCCTATCCAAGAAAAAACACAAGTGCGTTTTATATCCTTGCCAGGCTATTACAGGGATGGCAATAGACAATCACTTACTGGGACTACGAGAAGTGGCGCAGGAGCTTAAGAAGGAGAAGCCGGAGATATTTAGAGACGACGCCTATCTCATCAGTAATCAGTTCATCCTCTCAACAAGTCAGGTAAAGTCGCCTCATTCCAATAAACCGAAACAAACTGTATAAATCAAAAACATAAATATGTCATCGGGGAGTCCTTGGCTTCTGCTTAAGACTTTAAATTTCTGACAACAAGGTTTTTACTACAAATAGGGGGGATTACTGCCTGAAGGGAGACAGCATTTAAGAGCCTTTAAATATAAATATACTTGATAAAGTGATCAGTCATCTAGTCCATAAAAGATTACAAAAAAAAAATGCTGTACAGTAGTAAACCCCCCCCCCCCCCCCCCCAAAAAAAAAAAAAAAAGAAATATTTTTTTTTCTTGTAAAATGGTTGTTGATTATTGCATGGTTGTCCATAAATTTGATCTTGATTGCTGCATTGTTAAAACTATGCAGCTGTAAATAATAGACAGCTGACATGCATCATCTAACTCTAAAATTCATAGATGATTGCAAAACCTGCAGGTGGGTTATGTTAATCAGGACTGCAGTTTAGGTTTGGTAGTTTAACTGATTGCTTTAAGATGTACACAGACATCCACCTGTCTTGCTTCAGCATTTCTACAAGATCACTGCTAAACATACTGAAACAAACTGAGTTTTTTAGGTCTGAAGAATTTGCTCTTCCTACAGGTTCCCACGACTGTAGAGATGTTCTGCTGCTACGGACCCGTGGTTCCAAACGGATATGGTGCATGCTACAACCCTCAGTCAGACCATATTATCTTCTGCGTGTCGAGTTTCCGTGACAGTCCGGAGACAAGTTCAGCAGAGTTCGTCAAGAGTTTAGTGCAAGGACTCTTGGACATGAGGGATCTGTGCAATAAATTTAACTCCAGCTCAGACTCTCCTGGGCAAAAGCAGGGTCAGGGGTTGGAGGTGAAGATGCAAACGGACAAAAGCTGGCAAATCAAAGTGCCGCAGAGATCTACAGACCTGAGCAATAATCAGCAGGCACTGCCTCAGGTTGTGTTGAAAACACCGGCACAGACAGCAGTGGATGCTCAAACCCAGACTTCATCACAAGGACAAGCACAAACACTGAAAAATGGAAGTAAACCGTAGAAAACTGTCTGTGCTTGTGACGTAATTTAACAATCACATTAAATGTGAATTGTGTGAATATTTGTGCTATACTCCATAGCTGTGATACAAAATGGTATGTCAAACTGTTTTGCTGTTACATGTACTGTGAAATATATCAAGTGATGATGATAATCTGAGCTAAATATTTTTAGTGAATATTGGAGGTGTGTGTTCAAAGTGTTTGTCAAAGAGGCTACAGCATTTAGGTTCAATTTAAAGCCAAATTTGATTCTTGTTGTTCTTATGCACTAATTTTAGACGAATCAGCCAAAGAAAATAGTACCCACATTGTGTAGTAAGTATTTGCAATACGGTCAAGTTTGGGGGGAAACAGCAAACGAATGAAGTGGAGACAAATTCAACACACCCAAGATCAATTTAGCCTCGTTCATGTCTGAATCATTTTGTCCATAAAGCCTGTCAGTCAGTGTGACAGATGAGAAATAGTCTGTGAGTTATGATAAATGGCTGATTGTCTCACTATATGTCAATGTGCAAACCGCATGCTGCTGTCCATTGATTTTCCCGGAGATTATGGTATACTGTCAAACTAGAATCTTCTATGCAATATCATTTCTGCTGTCTTAAATTGTTGTGTCAAACATACAGTATATTTTAGAAAATCTATAGATATTTAGTTAACACTGTGTTGTAACTCGTCATACTGTGCTTGTTAAGTATCTGAAAAGAGCCAGGGTTTAAAAAGAACAGTGTTTAATTTATTGAAGAATGTAAAGTCGTACCCGAGCTGTGTAATTGTACATTTACGAGCAGAATATATCAGTTAATTAATTTATTTTTTTATGATGTAAAAGAGTGTGAATGTGAATTAAGTAAGTTTATGAAACTTACAAACCAGAGGTGATCACTGTGTTAAAGTATTGTATTTATGAAAAACTGTAGAGTACTAGAAGTAAATCAGATCTAATTAAATTAAAAGCTATATCAATACATGTTTGAGTTTTTCAAAAAGGAATTATGACTGTTTTGTGAGGAGTCAGTCTACACCTACAGGGTGTTATTTACTTCCATACGATGCAGAGTTCAGGAGCTGTGGTGAGGAATCAGAATATGTCTATTTTTGTCTTAAGGAAAAGGCACAATTATTTCTTTCTCTCTTCAGTTATCACTAACTGTGTCGCTTCATTAATTTATTTGTCAATATCAGTCTTTCACAGGGACAATATAATGATTTTAATTGGCTTGACCACTCTAAATTTTAAGGAAAATTACAAGTTTCTCCTCCTTTTATCAATTATTTTCAACAGCTAATTTTTAGAACAGAGAAATAAGTGCTGTGTCTTTTTGTGTGTGAGTGAAAAATTTGACCAAGTCCATTAAAGCAATGTTGTTTCAAATTATAATCTCTACTTTTAATTTTCATGTTTTAACCCCATAAACCACAAACAAAAACATCTTTTAGTGTCTACATAAAGTTATAAGACTACAAAGTCTTGACAGTTTAATAAATATAATGGATAGGCCATTTTCGTTGACATATGAAGAAGAATTTTTTTCTTAAAGGAGGCCATGTTGGCAACTGCTGCATTATGCGTTACCAAGGTGACCAAACAATGCCGAAACTCGCGAGTGTGACCATTTGTTACGGACCTTATGAGTCCAGTGGAGTCGTAAAACACCGGACCTTTCGTCTGCAGGGTCTCCAGGGTATGTTTCCTCGCTGCTGTCTGTCTTTTATGGTGACCGTAAGACATGATGTCAAACACTGTTCAATACGTCCGCAGCTGCTCTGAGAGCACGTGGGCACCAGTGCCTCTTGGAAGAAACGCACGAGTGGAACATGGTGGAGCTCGTGGTTCACGGGGATGTGGTCTTCAGGGTTGATATAAAGCAGCTGGAGTTTGGTGAGTTTCGCTAGCTTTACTTATGCTGTTGTTATTAGGGTTGCAAAATTCCGGCAATTTTCAACTTTGGAAACTTTCCTTGGGAATTAACGAGAATATATAGGAAATTAACGGGAATATATGAGAATTAACGGGAATAAATCTGAAATTTACAAAATTGAAGGTTGGCCCTCAACAGGGAACTTAAATATAGTTGGGGAAAATATATTGTAGCATAATCTTGGCTACAACAACCAGATTTAATGGAAGTACACTCCTCAATCACATGAACACAGCACACTGAATACTGCAGGGCTATTGAGGCCACACCCCCTACATGCACTGTGCATTTCTCCATCACATGCACAGATGATTTCTTGAACCCTGGAGGCCACAATAGTGATGGGCACAGCAGTTTTTTTAGATGTACTGAATCACTAGAATCAGTTCACTAAAAAGATTCGTTCAAAAGATTCATTCAACAAATCACAGAATCAATCAGCGCTTGGCAGGAGGAGCCTGTGACTCCGACCTCCTGAACTGATACACAGCTAGAAATTTACAAAAAATTTTCCGCCCCTTTGCAACCCTAGTTGTTACTGAAAGGTAACAGCTGAGAAACCTACAGTTAGATTTGCTTTTACGTTTCCAGGTGGAGATGGAAAACTAGATCCTGTTTGCTCAGAAGCTGTTGATGCTGTGGAGAAAGCATACTGAAGATACAACCTCACCACACAACGTTTTTTATTTGAAATACTACTAAAGACCCATGTCCAATGTATTTTCCTCTATGACAGCCCAGTTTATTGAGGTCATTACTCTGTAAATACAGGCTCTGTGTTATAAGATTGTAGACATTACTTCATGGAATAAAAGGTGTGTTGTTGAGCATAGATTTTAACAGCACAACCTTTAATAAATGAATTCATTTTACCCTATAGCATATCATTTTGACAAAAAAAATAAAATAAAAATCTAATGGTCTGTGCAGAATTACTAGAAAAAGGAAATTTAATCCCTTACACAGGAATTGAACATGGACATTGTACGGATGCCAAAACTCATATACTTTCCAATCTAAAATCTCAATTTAAAAAGAGTGCCAATCATCTAAAATGTGATTTCACTGTACAACCACTTTTTACTATATTGAGTCAAAGTTGAATAAAAGAAAAACCTCTGAATTTATTTAAATGAGCACAAATGTTGCTTTTTCCTGCTTTTCATCTGTAGAATAAAGACTCAAAAAATGTATTCACTATCAAACATGGCCTTTTTACACTTTTAGCATAACCTGCAACCAGAATAAGGACAAAAACATGTCTTTAAACTTAAATATATTGTATTTTATTGCATATTTTATAACCACCAGTGTAAGCCCAGGCCCATCAAGTTGTGCACACCCACACCAATGTGAAAATACTACTTTATTTGAGAAACTATAACACAAAGATTGTCAAAATACTCTTATCCTTAAGTGTATTTAGATGACTATATGTGCAAAACACCTTTGTACTTGGCTCATGGTTAAGTCTCTTAGCTTGGAGAGAAAAGGAAAGTGACAACAAAGTGAAATAGGATGTGTAATTTTGAGCAGCATTTCTAAACACAGAGGTAACTAATATCACTTCTGTTAAACAGCTGGAGATTTCAACATGACAACCAGGCATCAATATTTCTCTGAAAACATCCAAGGCTTTTCTGTGTTTACGTGTGTGCATCCCTCAGCCTCCGAAGTGGAAGCTGAGCCTTATGTCCTAAGTAAAAAACATGGCTTGCACGTCCCTGTGCCAGCTGGCTCATGTCTCCTGGAGAAGTGAGGTGTGACAATAAATACAGTCTCCATCTCTAACAGCTAAGGTAGCCAAAGCAAAAACAGGCACTAAACCTACTGAGGTGTTAAATCTTTGAACAGTCTTCAGACCTGTGATATGTGTTTCACATTCATTGTTCAAGTACACCAGTGGGTGTCCTGTGTGCGTCTTGTAGCTACTAAAAATATGAATACAAATCACTGCGATTCATTTGCATTGTCATTTAGCAGGACAGCAAAAGAGTTATTGAGCAGTACTAAAACTACTGTCACAAAGTGGTACGAAAGAGTGTACTGTGGTTTCTGCACCCATGAACTAGACAAAAATACTTGTGATTAAAAACACATTAAAAGTTTGTGCGTGTCATTTTCCAGTTTTGAAAAAACTGTTGTAGGAGTAGTTTAAAATCTGTGCACAGTTGTTTTTAGATCATTAAAGGTAGGTGTAGAAAAATATTTTGAAGAGCAATCTTAAAGACCCTGTTCTGAGTCGAGATGATTAAATTAGAAAAGATCATGACTCAATTGAGGTGAAATTCAAGTATGATTGTTGTACGTCACCGTTGTTGACAAGTGATTCTGCATTTCAGGGATTGAAAAGACAGTTGGACTATACTGTCTCTTTTTTAAGTGATGTTTATTGACCACTAGGCCAAGGGTGTCCCAGTGTGTCCGTGTTTTTGCATTCTTTTACTTTTGCTGTGCATAAGGACCCCTTTTGTTTTATAGATAAATCAGGTAGTGAAAGGCTACAAACACGGATAATAACATTTGACATGAGGTAAAGGCAGAACAAAGATAGATTCATGTGATACATTTATGAAAGTCTGCAGCCCAGTCAAGGCAAACGTTGACTTTTCTATCTTATAACATTAAAAGAAGAAAAAAATACTATCGCAACAAGGTTAACGTAATAACTGTCAAAAAGGTTAAAGTTTTGAAATGTGAAAATTTCCCAACCCAAGACTCGACAAAAACACCACCGTGGTTGAAAATGAAGTTGCACCTCTATCTTGGTTCTTGTTCCAGTTCTCATTTACAAGTCCTTCCCCTTGAAAGCGCTCAGGTTGAAAGCTGTGTCCATGAACCTCTTCAGTTCGTTCAAGTGGGTGGACTTGTTCCCTGTTGCAGGAGCAGCTGCAGGGTCCCGCCCAACATAACTGAAGAAAAAGGAGTGACAAGATTTAAAAAATGATGTTAAAGTTTACCTTTTTCAGAGAGAATAGGTGACAGTAAAGAGAAACCTTGTACCAAATAGGTCTCTTGTTGGCCACCACTGTGAGAAAACGTGGCCGGACATAGTCATAGTAGCCCATGTTCTTGTGCTCCTCCTGACACCAGACCAGCTCAGCGTTGGCATATTTCTCTGCCTCCGCTCTGACCAGGTCAAACGGGAATGGAGAGATCTGAGGGGAAATCAAAGAGACAAAACTGTTTAATGTTGCTCCAAAATCAAACAATTAAGTATGCTCCAACTGAATAGAGGCATTACACACCTGTTCTAGTCTTATGATGGCGATGTCACTCTCCAGCTTTTGCAGTTTCCTCTCTTTAGCCAGTTCATAGTAAACTTTCCCAGTGCAGAAAATCACCCTCTTCACTTCAGCTGGGCTCTGACTTGCAGGACCCTGATCTGGAATCAGCCTCTTGAATTTAGTGCCTGCAGGTATTGAATGTTATGTGTTACTGTAGTCCAACATGACATTACGGCACATTTTACAGCGATAAATATGATTCCACCTGTGGCGAGGTCATCAAAACTAGACCTTGCATCGGGGTGCCTCAGCAGGGACTTGGGAGTGAAAATGATCAGCTGTGAAAAAAAAAGGGAAAAGTTTTATTAAGTGACAAACAACAGACTGACTCTATCATCCGTATCGTCACTATGCACTTTGAAAAACTCTAGAGATAAAAGTTTTTATATCTTTTCACGCTAATTTGTTGCCTCCATATAGCACGCAACATCAGCATTGGGAAAACAAAACATTACTTCAACAATCAAATAAATAAAAACCCTTCGTGCTCAGCCGACCAGGTCCAGACTTTGAGAGTTTTTCACAAAAAAACAAACAATATTATCCCCCATTGGCCCCCTCGCTAATTTGCTCAGGAAGTAATTTTCTCATGCTTCATGAAGCATTGCATTTATGTGCGACAGGGGATCAGTTAAGACATTTGCTGTGGCTGAAAACTATGAGAGGCTGAAAAAAGGGCTGTGCATATACAAAAAAAGAAACAATGCTTTACACCTGAAGACTTTAAAAGTTTACTAGTTATACTTCAGGTGTTCATAGTGCCACCTAAGAACATACATTTATGTGATACGGGCACTTATAATAATACAGTGACTAATACAGAGCAAAGTAGAAGGTTGATATGAGGAATATAAGAAACGACAACCTCTCAAATTGACATGATGGTCATTATCCACATCACTCTTATTATATAAAGCTTAATTGCTGTCATAATGTTGTAGTTCTGTATTTCTCACTGTAAACTGCATAAATTTAAGTTGTTCAATAAACCATTATCACTCCATTGATTCTCTATTGATCAGCTATAAAGAGAGTGGTGGTAAAATTCTGGACTTGTCAAAAACAAATACCACTCCTGAAACACAAAACACTGCAGTTCCTTGATTGTCCACTTGAGGCTGGTTCCAAAAACCAAGGAGTCAAAATGATAATTTTGACTAGATTTCCATCATCATAAAACTTATAACTTACAATACGGCAGCAATATTTTAACAGCTTTGGAGCTTTCCTACTCAGAACATGATATAATTAGGGTTATGTCTTCTATATACCACAAACTTTGATTGAATGACCTTTACTTTGCAATAACTAATAGCTGATCTTTAATGTTATTTTTTTACCTCAGTGAAAGGAACAAGACAGATTTGAAAAACATAAAGAAGAAAAGATGCAACACTTAACCGGCTTCCTGAATGGCAGTAGAATCTGACGTCTGAGCACATGACAGTAGTTAGCAGGCGTGGAGCAGTTAACCACGATCCAGTTACAGTCGTACAGCTGCTGGACTTCAAAATCTCCGCTGAACTCCTGAACACAAAATTAATTACAAAGAAATCTAATAGGTTATTGACTTTTCAAACAAAACTTTAACTCTGTGCAGACAAAGTATAGGTACAGCATTCGGTGCAGGAAAGCTTTTTCTTATGATTGAGCCGGAGATGTAGCGCATGAGTGTATCACACCACACTGTATCTCTCTCACACTCACACACACATACACAGAACACAATGATAATCCCTTACTATGCTTCCACTAATAGTTTGATCAATATCCCATTTGAAGATGAATTTGGGAAGCTTTTGCTGATACAGCCAGCTGTGGCTCCCTCCTTGAATGTTCTCCGCTACCACCTCACCCCTGGGACCTGCGTTACTGCTGAATACCGACGCTTCGGATGCCATAATGAAGAGACTTTTAAGCTTTAGAGGAATTGGCAATCACCGCTCAAGCCATCACTTAAGTGGTCATGACATCAGCATATCCAATAAAGGAGAAAGCCGTTGGACCTTTATCGCAGTGCACTTTCTTTGACACATATCCTCAGGTAATGATGATCCTCAAATTGGTTCCCATTTTAACCATAATGTAAATTGTGGATGTGAACTTACAGGGAAGTGATCAGGGTCATCTTTGCTCATTTGCAGGAAGCGTTCAGGTCGAGCTGATGAATGTTCTGGGCCCTGGGAACAGAGAAGATAGATATAAGGAAATATAATTACAAAACCCAGGACATATCTTGTTTAAATCTCCATGGAGTATTCTGATATAAGAATAGACACCATCACTTCTCACCATTCCCTCCATCCCATGTGGCAGCAGTAGGACTATACCATTATTGCGGACCCACTTTGCCTGGCCTGGGCTGATGAATTGGTCAATGATACACTGAGCTGTGTTGTGGAAATCTCCAAACTGGGCCTCCCAAAGGATCAGAGCGTTGGGACTGGCCATCGCGAAGCCCAGCTCAAAACCTGAAATCAAAGCCGTTATTACATGCTGTAACTCATCACTGACTATTTGCACTTTGCGCCGCTGAAAACTCACCTAGCACTCCATACTCTGATAAGGAGCTGTTGCAGACGGTATAAGGAGCCTGGTCTGGCCATAGATGGCTCATGGGAACACAGGTACGTTTGTCCACCTCTTGGTCGTGTAGAACATGATGACGGTGACTGCAAAACAAGAGAGAGATGGAGACAAAGTAGACTAAATCAGGGATGTACAAACAACACTCCAGTCATGTCGATGGGCTGCATTTATACCACTGAATGTGAACACATGGTTGAAGAAGCTGTAGGTTTCAAAGCAGATGTGCCTGAAAGCTGCCATCTTTACCAGCATGAGGTAAGGCTGGGACGATATGCTTTTCTCCCGATTCAATTCTTCTATGATTTTTTTGGATGCCGATTCGATTTAAATTGCGATTCTATGATATTGTCAATTTTCTCGATTTTTAAGGTCCTCTCACACCGGGACCATTTTTTTCGTGCCATAGTTTAATGTGCTTATCTGGTACTGGCCCCCGACTCAGTAAATGCTATCATGACAGAAAGCCATCTCAACACTATGGCCCATTCTCCTTCGCCTCTGAATGGCTATAAGTGCTGACCGTTTGGCTTGAGCGTGTGATGACGTTTCCAGCTTTTTTAGCCAATCAGAGGCGAAGGAGGCGGGACTTTCCCTGGAAAAAGTCTTCCCCGGGATGCGTCTTTTCCCCCCTGGAAAGTCGCAAATCGCATCGGGCTTGATGTGTAGAGTCAGGTGCGTCAAAATTCGCCTCTGAATATTTCGTTATTTCGCATTCCATATTTGCGTCGACCCCGTGTGTCCCCGGTAAGGACCTCTATTCTTAAATTTGAAAAAAAACCCAACAATTTTGGACCATAAAATTTGATTTAAAATGTAAAACAAAAAATCACTATACTTAGGTGAATCGATTTTTTCTCCCACTCCTAGCATGAGAAGAATAAATCGATTGCATTATTAGACCTGATTGTTAAAACTAGCAGGGGAAATTTTCCCATTTTTTGTGGATATAAAATACAGTTTAATGAGTACATACTCTTGATTTCAAGTTTAAGTCTGTTTTTGAATGTTTTTTTCTTTTTCAAGTTTTATATATATAATGGACAGATTCTAAGCAAAAATGGACCATCAGGCTCCAAGTCATGAAGACCTGGGATTGGTAAGTGACTACTGTGGTGACTTGTCAATTGAAATAGATAACAAATATATGTATCCTGTCCTAATTTGGTCACTTCTGGTTGACAATAACAATACTGATAGCCAAGCAAAACTTGTGACGTCAATATGGAGGGGGGGATTCACAAATCAACAGATGATGTCATGGTGACCACACCCACTTTTTTCATAATACAGACTGTGGCTCTAATGAGACCAAAATGGGTTTATGAGTTTGCAGATCTTTTAAGAAATTAAAGCTAAGTTATCTTAAATGACAGAGGTAAACTCAGGATTCATCTGAGGTTTGTAAACCAGCAGTGCAGAATATTTACATGCAGTCAGCCGCTCATCTGGCCCATTAAGTCACTCCATGAAGACTACCCTCCTCTCTCCTCACCCTCAGTCGGTGTGAGACCAAACGAGAGTCGACTGGCGCAAAGAGCCGAGCGATAACAAGCTCTGCCAGTCCCTTCACTCCCGGTGTAGGAATCAGCCCTCAAAACCAGCATGATCAGACAATCACTTAAATCCCTTTAACATCACTTCAATGACATCTACACGCTCATATCCTCACAGACACATCGAGGGCTAGAGGTTATGTAATGGTCAGAGGAAGAGCTGCAGGAAATAACCAAAATATATTGATTATTATCCTGCATGTGACATATTTCCTCAATGAGTAGATGCTCCTGATTTGAGCCGTTTGAATGATATTAGCCATAATTACAGACTGATGAGGGCACATTATGTACTGCGTTATTGTTTTGTCTGAACCGTGCTATACATCCATGTGATATATGTTTAATCTTTGAAGAAATCCTTTAATAAAAGTTAAAAAAGAATGAAGAGCATCCAGTGTTAATTGAGATAAAGAATATAATTCCAGGGTTTATTTTCGTACCTAAAAAAGCACCAGAATGAGATCTTTCTCAGGGATCGCCTCATAAACTGTATGCCCACTGCTCCTTTCTTTGTTTTTGTTTTTTCCACACACACTTTCCTCTGCCTGGGGGCCCCATTAGTCAGGGAAAGGGGTGCACGACGCAGCGCATGCAACCCAACCCGAACACAACGACTGAATCCATTAGTCGACGCTGTTTCGTACATCACAGAAATGCAAGCAGGCTCATTCAACTGTAACATGCCAATATGCTCAGCTCCTAAGAACTATGGAGGGAGACAAGAGTGGGGGGATGAAAAAGTGTCAGAGTGAGGAAGAAAAAAAGCTTTAACAGATCTCAGTGAAGAGGGTAAACTGTAGCCGGAGTACAGCGAGCTAAAACCGACATTAATTATAAATATGGACTCCCACCTGCCGGGATGGGTCTAAATAAACAACAGGTGATACAGAGAAGAAGTGTGCATGCTCGCTGTTATTTGTTTCAGCCGGGAAAAGTGAAGGGGACAGCAGATGTGCAGACATATTTGTCAGTGGTAAATATGAGGCAAAAGAAAAAGCCCTGTAGCCTCTGGTTAGTTAGTGTGATGTATGTTGTTGAGAACTGAGAGGGGGTGGAGGACGGGGTGGGGGGTGGTGGCGTCAGTGGAGATGGGCTGGTGGAGAAATGATAGAGGACAGATGAGACAGGCGCAGTGAAAGGGGGAGCTGGTTTTTGTTCATGTGTCACTCGTTCCCTCCATACCATGACAACACCATGTGGGTTTCGCAGGTCCCAGGAGACTGTGCTGACGTCTTGTGTCTGTCAGGCTCCCTGTGCCACCCTCCCCCCAACCCCCCAATTACTTAATTTACTGTCTTTAGGTGACTGTTTATTAGTAACTTAGCCTTTAGCTCCGGACATGCAGGCTGACCATTTGATTCCATAATAATGTTTTACATTTAAGTTGTTATCAAAATAAAAAAATGTACTAATGGGAGACACTGATGGAGCTACTAATCACTCATTCCAGATTTTCATGATAGATACCATAAATGTATGACACTGTATTTTCAAATACATATTTGATTATAAATAAAGGGGATTATACACAAATGTAAACACACTTGTGACTATTATATTCCATTTCTACCAAGTCTGCTTCGAAAGTGCTACTAAAAACTGCACACTGTACCTTTATTTGACTATTTTACTGTTTTTTCTTTCTAGGATGTTTGACATTCACTATGTCCTGCTCTGGCATCTCAAATTTACCCATTGCCGTAGTTAACTTTGCCTTACTTGAGCCTTAACATTGTGTTTTTGTGTTTGGTGTTGGCAATCAAACCTGGGAATCCTTTGATTAAGAGAGCTGTGTTTTTACCAGTTCAAGACAGTCGTGACAGTAAGATCTCTCCCAAGTGTGAGAGTGTGATGCAAACAATCACCTAAAGGTTCCTCGCTCCACATCCTGCCCGCTGAGTCGTACATGGATGCCGTCTTTGAGAAGGGAACCAAAGGCCATGTACTCTCCCAGGGCCCAGTCCATCTGCCGATTCTTCACCAGGTCAGCTCGGCCGCGCAGGATACGAGACACACCTGTAGAGCATGCACACATACGGAGACACTTAGGGAAGAAACAGAGTGATCTCAAAGATACGTTCTGGAGACGGGCGTTCAAAACATAATGGGCTGAAATGTTGCACTTAAAATAACCTAAAAAATCCTAACGACTGATTTAGTCGCTGATTGAGTTGACTGCTTGACCTTATATGTTCCTAAGCAAGCAAAAAAGTGCATACACTTGAGACTAGTGTATTTACTGCATTCTGTTACAATTTCAAGCATAGAATGTCAGTGTTACTACTATATACAGTGCAGTCATTAGTGTTTATTTGTCTTTTTGTTCCATATCCAAGCACAGAGTCACTGAACTCACCAGGGTGAATCTTAAAGTCTTCCAGGGGCACAGAGCTGGCTGTCTGTCCAATGTGCTGCAAAACCTCTTCATCCAGTCCTGTGGGGACACAGGCCATGCTCTTGGGCTCTCCCTCTGCTGTGAAGAAATCTGCAGGGAGAGGCAGCATCACCACGCATGAACACAAAGTAAACAAAAAATAAAAAGCAGGAAATCAAAGGAAAAAAAAAATCTATTTGAATTAGTGGATTTGAAAAGGAAATTTTACCAGGCCAGGGGGAGTCGAGCCAGTGTCGAATGTGTAAAATCTTTTCATCCTTAGAGCTGGTGTACGCCTCCTCGCATATTTTGTCATACTTGGCGACTTCTTCCTGCAACAAAATTTAATTAAAAGAGACCATGAAAAGTGTTACATATTAGATGTACAGTTTATTTACTCACTGTGGAGCTCCTAAAGAGAGACACAAAGACAGAGAGGGGGGACTGCATAGAAGAAAAGTCTCCAGCAGCAGTAACGGTTCCCCCAGCTTTATAACAAATGGTGCTTTTACAGGGGACCAAATAGCAGGCCACAAAACAGAAAATAATGTCTGTCAAAAGCCAGGAAGCAGCACTCTAGCAATATTTTTCTGACATGTGCTATAAAAAAACCCCAGAATGGATGTTACAATCAGAGTTTATGTTTAGGGTGAAGAACCTCGGCAATTCCATTGAATGGCTGCAGAATCTGAGCTGCACTTCAGCGTCACCTAGTAATATATGGTCTATGTGAGGGATCGTGAGGCTGTGACTAAACTGCAGCAGTAAATTGAAACACAAGTACAGCAGAGCTAGCACAACATTTTTACTGGAAGGCTAGGGGTAGTATCTAAGTGTGATTTAATGCATGCAGTCCAGCAAACTGTGGTACCAAACAAACCAGCATACAGCAGCAGCTTCCAATATACAGTACGTCTAACAAGAGCAAACAGCACTAGATCACAAACCTCAAATTCTTGCAGTGTCACCACTCCTTCAGTAATGAGCTTATCAGAGTACTTTTTCAGCACGTGCTCCTGCCGGCGGATCTGTTTGTACATCAGCGGCTGGGTGAACATCGGCTCGTCCATCTCATTGTGGCCAAATCGTCTGTAACAAACCTGGAAACACGCACAATGAGAGAGAGCATGTGGAAGTTTGTGCTTTTGACTGTGTTTGAAGCCATTGAGACCAGAAAGGAACTAACCAGGTCAATGACCACATCCTTGTTGAATGTGGACCTCCACTCTGCAGCCACTCTGCACACGTACATGACAGCCTCTGGGTCATCAGCATTCACATGGAAGATGGGTGCATTAACAACCCGAGCCACATCAGTGGGGTAGGGAGAGGAGCGGGCCACTCGAGGGTCTGTAGTGAAGCCAATCTGAGAGGGAACAGCAATGCATTAAAACCTAGAGCCAAGGGCCACATTGTGGGGTAGTAGTTGACAGTTTTTTAACAGCCTATGCCGATACTAATAATGACAAAGCAAGCCGACTGATAGCCGATATATAAAACCGACATCACGTTTTTTTTGTTTTGTTTTTTGTATCTTTTTTTTTTTCCTTTTTTACAAAATACATTAATCCAATAATACTGACAAATGAGAAATAAGTTCCTGCACATAAGTGAAAATGTTATTAAGTAATTTCAGATAGTAAAAAATATTTGCTCAGTAAAATATTTTCACAAAGAGATTTCGGATGTTTAAAAGCTGTTAAAAAAGAAATAAAAATATAAGGTAAATATGAACATTATGAAAAGTTATGTACTAATCATTATTTTGTGCAGATTAAAATCTGATATTCATAGTTAACTTAGCCAGTAATATGTTGAAAATAGGTTTTTAATGAATATAGAAAAACATAATGGTGATATCAGCCTCATTATGGCCAAAAGATATGAGGCCCTTTACTAAAAAATGACATTGATCAACCTGATTAATCAGCCTGCTGAATTCTTAAATAATGTGTTACTTTGGCTAGCACAGCTGGTATTTCTTTTCATCTGGCTCTATTTTACAGCACCACTTTGTCTCGGCTAATGTCCCACCCACAATAACGTCTGATTGGTGCCTGTGTGACCATGTTCTGTAAGTAAAACTGGTTAGCTGTTTACTCCTGTATATGACGCTGAATGTATAAGTTTCAATTCAATATTTGTTAAACACACTTAAAGTTTTGTGTTAGAGTTTGAAATGTTTAAAATTTTTAATTTCAACCGGTTTTTCACACTTACTGTCAGCACATAGTGGTTTAAAACATTAGTTATCATCCATATCAGTCCTGGAAAATTAGAAACTGATCTAATGGTGTTCACACACGAGCAAGAGAGGTTCAGATTCTTTCTGAAGGACACTTTAACTTATGGACTGCCAGAACTGGTCGTTCAAGAACCTATCTAGCAGATGGAAAAGTCATCTCTTAAGTAACTCAGAATTAAATACTTGACAAGTGTGAAACAACAATTCATATTCTTAGCTTTTCTTTGCATTTTTTTGTTTTGGATTAATAAATTCAAACAACAAAAAATGTTTTCAATACCTATGGTCACAGAAGTGATAATGTAACTACCAATGAAAGCAAGATAATTTGTTTATCCATTATTGAAAGAAGAATACAACCAAAACTCTTACCAAGTAGTTAAATTATGATATATAAGCATTGAAATTGATGGTAAATGCGCCAGTTTAAATGTCTCTCAATTACCTGGTTGTTCACAACCACATGGATTGTACCATGGGTAGTGTAGGAGGGGAGCTCACTAAGGTGGAAAGTCTCATACACAACTCCTTGTCCAGCAAAAGCAGCGTCACCGTGCATCAAGATTGACATCACCTGGAAAAATCACATCAAAATTCACCATGAAGGAGAAAAACATCTATCGTCCAATAAAATACAAAACAATCCACTGTGTTCATCTGACTGTAGCTGTTACCTTCTTTCCCCGAGTGTCTCCTCTGTAGAACTGCTCAGCCTTGGCCTTGCCCTGAACCACTGGATCCACTGCTTCGAGGTGAGAGGGATTTGCCATCAGAGAAAGTGTGATGTTCTTGTCCGTCTCACGGTTAATCCTCTCGTGATACATCCCAAGGTGGTATTTGACATCACCTGAGCCCTAAACATACAGTAAAGTTTCTCAAGTATAGCATCAGATATATCACAGGAATGCTTCTTTCTGACAATTTTCTAAACAGTTTTTTTTCCCAGACCACTCACCTCATCAGCAGCCTCTAACTTAGGGTCGAACTGACAAAAGATCTGATCCAGTTCCTTGCGGATCACATTGGCCAAGACATTAAGCCGACCCCTGGAAGAAGATTACACAAAGTCACAATCAGATATAAGAGCACCTGTGCGCTATGTTGAACAAAGATGTGACAAAGAGTCAAAAGAGTACCTATGAGGCATCCCCATGATCACACTCTCAATGCCGGCTGCACTTGATATGTCTATGATGGATTTTAGGGCAGGGATGAGCACTTCACAGCCCTCCAGACCAAAACGCTTCTCTGAGGACCACTTTCTGGCCAGGAAGTCCTCAAACCTAGGTGCAGAAAAAAAAGGAAAAGAATTGATCAGTTTAGTACAGCTTGGATGTAAAGTTCAAGGATGGCTTAGCCATTGTGGTAGGTTTTTTCAAGTTACATTTTGGTGCATTTTGGCATTTATTGGACAGGAAAGCTGAAGAGAGACAGGAAGGGCAGTGAACAAAGATTCGGGGGTGACATGCAGCAAAGGGTCGTGGCCAGTAAATAAACTATGAACCGCTGTGAGAGGATTCAAACTATTTTACATCGTACCTGAACATTTTTTATCATTATTAATGCATGTCTAGTAGGAACAATTGAATTGCAGCAGCACGAAGCAATTAATAATTATCATTTATTATTGCTAACCGTGTGGATCTGATCAGGCGGGCAAGTAGCGTCCTCTTTTCAGAATTTGTGAACTGCAGGATCCCTGGAGTCTCAATTTTCTGACGAATCCACTGACACTGGTCCACATTGTTGATGAACATAAACTCCACCCCTATGTGCCCGCAGTAGGATGTCTGAAACAAAGTTAAAGGACAGTACAGTACGGTGTTCAGGATTTATCCGTCATTCTCAGGCTCATGTAAGGTCACACGTATACAGACCAGATACCTTTAGTCTGTGTATGATTTCTCTGAGAGGAAGAGTGGTGTTTCCTCCTCCGATGAAGGTGGTTGAAGGCAGCTGAAAGCTCCTGTCCAAGTCTGACTCATCAAGCCCGTAGGAACCTGCAACAACACAGAGCGACACAAAGGTTTGTGCTCGACTTTTTAAGAGAGGCCCTCCAAACAACCTGTGATTAGTGTTATTGGCTTCATAGGGGCACTTTACTCGTGCAATTTAACAGAACTGAAGAGAAAATTAAACAAAGAACAGTCAGAGTAAATCCTTTTTTCAGCACAATAAAAGTCACAAAACAAAGACCTGCCTTTATCCAAGCTTTTAGCATCGCTAATTTGTGTATAAAAATTCATGAATGATTTTGGGAATTGTTAAAAGGGTAAAAGTATTTATCAAAAATGATTCACTTCTGCTTTGAGCTAATTTTATGCTTTTTAAACAATAAAAAATCAAATACTTTTAGACTTGGCACAGTAAAGTCAGTCAAAACAGGCAGCTGGGAGACGCCACCTTGGGCTCAAACACACTGTGATCAAAATTTTTTTTACTCTTTGACATTTTATAGACTGAATAATTAGTCAATAGAAATATACTGAACAAAAGTGTAACAAAGAGATTAATTGATCATGAAAATAATTGTTCCCCGCAGTCCAAACCAAGATTACAATTTAGTTGAAAAAGCTGCTCAATCACTTTGGTTTTTGTAATAACCCCTTTTAATGAAAGGGGTATTATTGCTCCCTGCCAATTTTTAATGAAAAACACATCAAATTTTGATTGAGAAATTAAAGAACAGTTTTTTCAGGAGAACTCGTAGACACACGGACCTGAGGTGGGGCTATGGAAACTGATGCTGCAAGTTTTCGTGCTGGCAAAGTCTACCTGAGGGAGCTGGTCAAACTCAAGAGTGAGAGTTCACATAAGAGGAGACAGGTGAAAATCACATTAGGAACTCAGCAAAGACAAAGGGGGCCAAGAATAGACTCAACTGACCAATAAGAGGCCACTGTGGCTGTCATTAGCTTTCATTAGGAAGCTGTAGCCCTGCTGACAATACATAATGTGACGCTATGTCCTGGCACACACTGATCACTGATAACAGCAGCCAACAGAAGCAATGTCTCTTTTTCTTCCTCTCTCTCTCTCTCTCTCTCTCTCTCTTTCTCTCTCTCTCTACTGGTTATTACTGTAGACTTCGATCCCTTTCTGTGGCTGTCCAGCATCCTCTGACTCTCCGCCCGCTAAATGAAATGGAGAATGACAAGGAGCTCGGCCTGAGATTAATGACAGCATTAGCCTGACCAACCCGCATACAGGCTGGGCAGAGAGAGCGATGTGGCATTTTATACAGAAATACCACTTATACTCTGGGGTCTGATGAGGTATGCGACCTGAATGTATGTTACGATGCGCGTGTATGTCATCTACCAACCCAACAAAGAACGAATGAGTTAAATTCTAATTGGATTCCAAAGCTTTTGAGGTTAACATGCAAATGAAAATAATATATTTACGACTGAAATCCTTGAGCCAACAAGTATCTTGAGGTAATTAATTAGAGGGAAGGACTTTTATGGTGGGAATCTAATCAGTATGGATGTACACATACCGTCTGGAGGAAACTCCATATGCTCTGAGTTCAAAGATGGAGTTCTATACATTTAACATAAACTAATTTTTATAAACCAAACAAAGGCATAATTACTGCAGATCTGTGTTTAGATCATAAGGATGTGTATCTGTAATGATCATTAAAGAAAATTTTTTACCAACAATTCAGTTTTGTTTTGTTTTTATATTGCAGTCCATATCCCTTTGTTAGTACAATGGGTACAAGGTAAACTACAGTGTGGTAGAGAAAAATGATAAATGCCTTTAAATTTGAATTTCTTTTAAAGCTCCTATGAGGACTGTTTTGGAAAGTAATGAAATAGACTGAAATTCATAATGTTGTTTTTATATGGTATCCAGAAGCAAGCAAAACCACCAGTGATAAGATGAAAGATTCTTATATGTTAATTTCTAATGCCTGAAACAGGTGTGAGAGGGTAGGTAACAGCTAAGCAGCTGAAGGAACAGCTCTGTCTCCACAATTTACACATAAAATGTTCACTATAACTGAAAAGATTGATTGTCAAAGGTCAGCAGGAGGAGATTTTTTGTTAAAATTAACTACTCGAGTCTGCAGAGGACAAGATAAGCAGAGACTGCTCTGTCCACAGGGGCGCCAATATCGACTAAAACCAAAAAGACCTTATATGAATATTATTCAAAGGAATAATATGTGTTTTGGATGTGGTGGTTGACAAAAGTAACAGTAAAATCTGTGAAGCTCACCTAAATTATCGATGGTCGTGATCAAATCTGAGGGAACAAAGGAGTCCAGGTCAGCCTCCAGGATTCCCAGAGGGTCTAACTTAGCAACGTGGTGACCCCGAATCTACAGAGAGACAAACAGAAGTGTGAAGACAGAAAAGAGAAGAGATAAGAAGAGACAAGTTTAAAAAACAGCATGAGATGAACGATAAAAGAGATTCAAGCAAGGGGCTGCTATCTTTATATCAAGAATAAAACAGCTTGAGAATTAGGAAACACTCAATTAGAGGTCAAGCTTTCTGAAAAAGAGCCCCACGGGAGGGTATTAATGTCTGTGTACACAGAAACACAAACTTATCCCCACCAGGATTTCAGCAAGCTGGGAATGAATGAGACACTCTTGCCAAAAGACAGAATTTAATAAATCCCTTGGATAGTTCCTCTGATTAATTTGAGGTTGAGGGGAAATGTTACCACCTGTTTTGTTTAAGTAGTCTCTTTGATATTTCCATTTTCAAAAGCAGCTGGGGTAAGAAGGCTGGAGTTAATCTTGCAATTTGCATAACCTCATGTGGTGACAAACAAATTGTATATTCCTTTTAATACCAGGTTAGAGGTATAAACAGCTTTCAGTGCCAGTTGCATCTGTTTTGGTGAGTCAAGTGGGTGTTGTCTGGTGCATTTTTCACACAAACACACACATCAGAGATACAAATAGTTCGCCTGTCATAACTGGAGGTAGATGACATCTTAATTCTGTGCAGAGGTGCTGCATTAAGAGCTAAGAGGGTGCTCATGATGTGATCAGTCTTTTGATTTATAAATATCATAAATCCACATGATGCAAGCTGATTTCTGGTGTATGTGTGTGTGTGAGTGAGCTTTTCTTCATGTGTGTCTGCGCACAGCTGGGAAGGGTGAGAGCGGGGTACCTGGTAGGCTCTAATGAGAGTGTGCACAGCTAGGTGGTCCTCCACCACTTTCTGTGCCATGTCTGGTGAGTGGGACAACACTCGGCCCTGGAGCAGAGCGGAGGGCCGTCTCTCACACGCCTCGCCAGACGGACTAGAGGCCTGAATGTTCCGGAAGAACGCGTCCCAAGACTGGCAATACAGAGACAGGTAGATTCAGCAGATGGAGGACGGTATATCACAAACATAGATCAAAACTGGTCCTGTTGTTTACAGTCTGCTACGCCGGAGTTGGTGACCGGACACTGGGGCAAATAACCGGAAAAAGGAGCTACAAGATATGCTCCAGGTGAGTGATTTCCATTTGAGTTAATCAACTGAGCTTCATTTCAGTGCCAAAACTGACAACATAAACATGTTTTTCTTCCTCTTACTAAGTCTAATACCAAATATAAACACCAGCAAGGTTATAAAAAAGGCATACATACTATCGGTGGGAAACGCTGATTGTTGTCCGTTTGCTAGATTTGAACAACATAACACTGCTCACAAGCACCAAACTGTTCATGTATGTTTATGTCCTCTTTACGGTGGTTGAGAGCCGCCACTGCTGCAAATAAAAAAGAATGCAAAAAAACAAAAGGCCGCAACAGAAGGTAACGACGCAAAAAAAGTGGGGATCCAAAAATGAAAAAATAAAAAAAACTTACCAAAAAAATAAAAGGATGCAAATGAAAAAAGCCACAATGGAAGTGAGCTGCCGGGGACCAATAATGTTGATGCACTGGTGTTATCGCCAAAGTCGATATGAAGTTGAACTGAAGCTAACACTACACCGGTATCCTTCAGTTTAATTTTATATCGACTCCAGTGCTTCATGGCCAAACCAAATGACACATTAAGAAGCACACCAAGGGAAATTAAACTATAACCTTTCCACTTACTTCTTTGCTTGTCTTCTCGCCGTCATCTTCTGTGCCTAGACTGTAAAACACTGGTGCATCATCATTATTGGTCCCCAACAGCTCACTTCTGTTGTGGCTTTTTTTATTTGCATCCTTTCGAGTAACTTTTTTTTCCCATGGCCACTTTTTTTGGTGTCATTAACTTCCATTGTGGCTTCTTTTTTTTTTTAATCTGCACCGTTTCTTTTTTTATTTGCAGCAGGCTTCGGTTTCTATATTTTTTTTGCATCAGTAATTTCTGGTGTGACTTATTTGCAGCAGTGGCGGTTTTAGGCCACCGTACTTCTTATATAGTTTGTGGATCTCACTTTAAATTAGATGACTTCAACAGAATAAAACATTTTGGGTTAGGGTTAGGCATATTCACTTTTGTATTGCATCACCTTTTTATTTGACGACAATCTGTTAATTCTAGGAACCACCATATGTGTTACCTCGTGCACATTATGATGATCCTCCAGCCAGGCATAGTACATCTCCTCCACATAATTGGAGCTGTTGGCCACCGCTGAGACATCAGGAGCCGCCCCTGAGGAACAGCCTCTCCTCAGGTCAGCCCAGTTCCTCCTAGCAGAGCTGCCCGCACCTCCTTGCAGCCACTGATTGCCCCCGGCACGCCCACTCCTCCTCAGGATACCAGCTAATGCCCGAAACTGACTCATGGCTGTAGGAGGACCGGAATCGAGAGAAGGTTAGAGTTAAGGGAGAGATGAAAACACTGACGCCAGATTTTTGGAAGTTGTACTAAAAAAACAATAGGAAGTGTGCATGAATGAATTTGATGTTCATTTTTTTAAGCAGATCCATCCAAAACAACAGCTAATTTAGTTCATGCGCAAAGCACTATCGCACTTAGGGGAGACTGGAGATGGGCATCAATTCATGGAGTCTGTGAAGGTTAGAAGTACATGGGTGAAGGGGTTAGACATTTATTTCCAAAACAAAAATATTTTTCACTCTTGAAAGTGAATTTAGTCTGTCATGAGTTTTATTAGAATTGTGTTCAGACCAAAAAAGATCATTTTAAATTTGTTTTATACATCAATTTTGGTATCTATGAGCTACAATATGAGGTCTAGCATTAAAGTCCACCATTTTAGCTTAAAGAACTAATAAAGTCATAGTAGTTCAGGGGTAAGTTGAGCCAGTGGTTCAACTGAGAAAGTAAAGAAGTCTGATGAGAGGATCAGAGTTTCAGTTCAGATTGTTGAAATGTGTTACTTTTTCTTACAGCTGTGAATGTTCTGAATCTCTTAAAGACATTCTCATGTTAAAATGCCTTTTTACAAAACAGCTTTTTAGCAGTTATATGCAATAATAATGCTAAAAAATAATTATTGTACCAGTTGAATAACAAGCTGTACTGTAGCAAATGGCACTTTAAACACCTTTAGCACATGACACTCTACTTAGCACTTGAGCACTTTACAATACTCCTTTAATCTTTTTGGTCCCCTTACTGTTAGTCACTTAGTTTTTGGTCTGTGTACATTGTTTATGTATATTATGTGTATGTTGTCAGTGCATTGTTCTACTCTCTTAGTCATGTTATTTGTACTTTTAACATTATTGCTTTAATGTTTAACATCAATGGAAATTAGCCATCTGGCTATAATCCCAGATATTTACATGTAAATGTTCATCAAAATGTACTGTTCCCATTTTATAAATAAACAGAAATAGGGTATAGTCGATAAAAAATACACATGAATGTGAAGAAGTGACTGTTATTTAGGGAGAGAGAAGGTGAGGGAGGGCTGGGGTGGAGAGTGAGGGGGTAGTAGGAATATGGCTCAACTTACCCCATACTCGGGGTAAGTTGACCATAGGAGACCACTTTTTTTGGCCTGCTATATTATCAAGGCAGTTATGTTTACACTCATTCTGTTGGTTTGCAGGGATGCACAACATCTTGAAATATATGCAGATACACTAATTAGAGACAAAACTATGATCGCCTTGATGTAGTGATCCAAATATGAAAAATGGTTCATCTCACCCCACTCTCCCCTATATGACACTATCGCTCAAGAGCTGTTAGAGCGTGAAACATCAGTTGCAAGCGTATATTTACATTAAATCTTAGCTCAATTAAGCGGCATATTATGAAACCTCCAAAACCTCCTGACGGGTCTGCATAACGGCCTGCGCGTCTGTTTCTGGAGTTCCTGCAAAACGCGCGTAACCGAGAGCAACTTCAGCGTGATGGTGGTCTACTTCTATGGCATCGACCCGCAACTGCAAATACTTCCTCACCTTTTCCTACAGGATGCTTTAAAGGGTTCCTTCGGGCTACGGCTTCGACATCAATACCAAAACATTGCGTATGTCACTCTGGCCCTGTTACGCTTCCCCGGGACCAATAATCCCTCAACGTCAACATAAATCCTCATAATCTCTCCGCGTCTGCGCTCATTGTAAACGCGCAGAATCACAGTACAGCGCTTTTAAAATCTCATCTACTGCGTTGTTTGCACCGTTTTACATTTACCTGAAGATGCACCGATCGTTCATTCCGTTGTCATCATCCAAAGGTGTTAAGTAGGACAGGTATCAGTGAAGGTGACACAGCAAAGGGGGCGCACGCACGGTTTGACACGCCCCCCAGCGTGTCAGGTGGTGCTGCTCCTGCAGAGAGAGCAGCCTCGACCTGTAAGTGACAGCAATCAGCCAAAAGAATAAACACACAATTCTTTTTTTTAAAGCAGAAATTAAACAAATAAAGCTGCTGAAAACCAATTAACTGTTGTGTTTGTGTTTTGTATACTTACTTTAATCCTGCCACATCAAATCCACAAGCCCCCTGCACCCACTCCTCATCCAGACAGGTCGTTTTTCCCCCCTTCCAAGTAACATCACAAATATGTCTTTCCCCTCACTGTTAATTATACGAGCCAATTAAACTTTTATAAAGGCTGAACATGAGTCATTTGAGCAAGTGCTTTCAGATTGATGGGCCTCTACCTTGAGTGGGTTAAACAATAAGATAATTGGCCCTCCCTTTTTTCTCTCCAGCCATTTTCCTTCCCCCCCTCCTTTTTCTCTTCATCCAGATTTTCATCATTCATACTTGCAGGCTCAGAAGTAACAGCATAATCAATCATGACAAACAACACATCATCGAATGAAGAAAACAGAGAGGAGAATCATATGCAAGAGGATTTATCAGGGTATTTAACCATTTAAATAATCAGGATATGAATGTAAACAAACACGACAAGTTCACCTTTGCAATTATCTCAAGGACATATTTGCTATTCTCCATGTTTCCTAAAAACAGTGTCCCTCTTTTTTTCATTTTGCATCTCTGTTTGCTGCTCTTGGCCTGACCTGTAGAACAAAGGGTCAGGCAATTATGAACTGAAATGCCATTTTGTTGTAGCAACTTTGCAGCCTGACATAGATGGAGCGAAGACCAGCTGCTTTGTGGCGTTTTGTTAATAGTATTCATTGATGAAAAGACCTGTGCCGCTGGGTAACATTATGGGCCTTGGTGTTAAATTACATCCTGTTTTGAATAATTACAGCAAAGGACAGTGCAAAACCAGACAAGTTGTTCGGTGTTTGTGTTCAGGAAAATTAAGCAAATGACAGTTCTCTAACCTCCAAATAACAGGCAAAATATGTCACCTCTTCGCTTTGACATAGTTGTTCAATTTAGTCCATGTTTAGTGTCAAAAATATCTGATTCAATCTAGGAGGCCACCAGAAAATAAAGTTCATATTCAGGTGACAGACACCGACATCAAGCACCAACAGTCAGGTTTGCCAAACCAAATTAACTTTGTACACGAGCCCGCAGCTCATCTGGTCAATGCAGGGCTCGGTACAAAGAGCGAGAGAGAAGCAGTAATGTGTAATCCACTTACCATAGCCAAGCCTACACACCATTTATGGAAGTCCACGTCATGCGGTTATTTAGGAAGCCTAATTCAGCTAATAAAGCATGTTTGGAGGCGGAATCAAATTTGTCTGAGAGCCCTCGGTGCTCGTGCTATAAGAAAAATCAATCACATTTCAGATGATTAAATAATGAGCGATTTCATGGAATTAAACGGTGATACTGCAGCGCTCAAAGAAACACAAAGAAGATTCTTGGATAAATTTGTCATTTTTAGATCATCTGTGGAGACTGAAATTACCATGATGTGCACAAAGATTAAGGTAAAAGTAAAAAATGTTTTAACATGCTTGGCCTACTGAAAAAATACAATTATAAATGAGTCCAATGAAGCTTTGCATAGCCTGTTTTGCAAATGTGAATCATGTTGATGTAAGCAGAGAGATGCGAATTTAACAGGATATAGTTTAATTAAGAAATTATAATAAAAAGAGTACAACCAAAAGCTACTTTAAGTACAGTGCTATGCAATACATTTACAGTCTTGACTCTAGCTATGAACCCATTATTAAATAGTCCCCAGAATGGCAATCAGAAAATACCGTAAATAAAAACATCATCACATCCTCAAAGTAAATGTTGAGTAAAAACATTAACAAAAATAAGAATTTGCGTGCAATTTTTTTTTTCTGCTCCCCCTTTTTATTTGCATGTACAGTTGCAATACTGTGCTAAATGCTGAATATAAAGAAAATGATAACTGAGGATAAAATCAGTGGTCTATGATGAACCACAAACTCAGTCTGTTCATCATCCACAGACCCGTCAATCTGAAATGTGTAAGACTCAGAGACTACATGAGAGTTGAGCATTGACATCCTAAATGATATAAAAGAGCAGCATATATTTGTAGATTATCTGATAAATAAATGTTCCCCATGCATAGTCTACTATATGGCATGTCATTTTTTTTTTTTTTCCTCTGTATTCAGGAACCTTCACCAAAGCCTGGGTATGAAAAATAGAGAAGACTCATCCAAAAGTAGCATGAGAGGATTATCACATCCTGGATTATAAATAAGGAAAAGTTTTCATAATCATGCATAATTATGATGAATATTTGGCTGTATGTGTCATTAGTATGCAAAAAGAAAAAAGGATTCCACACCACATTTGGACTAAGAAAGGCCTAACAGCAACCAGGATTTACTATTGCTATAAGTCTGAAACAGCTCACCTCATTTGGTAACGCACTACAAGGCTCCAATTATACCACCGATAAGAAAGGCAAGACTGTGTTTTGGTAGTTTGTGTGTTGGGATCACAAACTTAAAGGGAGAATGTGATTGTGGAGAGAATGAGGGTGTGAGAGAGAAGGAGAGAGAAAGTGATTGTAAGCACAAGGCTGAGAACTCATTGAGGTGTCTGAACCTGGAGCGTCTGACACCTAGAGACATGGAGGGAGGTGAAGTTGAAGCCCTCCGCAGCGCTAATGAGAGTCCGATGTCGCAGGGGACATCCCAGAATCCTTTGCATGGTCGGGGGCATCGGGTGTCACAGGGGAAGAGACCCTCTCGTAGATGAAACTGTAAAGGCTGACGTCAGGTCGTGTCGTGCGGCAGTTCTTACACACCAGGCTGGAGTACTGGTTCAAAAGGGTGTACAGCCTCCCTGTGGAGGGGGAAAGGAGAGGAAGGGAGACAAAGAGAGGAAGAGAGGCGCAGAGGGAGGAGTGGTGCAGGGGTCAAAAAAAAAAGAGGAAGAAATATGGAGAAAGATGAAACAGGGTTTGAGAGATAGAGACAAAAAGGACGAACAGGTTAAGAGTCAAAGAACAAGCGGTAAAGACGAGGGGAAAAAATACAGAAAAATGAAAGTGTATTCAGGCTCGTTTATAAATCACGTGCACGTACACACGCACACACAGGCCCTGAGCTTTTTCTCTTTAGCTCCACTTTAGGAAATGGATGGCCAGAGGGGAATTTCTCTGAAAGGCTTCAATAAATGTCGGCAGAAGAAAAATGAAAGGAGGGGGAGGGGAGAGGCTGGGGTCAGCTCAGGCAGTAATCCACTCTAAAGCTAAGACTGAACGGATGGGCAGAGGAGCGGAGATGGCCCATAAGGTAGAATAACTTAACATTGCAGAGGACTGTGCTCTGTTATTCATATGGACTGAGCCTGTTTGACGCCAACGAGGACAACCTCCGAGCGTTTTAAGAGCCTCTGGAGCCCCACAATCCCCAGCGGTCACTGATATCATTGCCATGCCTGGTTATTATATAATTTACCGAAAGAGCCGAATAGAGGCAAGATAGTAACAAGTCATACAAAAAGGTTCTAACTCAAGAATTAGGGAGTGTCTTACCAACGGTGACTTGTCTCTCGGTGAGGAAAGAGTGCATTTCATGAACATCTCTCATCAGCTGAGCGTCTCCAAATGTGAAGTACGCTACGTCTCTCCCTGCCTCTGCTGCTGCCATCAACTGGATAAGCGCTGGAAAGTAGAAAAGGAGAAATCCGGTCAACAGTAACACAAGTATCAGCTTTAGTGTAGTCTCCTTCAGCCTGGGACACAAATTCATTAGACAATAAGTTTAATGCAGTTGTGGGCAGAAAATAATGCAAGTGATGGAAGCTATTTGTATCAGAGGAGTTAGTAATCCGCCACTGTTAGTGTAGCCTCTTTAGCAACACTCAATCTTGAAGCCCTCGCACATTAGGTGTTAAGGCTTTTAAATATTTAACAGAATGGGTATTGATTCCAGATTAATAAACAAGGAAAACCATTTGCAAAAAAGGCTCTGTAATCTTTCCGACAACACAACAGCTCAGTCTAAGTATTACAGTGGCAGGTGTATAATGTAGAGTAAAATTAATCGCCTTCTAAATATACCAGCTATGCTAATTCAAAGGCTAATGGGCGAGGGTCTCCGGAAGTTAATATCATCCTCGGGGACTTTGTCAAGTTCAGTGGATCTATTCATAGCATTGCAGAGAAAATAAACAGCATCTAAATGAAAACGGAGGCAAACATAATTATGCTTCTTTACCATGTTTTGAGTCACAATGTTTGTGTGTAGTACAAGCTCTTTTATGAAGCAGCAGTACGACAAAAAAAAAAAAAAAAGAAGTTAATGAAAATGTGTAAAGAAACACAAGCAGTCCTCATTTACAGCATGACGTACTCGAGGGGACAGTAAAGTAAGAGAGCTTATGAAGAGGGATGTTCTGTAAGCCCACAGAGACCTGCCTGCATCTGCCTGGATTTATGGTGCCCCTTCCCCTGTAATCAATTGCCCCTTTAATGGAAAACATAAATGTGTGTCAGCTGATCAATAAAAGGAGCGAAAGAACGGATGAGTGACACCCTGGGAGAGCTGCTAATTGACCAGAGAGGTTTGAGAGAGACTGACATCAGAGCCTGTGTCGTACAGTCCAGTGAAATGCTGAGCATCTAGGAAAAGCAGAGCATGTGAGTGGGGGATCCTATGTCAGCTATGTTTAAGAATCAAGAGTGTAAATTTGATTCTAGCTCTCCATCATAAATTAAAAAAAAAACATTTGATCTGTCGTCTCAGTCCCCCTTAATTTGACTCATCGGATGATACCTTTGAGCCGTGTGTCTCCTCCAAAAGCTCCACATCCCCAGTTGCCTGTAGCCACCGCAGAGAGGTGCTTTCTGTTGGCATTATTTCTGTAGAACCCGCAGTATGCCTGGAATAAATACACAGGAATCAGAAGATGAGGCGGGGAGGATGAAAAGTTATTTGGTAATTGTTGAAAGTTAAAACAAAAGTCTGTGAGACCAATATCACTGTTTTTTAGAGTGTTTCATGAAGGCTGGGCTCAAAAAAATGCATGCCACAATGTTTAAGTGTAGACCTCAGTTTACAAATTAAAAGATGCTACACATTACCAAGCCGTTCCACAGGGAGAAACTTTCCTATCTGTTAAAAATTAAATGAAAGTTGCTTGTAGTTTTATTTAAGATTTGGTTTGGTGCCTTCATGCAGAAGACAGCAAAACAACATTTATCCATTAGCTGAAAGAGGAGAGGAGCAACAGAAACCTCTAACCAATTTTTACTTCTCTGTAGTACACAGTTTTTGGAGCACTTCTGACTTCACTCTGGTGAATCAATGAGTAACCAGGATGTCTCTGTGATTGATAAACAGTCTTTTTTTTTTCTCACAAAAGTCGAGCTCTAAACTCAGTGTCTCTGATTTGTGTTTTGTTAACAGCAAGACAACCACAGGCAAATGATTAAGTCCGCCTGTCAAACTGTCCTCTCCTGCAGTGCAAAAGTAAATGGAGCCAACCATACATACAGCATAACTTTGATCTCAACTGTTTTACTTTCACATGTTACACCGCTTTTTAATGGTCCCTCATCAGCCACTTATTGTCTTTGTATGTAAAGTCTCATACTTAGTGCCTCATATTTAAGGTTTTTTATGGTAGTTTCTGTTGTCCAACAAAGTACTGAAAACGCACCTAAAAAATAAGAACACAACAATGAGAGTTGTGACATCTTCTGTATATGCCAATATTCTGTGTAGCACCAGTGGTAAGGATACAAAGTCTACAGGGAAAGGTTTTATACACAACTCTGACAGTAAATCAAAGTTCTTCAATACAAACTTTGAGTAAAAATCATTATCATCCTGTATGTCAGCAGCTTAATCGTATTGAAGGTCATGAAAGGCAAATCTGTTGAAGTATTGTTTTAAATGATGCTCAAAAATCTCTCTCACACCTTGTTGAGTTCTCTGGCCATCTTCTCCGGGAGAAACTGCTCTAGGAAGTGCCTGTATTTAACAGCATCAATGGCAACAATTTCTGTGCATCGTCTCTGCCAGTCATCCCTGAAAATACAAAAAAAAAAAACAAAGAGTTTGAGATGAAAGAAATTCACAAGATCTTTTCATTTGTCCTTAAACTCTTTTAGAGGAGTGTGTCCATTTTTTGAAACAAAGAGAAAATAAATGACTGAACAGTAGTGTGTAGTAAAATTACCTGGGTGTCTCGTCCATGTAGCTTTCCTTCCATTCATAACTCTCAGCATAGCCAGAGTATTTACTGTACCGCTCTGTGCCTGCAGGGCAAGACAGAAAGTCAAGAAACACTGAATGACATTACACAGTATTCAGTAGTCAGAGCACACAGCCGGGCTAAATCTGTTTCAGCGCCTTGTTTCTCAAATCAAATTTAGTGCTTTCTGTGCTTCTCATGTGGGTACACAGTATCAACTTGTATTGGATTGTCATAAATAAAGGCCCATGATTTAATAAGTAATCTGCTTTGGGGTTTGAAATGAAAAGCTTTCAGCCATAATGGAAAGAAATGGTTGGAGCACGAGGAGCTAACCTCGGCCACATTTGTAAAATAATTGTTAAACAAGGAACCAGATCATCTGTTACCTGAGAGGAACATAAACTTTAGTGACCGATATAACGACTTGTTCTGCTTTGTGCTCAGTGTTAGAGATGAAAGATTCCGTCATTATGTCATTTCAAATACAACAGCTCTCACTTCTGAAAATGACGACAAATCATGGCTATAACACATTATGAATAAGTTTAATAAGAAAAGTCACTATGTTCATGAATGAAAGGAGTTACACATTAGCACAGCCTTTGAGATCCTAGAGCAGTTTTGAAGCCAATAATGGCGGCCGCCATGTTGGAAATGCTGACTCAACATAACCTTCAGTTAGCTTCAAAACACGCAATGAGGCGGAGTCAAGGCAATGACACTGTCTCCCTCGTTCATGTAGCTCCTCCTTCTTATAAATCATTTCAGTGAAGGGAGGAAATACAGCAGTGGAGGAGAAGCGTCTCAATCAAAGGTTTATAGGCATGAAGCAGCAAATGCTCCACAACAACGATACAAGACTCGCTCTTCTTATTGTCAGACTTTGTGACCATCCCTTATTAAAAGTCTTGATCGATCAAACATCTTTTACAGCTCTTACCAAATTAGAATTAACCTAATGAATGTTCTGCCATTACTGCGGCTGTAAACAAACTTGAAGACAAAAAACATGAATTATCTTTTTGTCTCTTTCAAAGGCAATCTATGACTCAAGCTAATGGCCAGTAATGGCGCCCGGGCACAACTCAGCAATGACTGCAAAGGAGAATTATGACTCTTGGTAAAGTAAAGCCCTGGCAGAGCAAACAAAAGGGACACCATTACCCAAGTCCAGCTATACAAATTAGGTTCTTCCTACGACACTAGCGACTCCTAACGTCAAATAACATGCTACCTGTATCACTTCCTCCATCAGGAGTTGCCCTCTTCCTCCTTCACCTTGATCCTATTTATTATGGCAACTAACCATGACAGCTTCCTGGCACAGAGGCATCCATTACTAGATTACTCTGTGGCTCTCTACCTTCCCATCAGAAAACGCCCACGAATGAAAACAGATGTAAAGTCGAAGCCCCAAAAGCATTGGAAGGATCACAGTTGGCATACCAACGGACAGGAAGAAAATGATTTACTGGACAGGAAAAAAAAAAAACATTAACAGAGGAGAAAGGGATAAAAAGACTCAAATCTGAGACGAAACTTAAAGAGGAAACACTGCACACGTGCAAGGAATATTCTGCGGGGTTTTAATGAATCTATGGCGTAGTCGGTCCATTCCATTAGAGGACGAATGACCTTAGTTGGGCTATAAATTCCTTTCTGTCTAAACGTAATAAAGTTAAGTGGAGAGGAGGCGGAGGGAAAGACGAAGGGGGGGCAGAATGATGCAAGGCAGAGAGAGGGACGATGACTAACCACTGAAGGTGACTTGGGAGGGACGGGGGTTTCAGGGAAGACAACATGGCGCCATACAGAACAGACAATGACTGGCTTACGTGAAAAAGGGGCGCTAAACCAGATAGAAGTCGATCGACTGAATGTTTAACATCGACTGCACAGAGCAGGTTAAACTTGTGTTTGTTTACCAGTGAGGGTTGAAGGTCTCCAACTAAATCTTAAATATTTCAGAGTTAAACAAATCACGAAGATTCAGAGAAGATAGCAAGGCTCAGGGTGCTGATCAGACTTTGCAACTTCTATACATGGCTACTGTCTACATCTATCTGTGGTACAAGTTCAAGGAAAGACACACAAGCAGAATCAATCAAAAGTCGACATTTGGGAGCACCATTCATACTTGAGTTTCTGCACACACAGCTAAGTTATAATAAATGCCCTCGTGTCTAACAGATGAATCAAACTAGGAAATGATGCTGCAAGTGTCATCAGGGCAAAGACTCTTTTAATGCCCCACTGACACAGGCGCTCTACCTGAACAAAATTGAGTTACATATTAGTTTTGCAAAGCGAACGAAACAGAATGGCAGTAAACAGAATGTGTGTTTGCATAAAGTAAGTGAATGAATAAGGTGAAAGAGTGTTAAACAAACAAAAAAACAAAAACTCACCCTGTGGAATATCACCTCTTTGTATGTATTGGATTTTTACAACCAGATTTTTTCCTATAGGCTAACAGTATTAAGCCTTTATGATTCTAATCGGCGCTTGCCCTTACTTTGACCGGTGGTGGGCGAGGTACAGCTGTGAGCCAGGGGAAAAAATGTAGGAAGGCCAAAAGAGGAGGAGGAGGGAGGCTGGACACTTAAGACAAGTTGACTGACGCAGAGTGAGTTGGAGGTTGAAAAATAAAGCAATTCTCCGGGAGAGAAATGAAGGATAACTGGGCAGTCCCAAGTGAATCGATGCAATGGATTTACCTTCAGAGGGAATGAAAGGATGAGGGAAAAATGACCGGGGCCCAATAAACACCCAGGGCTGGATGAACAAGAGGAAATATCTCAGAGACAAGCTCAATGCTAGTTTAGCCAATTTTAAGTGAACGAAAAGGGAAACACAGGAGAAACGGAGACATGTGAGGTTTCTAGAGAGCCAGCTCAAAAAGTTGGGATATTCACAGTCAATCTCCAAGACTGACTTTACCTAATTATATTTTTGTCTTTTAGGTATAGTGCAATTTTTTATAGTTGCTTTTTATTATTTATTTTTTGTTAGAGTTGACCTCAAGAAGACCAGAAATTTAGTTAACTGGGGATCCTAATACATGATAAAGACGTAAATTATTGGTTAACAGCAGCAGATGCACACTGTCTGCTCTACATTGGTTCCACTTCCTACACATGGAGAATGAATGAGCACAAAACCACGTAACGGGGTGAAACCAAACTGTGTTACCAATAATTGTAAATAACAACCAATTAGTGTTAGGGGTGTTCCAATACAACATTTTGACTTCCGATACAATACCGATATTGTAGCCTTCAATATTGATCAATACCAATATTGTGCATGACAAGTTTTTCACTCAGCTGCAACGTCTTTTTCGGTCAACATCACTCCTACTCCTTGCTACTTTGTTAGTACCTTAGTACACACTGTTGTTGTGTTTTTGTGGGCTCTGCTTGCTGGATCAGGCTGCTGCTAGATAGAGGTGCCTGAGCGGAGTCTGGAATGGACTGCTTGTGTTGCAGTGCTGATACCTGAGATTTTAGATGCAGGCTGATATGATCCTATATTTGTTTTTCTGCTGATATCTGACTGATATCAGGACACCCCTAATTAGCATCACTTCTATTAAAAATTAAAGCTGCAAGCTACAACTGCAAAGACTGTTTTTCTGATTGTACATGAGGAGCCATGGTTTTAAATATCAAACTCTGTGCATGTGCTCACATATTTAGTCATTCTGATTCTGATTATTTACCATGACAGATCAGTCACCCCTAACCTCCTCCTCCAGCGTGTCTTGGCGATCCTTACAGGCTCTTCCTTCAGCTGAATGTAATCCCCCTTGAGTGCTCTGGGTCTGTTCTCAAGTGTCCTCGAAATCACTAAGGGTGAGACCTGACGCTCAGTGAGGCTAAAATCATCCCTGTCAGCTGTACACACAATCTCATCTCCAGGTCTTTCTCCTCCTGGAGTTCATTAACATAAAGTGCGGTTTAGAGTACTGAGGAACACGCCTTCAAACTCGGCTCCCTTCTCACTACAATAAAATACACCGCACTCTCAAAGCTTTGACCTAACTTGTCCAATCTATGCAACTCACTATTTTTCATACAGTAGAGAGCAGAAGGCCTTAAGCAGGTGGTTACTCTCAACCATCTGTCTGAGAGCCACCTGTGGAACAGTGCGTGCTTGACATCAGGTTTTAATAAAAATACTCAAATTGCGACATTTCCAAAAAGCAGAGAGGTAATTCTGGGGTCGCAAAAGCAGAGACTCTCCACAACAAGATTTTCTGGATCCACAGGAACAACTGTTGAACAGGACGATGAGCATTTTGTATCTAACATGATTTACTCTGCAAACTCACCCCACTGTGTTACATTTAAAAAGTTAATTTCTTTCATATTCCATTAGACTGCTTTTTAAAATAATTTCATATTTTTGGTCAAATTCATATGGACATCATGTTTTATATTGCAAATTCACTACTCTAGCCGCAAGTCTACCTTTGTTCAATTTCCTGATTTTTCTTGTCGAAAACAAAAAAACAGATGGAGCCAAAGACATGGAGCTCCAAATGGAGGGTAAAAGTCAAAGTTTTCAAAATGCTGAAGAATCCCATACAAGGTAAAATCTTATTTATTCATGAGTGTGTGTGTGTGTGACTTTTCACCTGTGATGATGAGGCACTCATTGGATTCTAAAGCTTCAGTAAAGAGGCGGGAAACGATGAGTTCAGGGTTGATGATGAACCTGATCTCTTCCTGGACCAGCCCATGTCCTGTTACGCCTCCACCCACAAATCTGTTGGCAAAGTCCACCTGGTGAAAAAAAAAAGAGGAAACAGAGGGGTCCCCGACTCAGTTCTCAGGCCTCATATACTCCCATGTTATCATGTGCGCACTGTGAGAACATTTAAACACTGTGAGAAAGTAACAAAGTCATTCAGCAGCTCCTGCACACAGAAAAATACTTATTTTAATTAGGAGTGGTGCATACATGATTCCATTTGCCCTGTACATTCACTATAACTGAGACAACAGTTCTATCATTTCCATATTTGAACTAACGACTCTATTAGTTTCTCCTTATTATCCATCACCCTCTGTGGTCATTAAACACAGATAAATATCTGATCACTGCACTGTTTCCTGCTCATAAACAAGCTTATCAGGAAATCAGAGTAAACAACACAACACAAGAAACACACATGAACACATGCATACAAAAATTAACACGATTAATGTTGAAAAGGGCAGAAATGTAAAATCTGCATAAAGGTTTCATTACATGGTTTCTCCGGGGAGCAGAAAAAAAAGTATTTAATGAATTAGGTAATTAGTCCCACATATTTATGCGTGTCTAACATCAAGTACAAGAACATTGTAAGTGGTTGGTTGGATCGTTCACCCAAAAGTAATCCCATGACTGTAAGCTAAAATCACCAATAAAACTCTGTTCAATATTTTGTTAAGTATCGTGTAAATGTCTTTATTGTAATTTCCTTGAAATATTGTTATATAAATCTGAGGCGATATCGTCCACCCAGAGCACGTTGTTATTACCACAGCCCCGCTGGCCAATCCCCTCTCTTGCAGTTTGTTGGCAATAGTAATTTAATTTGGCATTACTTTTGTATAACAGGTGGATCCATCTCTTAATACAGTCATTAGGTGAGCCCCCCAACTGTTAACGTAAGCATGAGCGGGAGGATATTATTATGTGAGGCTGTTATTGTGCCGTTTGATAACATTCTGGGCATTACTGCTGACTTAGTGTTGGCTCTAAAGACGTGAAACAGTGTCCGTAAGTTCTATAAACGCTGAAAGAACGGCTGGGATGCAAACCCAAAAATATTTATGAGATCACTGAAGAAATATTTTGATGTGATATCATGCAAGCCCACTCCTTGTTTTTGTGGCATGGGTAAGAGGACAGCCCATTCAATCACAATGCTGCTATTTAAACAGGCTGTCAGGGGTGAAGGTTCTGCTCACTGGCCCACAGCTACGTCAAAATGTGTGACAGTCAGTGTGTTTGTATGAGCATGTGTGTATGTTTCCTCACCAGTTGCTCTGCTCCTCACCTCCCTCTCTGTTTCAACTCCTCACCCCCCCTCACCCTTCAATCTCACCCCCTGACAGAATGACAGCCCACTCTGCCCTATCCAAGTCAACACAGAGCCGGTGCCCGGCCTGCTGAGGTAGCTATCAATCTGCCTGCAGGACTCCTGGCCCACTGGGTCGACCCAGTGAGATGGCTCACCCTCGTCATCTTTTCCTCTGTGCATCTCCTTCTCCCTCAACCCCCACCCCAGGGTCTTCTCCTCCACCCTTGCTTCTCTGAGCTACTCAAGTGTATACATCAGCTGTCACCTCGAGTAAAATATGCACCAGACATCCTGGAACACCAAGGGGAGTGGGAGATGGGGTGAATCACCACAGACATAAAACCAATGTCCTTCACAGATATGCACAAAAATCATACCAGAGTTTTTTTGATTTCATGCAGGTATTGGAAAAGCAGTCAAACGGGCAGTGAAGTCTGTCTGTGATGGTCAGAGTCAAGTTTGTCCAGCCTAACCCGAGCAACAAGTACAGAACAGACGGGCTGGATCAAACCAAACACTCTCAGTTTTAACACTGCATAAAGGTTTCATTACAAATCAAAGTTCTAACCTGAAGCATCCCGTATCCGTCATCTTCAATGGTTCCCTCACAGGTGATATGTAGGCGTGTTAGCTGAGTCTGGGAACTTGAGCAAGAAAGAGTGCAAAAAGTTAGCTTATTCCTTCCCGACAGGGTGATTCACGACACACCTCAACAAATGTGCCACGAAACTGATTTAATGCACTGCAATTCTTCCAGCATAATAAATAAATGCATACATCCTTGAACAAATTTTGACATAATATTGACATTTTTTGGGAGGTTAGATGTGCAACATTAATGCTTGAAGTCCATCTGGGACATGGAAAGCCCCTCCATCCCTGCCTTAAAGGATATTTGGATTTGTGTTAAAGCTCCACTTTAACAGCAGGTCTTTTTGCTGTATCTTAGTCTTTAATTCTTACCTGCTAAATGACCTGTAAAATTTGAGCTACTGTGTCTAGTATTGGGTGGTATTTAACAGAGGAGACTTGGTAGAAATGGTGCATCATACTTAAATGCAAATTTAGATTGGTTTATAATCACCTGATTTAATAAAGTTGTCTCATTTTATTGACTTGATTAACCTTTTATATCGACATCTGAGTATGCCCCCCAACCAAGGCTACCACAGCACAAAACTGACAAACCGTGGGTTTAAGGTATTGAGTGGTTGTTGTGGACAAAAGAAAACATATTGATGGTTTTTAATGGTAAAACCTGACAAATGGAGAATCACAGGCATCATGTATAAGAAGTTTCTTGACTATAAAGGCCTCTGCCACTTTACCGACAAGAAAGAGCTTTTAATGTAGGATCAGACTGATAGATGCTGTTGAATATTCACATTTCTTCACATTGTGCTTTAAATAGTCGACAAAATTGAAAATAGTTAAACAGGGCGGATATAAACAACCGTCTTATTTAACTTAAATGTAGTTCATTGAATAAGAAAACGACACAGCATTAGAATAGAGAGAAATACCTTTCCCAGGTTGGAGGATTGTTCAGTGTTTGTCTTGTGAATGTGACGAGACCCTTGGGCTCTTCAAAAGAGAAACAAATAAGAGTTAGGAATGCTCAACAACAGCGAAGCACATCAGAGAGACAGCTGCTGCACCATTATATGGGAGATTTGAAAGCTTACTCGTCTTGGTAACTCTTCTGAAGTAACACAGCAGAGTTTTCAGCTTCTCGATTTTTCTTAGAGAAGAGCCTTCAAACAACCTGGAGGGATAAATGGAAAGAAAATGGGAATTCAAGTACAGAGGATATTGTATTGATATTGTTGAATAGTACAAAATTAATCTTCAGAGTCCCAGCTTAGAGAAAAGACCAACATCTCATGGAAATTTAGTTATTTTAAAATCATATAAAGTTATTTGTCTCTAGAAGACAGTCAGTCATTAACTGTGCACCAATGCACAACCATGTCAAAGCATGTCATGAAGGAGGTCAAGCTTTTAAACTGGCATGGTATCTCTCCCATCTACCTTCAACCTACATACAATGATGCTGCCAGGGGCTGTGTTTCACTTCTCAACAGTTCATCTAAAAACTAGGGTAGGTGGAGGAAGGAGGGAGGAGGAAGGAGGGCAGAGAGAGCAGTGGATGGCAAGTTTAAATCACCCCATACTGGCACTCTCCCTCCATTAAAAGCGATCTAAGCTGATGACTAATCACAGCTCAGCGTTCACCTCTTCTGTCTACTACTTTTTGCCAAGAAAGGAAAGAAATAAAATCAAGGTGGACAAAGGAAAGGAATGAAGTAATAAAAGTCTATCAGGGAGGAAACCGATAACTATTTTAGAATAAATTTGCATACAAAATGCAACAACATAATTCCTTTCCCAAAGCCTTGCTCATGCTCTGAAAACCCCACATGCCCATTTCCCTGAGTCAGTGTCAATTAGGCTAAATGCACCCAGGAGGACAGGACAGCAATGAGATAATGTCAGTGAAACACAGGTGGATTTTCAGTAGTCACAAATCATACTTTGAAGGAGACAGAAGGGAAACTAATTATGAAGGATTTAGTCATAAAATATAGCTCGGAAATTTCTTTGTCATGGGAAGTCCTATTAATTTATTTGGTTTGTATCCGCTGTAACCTTACTTAATAAATAATGTGCCTGAGGATACGGTGTTTTCTGACAGTTTTACCACACCAATTAGGCTTTTTTTCTTGACAGTGAGGTAGGCCCTGTCATGGTGACTCAGTTTGGAAAATAAACACAGGGACTGTATTTCTCAATAATGAGCTTTTATCGTTGACTAAACTGTTAAACAGGCTTCCTGTGTCGTTATTTTCTCAAACAGAGAAAAACACCGGCTGAAAAGATAAGTCTCCCGGATCTCCTCCCCCCTGAATCTATCCATCACTTAGTGGAGGACAAACCTTGACAGTTCTGCCAAAACAGCAATCAGCAGATTGCTTGCTGCTCTGCGTGTCCAAGACAGAGCACTACAGTAGACGATAAGCAAAGTGACGGACACTCCCTCAATTACACCAGGAGAGGGAGGGCCAGTAACGATCCAGGCCCCTATTTTGGACTGCACTGGTTGTCTTGTCGTGTCTTCTCAGAAACACCAGGATTTTTTTCCTTCTTTTTATCCCCTCAACCCTCTTTTCACTTTCCTGTATTTTGCTGCCGGCAGAAATTCTGCTGGTGATAGCAGAGCCAAGTCCCTTTTACTGAGTGCTGGCATGGGACTGAAAGAGCTGGTCCTGCAACTGAATGAAATCGATGCTTACATTATTACGGAGGCCTCTTCACTTAGTCTGCCATGAACATTTTGATGTGGAGGCTGATACGGTGCAGCCGCAGAGATGACTGATTGTGAGAGTTTGATTAAGATTCAGATAAAGTGGGATTGTTAAAGGAGAGACACACTCATCAATGATATGACCATCCCTGAAATTCAGAAGACGATACCCCCTGACCCTCAGTGGGCTATTAAAATTATTAAATGCTCAACTGACCCTTCGTGTGTGGCTGAATGGTTTGGTTATTTACCGTCTACACAGTGACATTGAATTTCTTTGTATATCCCTTTTGAAGCTTTAGCTTTTTACTGTTGCCGTCTTCTTTCATTGAAACTAAAACTGACCATATTGAAACAGCAGATGGGAAACATGTTGTTATTTCTCTATCTGTGCTGACAGACTGCTGTAGTACCAACCTGTCAATCACTGGGAGCCACATCTTACAGCATATCGTGCTTTACTGTCTACTTTATTCTACACTGCACTGTTTTTTACTAGAGAAAGCATCTCAGAGTTTCAGGGAATACTTTGAACACACCGTTGTGACAATAATTACTGTGAGATGCATGAAACAAAAATTAACTTTGACAGGTTTAAGGTACTGCTTTACATTTAAAACTGATGATATGCAAGCTTCATATTTACAGTCAATAGTGTTGGCATTACCTGGGTGTAGGGGTGTCCCGATACAACTTTTTTACCTCCGACACAATACCGATACTGTAGCCTTCAGTACTGTCTGATACCGATATTGATCTGATATTAGCAAAAACTTGTGCATGATAAAATTTACACTAAGTTGTAACGCCTTTTTTAACCTTTAATGAAAAGTACTGCCACAGTACTCCTTGGTACTTTTTACCTTAGTACACACTGTTGTCGTGACCACTTGGACTCTACATGCTGGATCCGGGTGCTGCTAGATGGAGGTGCTAGAGCAGAGTCTGGAATGAACTGCTTGTGTCGGAGTGCTGATATCGGAGATTTTCGATGCGGGCCGATATAATCCAATATTTAATTTTTTGTTGATATCGGGCCAATATCCGATATCAATATTGTATTGGGACACCCCTACCTGGGCGTGCACATTAACTAGTTACATTTATTCATGTTACTGCAAATAAGTAGTGATTTGTGAACTTTTAACTTTTTGAGTGGTTCTTAAAATGAGTAATTTTACTTAAACTTAAGTATCTTTTTAAGCAAGTGTTGTTTACAGTTAAGTTTTACATAAAATCTGTTAAGGAGTTAAAAATTCTGAAAGAGCAACTAAGATACAAGCTTTCAATCAACTGCGGAAGATGTGCTTTTAAATAACTAATATCTTACATTTTCACACTAAACCCAACCAGTTAAAATTAAGGACTCAGTACTTTGAATTAACTTTAACTTAAGTACTTTTTCTTAAGACGGTTTCATTAAAATAGGTGTGCTTCTACTTGAGTAGGATATTTCAGCAGTGTTTCCACCTCTGGTATTACTGAAAATGCAGTTTGTCATATATGTTACAACAGCGTCTCTGTCAAGTGAGTAAAACTGAAGTTGAGGTGATATCTGGAGTATGTCAAGAGCGTGGAGTGTTGCCTCGAGGCCACAAATGTGATAACAGAGCTGGTAAATACATAACTCTGTTAACAAAAACACAGTGAGCCAAAACACATCTCTCAGCTTCCTAACAAGCGTGTCAGCTGTTACAGAAATAGGAAAATATGCAAAATGTCTGCCAGATTGAGTGAGACACCTGCTGGAAGTCATCATATCAAACGTCTAAAACTGGAATAACAAAACAAGACGGAAACAATGGTTACACTTTGTCCAGTGTGAAAAAGCTGACCCTCATTAGAGACCAGGCTCACTGTCAGAGGGTCTGCTAACACACCGACAGTAAAGGTAACATAGTGTACATCTGATGCAAGAGTGACGCAACCATCAACCTAACAAACACAGTCTGACTGCATTCATGCATCACTTCTCTCTGCTCCGAATATCTTGACACATCAAGATTATGAGAAGCCACAGAGACAGAAAGACAGGTGTGCTGTTTAACAAAATCTATCAGTCAATTTGTTTCAATTAGCCATCGCGAGCTTTCTTAACAGACCGCTGCCTCTGAGTAGGTAGAAACAGAGAACATCAATTTAAGACTCCTACTCTGAAACTCCCTCCCACTCTGAAAGACACAACAAAACGTGGCGCTCCAAGAGATATCCAGCCCACGGCCCCACCCTCGGTTCTAAAAAATGAGAGCACAATGTAACCTCCAAACTACCTGTAAAAGAAAAGTGAAACACCAAACGGTACAGCTGTGCTTGACAGCCTGATTTATCAGTTAGTTTGCCTGAATGTGACAATGACTGCCAGGGATAAAAATGAATCTGTGTCACTGCCTGTAAACATGAGCAACAAATGGTAAAAGAGGAGAAAGAGGAAAAGTAACAGGGTTCATGAAATAGGGGTTTCCAAGGCAGTAGTGCCCCCTTATGGAAATCAGTTTAAATTCTTGTTAAGGGATCACCAAAAATTAGAGGTATGAAATTAAAGTCTACCAGATTGTTTTTGATTTTCAACTAATCAGGAAAATATTTCACATCTTAAACTTATTGTAAAGACCTCATGCAAACATTGTGAGAGATCCTGACCCTATTTTTTTAACAAAGCAGCAAAGCAGAAAAAAGCATGACGCCAAAAGTTTGATCATGGTCTCATCAAAAAACAGAGCAATGCCTCTTGATGTAGCATACAGACCAAAGAGGCTACGTCAAGATCAATATCCATGACTTAGGTTTCTTAAACTCAAAATTATAGCTTACAAAGGAAAATTTACAGATCATCATTTTGTGTCCCTGCAGTTTTCTGTAAGGGGACGTTGTGCCTTTACCTGTTGAAGTTGATCTCAGGGTAATTGCAGTACTCTGACTTGCGGGAGTTTCGTCGAGGGAATGTGCAGAAGAAGGCGTTGGCCAATAGACAGGCTATTTGCTCCTGAGACAGAGTCAGGGAGTGGTTCACCCTTGACTTCAGTAAGGGGATTGGCTACAGAGAGAAAAAAAATCCAAACAGAAAATAAGGGGCGAGAGATAAACATGGGAAATGCAGGGACAGAGATATGAAGAAGAAACACACGAGGATATGTTGGTGGTGTGTCGTACATCTGAGGTCAGATAAGGGGAGATAATTAGTTTAGCAATCTAGCGAGCAGAGGAGACAAGGAGGGTTCCATTAGGAAAATGGGTGGTAGTAATTAAGGTCCTGGTTTTCTTGCTCTCCCCCAGGTTTGCTCAGTCACACACACAGGGCCCATCCATCTTCACTGATTAGGGCTAAAGAGCCTCCCAAGGCTGCCCAGTTAGCAGATCAATACCAGCACTAATAACACACGCGTAAACATCAGCCATGACGCTTAATACTGCAAAACAGAGCGGGGAGTCAGAAAGCTTCATTATCCAAGCGCTAGAAAATGAAACTGAGGTGAATTGTGTTACAAAAATCCTCTTCTTTTAAGAAAACAGAAGCATGCTTGACATCCTGCCCCTGTTTTCTGTCTCCTGTGACAACCAGAGGGATTCTCCCATCCTACCCAGAGTGGGAGCTGAATTATTACATTAAACTGTGGACTCTGAAAAGGATAACTCCATTGCAGACGTACAAATCTTGGAATTCTTGCATTGCAATAATTGCTGTCAGAGAACTTAAATGAAGACAAATGGGACTGACATTTAAATATATGTGACATGGATCAGCTCCGTTCGCTGTGAATGAAAAAGAAGGCTTTAAAGATACAATGCAGGGTTTATCAGACTCTGTTTCTGGTAATATATATTGTTTAAAGGAGGACTGGTTGGTATAAAAATCCTAAGAAATAGTCAGATTTTGAAATTCCATAAGCATAACACATCAGATGGATGACTAGACATGATGGCACAGACCTTTCCTATTTCAGCCCCTTTTCTAATGAAACAGCTCCTAATATGGACTGAGAGAGGGAGTTCAACCCATCAAATGAGCTTGTAAAAACTCCCACTTTCTAACTCTGCAGTCTCTGACACTGACTGCACAGACTCACATCCTTAATCCTGTGTTATACTTCAGCCGATCTCCTGCAACTTTCAACCAACTACAGTGTACTGTAACTGCCGAGTAACAAAAACTCCCAAAACCTCGCCTAAAAACATACCTTCAACTTTACTTACCATCGTGCAGAGGCGAGGAGCACTGAGAGCCAGGTCAACCATGGCAGGCAATACAACCTCAAACAGGTGCTGTACCTCGCAAAGCTCAAGACACTGGAGAGAAGAAAAGAGAGACACAGAAGGAGAGGACTTTTTTAACAGGATACAAGTGTGGAGCTGGCTACACATTTAGGTAGCAACTTTCCTGTATTTTGCTGCCAGCAGAAATTAACTAAGGTTGACAATAAAATGAGATTAAAACAAGAAAAATTGTAAACGGCAAGAAAACTGTCAAACGTATGAGAAAAAAGTGTCACGCTTACAAAGAAGGGTCATAAAACTGTAAATTTCTAAAGAAAAAAATCATACAGGGAGGTTTCAGAAGGGCAAACTCAGAAAAATGTGGATCATCTCATTAGGTTCTACCGCAGAGTTTTACTCTGAAGCAGAGGACAGACAGCATTCACAGTGGTGCCCGTCTTCAGAATAGACTGTGTCTCTCTCAATTTACTTCGAAACCCGATACTTATGCAGTGTAGCTTTTTTTTGGTCAATTTTTGTTTTTCTATCTACTGTATTACATTTTCTCCATATAAAAAAATCATTAAATGTACAGAAATTTTTAAAAAAGAGTTTATTTGAACAAAAACACATAATTTCAATGGTAAAATGTGTTTCAGCAGGGAGCATTATGTTCTTGAGGTAAATTAGACTCAGACTAAGACCGTTCCCATCTTAGCATTGTTTCCAAAGTTTTGTTTCAAGTGGAAAATTTTGGGACAAGACTCCACCTCATGATCTGGTCAACATATAAGTTTATATATTTGCAAGTTTTGTGCACCAGGACCTCCAACAGGAAAAATAATAAAATGTTAACCCTCAACATGAAATTCCTTTTAAAAGTTCATTTTGGGGCTTTTTTAAAATCTTGACTGGGCATGACTGCTGGAAAGTAAAAAGTGGGAAAGACACGCAGCAGGGGAGTTAAACCATCAACCACTGTGATGAGGTCTGTAGCCTCTGGCAACAGGGCAAGTGCTGTTTATCAATGAAAACAAGACAAACAAACTGAAGAGCCCTGAAAAATATGAGAAACAGCATGTATTTGATGAAAAGTGTTGATGGTTTAATGACTGTTGAGCCGCTGAGTCTGAGGTCACAACCCCCCAAAGGTAACCAATATCTGGAGAACGATGCTCCAGCCTCTCATAACAAGAAAACTCAGCGTCAGTGAAGGTGGATGAAAGTTTATTGTTGTTTTTAGGGTGAACTCCCATCCTCAGGTATCAATCATATCAAGACTTTGACAGTAAAGGTAGAAAGAGGAGCTCAGCAGAGCTTCTCACTACACAGAACCTGTTTCAGAAGAATTCACCATCAATCTGTGAGTAAGCCTGACACGACCGAGGCGTCCATACTTCAGCCTGTAGCTTACCTCAGCATCCATCTGCAATTCCCTCCAAAATAAACACCCAGTTATTCCATCATAGAGCCAGATTTACAACGCAATCACTTATGAGCGTATTGGCTTGGAATGTCACTGTCATCAATCACTGGCCTTACTCTATCAAGGTAAGCAAGGGGAGCTTGTGCTGATTAAATGGACCTTCTGGAGCAAATGCAAATGACCAATGGAGGAGAGAGTGGCAGGGTGATTTCCAACAGGAAGTCTTTGGTGGGTGATTTGGCCAGGGAGGGCGTTTATACGGCTGCAGAGCAGGTCTGACTAAATGCTGTCAGAAGTAATGAGCTGGCAGACATCATAAAGCACTCCTGTGGGACTAATAGATGGTGGTTGGTGATGCGGCAGGATGAGGGCAGAAAGATGATCCTCCTGCTTTTTTCACAGCTACAGCAGCTGGCCACAACGGTTACACATCCACATCTAACAGCACCTTTCACATAAATACTCATGACGAAGTGGGCTACGGCAGGACAAACCAGATTTAATGGCACTCCGGCTAATGATCGATTACACTCTGATTTTCCATCCATTCTGGTCTTAACAAGTTATTCTCACTGTCTGGCAGCTCAATAATTCATATCTTGATTTCATATGTTTATCTAGAAGACTCCAATGTACTTAAATGACTTTGTTTTCCAACTAAAATTAAACATTTTATAATAAAATATGACCATCATTTGAATCTCTGTGTGTGGGAGGATTCTTGTCGAGTGTTTAATGTACTTCAGTCGACAAAATGACATTGATTTACAGAGTTACACTTGTGATGTCTTCTTTTGCTTTAGTTAACCTTATGTTCAAGCTAAGTCAGAGAGCTGAGGTCTGTTTTTTTTTTTATTTCATTTACTCCTTTATTGACTCAGACCTGATGCTGATTAGTTGCAGTAGCACCCAGTTCAAGATGTCCTTTATAACAAGCTGTTTACCTGATGAAGGTCTAGGACTAAAAAGTTAGAAAGTTTGTGAGAGTTTTAACCATCTTACCACACTCTTAAACGACTGCTCTGGATAAAAGATGTGTCTGCAAAGGTTTTTTTTAAAACTTTTCTGCTTCTTTTTAAATTAGGATATTTTTGAAAGTCACTCTCGGAAATCCTCGATCACTAGTAAAGTAGGGTTTGAAAATACAGAGACTAGTCAATGCTAGTGACAGGGTATGGGTCGTTTAAAGGGATGACTGTCCACCTCAAATACTTGTCAGGAGTATTTTTTTTTTCTTTAGTACTGGATTTTTGAACAATGGCGATGAGTTGAAGTATGGGCTGAAAACTAAACAGACTTTTGTGTTTATCTGTACGTTGAATTTGGTAAAGAAAGAAGGATGAAGACTCATGTTGCTTTCTCAATCAATTTAAGCTCTTGTGAGGAATTTTTACATTGTGTCAATTTTGGTGCCCCCTGGGGACAAAGGAAGACAATTGATCTCTATTGATCTTCAGTTGGGTTCAGTTGTATTTACGTCTCATATAAAGGCAGCAGTATTCATTTCAGTCTGTTTCATAACCAGCTACAAACTCCTCAAAGATGCTTCAACATACATTTCCAAAATTTTTTCTTCTAGTTTTCTTGTTAGGTCTGTGCCTCCGTGACTTTGCTCCAGATTAGATCCACACATTGGCTATTTGATGACTTTTAAAGGACTGAAGCTTCACTGACACATTTTTTAATGAATAATATTAAAACTACTAGTGTGTTTATATCAACTCTTTGCTATGTTGATTGTTATGTATGTTTGATTTAATACACTATTTTCTCTTATTTGTAACATAAATGTGTGGAAATATTCCTCGCTTATCTTAATAAAAACTTCAAGTAAAAAAAGTTGATCTGAAAAATTGATGAAAATCAAGAGACCAAGCATATCTCAGGGAGGGATTAGGTGTCTTGTTGTCTACCTGCTATTTGTACTATTGGAACATCAGCGGTATTTACTCCTGGACTGCTTTCCTGCTCAGCCCTCACACATTCATCAGAAGGTGACACCATGACAGTTTCATTTAGCAAGGGAGAAGACAATTTACAGACAAGCCCTAATTTGGATAACTCTCTTTCCCCCTCCTGTGGCTATTACACGCTGAGCGAAGTGTCAATCACTGGCCCAGGGGCAGCGTACCTCTTGACAATTACCCCAGTGCTGCACAAACGTTGCTCCAGATTTAATTAGGTGGTTTTGGCTGAGGAGCACTGCAGCTGAAAATCAAACTTACCACAAACTAAAGCAAAAGAGGAGGGTTGGTTAAATAAAAAAAGGTACAAGTAAAGGAGCAGTGGAGATTGTTGTGTGAATTTGATCATCAGTCTATGTGCTCAACAAAGCCTACAACAGATCATAACATTTGATTCAATGCCACATTGGTCCATGTATGAAAGATAATTCCCTCAAGATGGTGAGTGTCTGCTGTTCAGGAGTAGCTGTTAGTCATTCCTGCTTAACGCATCAGTACTATTTTCTGAAAACTCATCCTGCACTTATCTTCTTACAGAAATATGAAAGACATCAAGCAGTCTCGCCAAGAGGTATTTTTATCCCTTTGAGTGAAATATCTGATATTCCTTTTTCCAATGACTCTCAAGTTTTGTTGCCAAACCTTGACTTGTCCTTTTTCTTTAAGCTCCGCCCTCTACTGCTCCATTCCTCAGCAGGAGAGAGCGAGCGTCTCGCTGGCTTCACTTAGCATCCATTGCAGATTTAATGGGAGCTTTTAATTAAATTAGATTAAGCTATAAAAGGCCCAGGCAGCTATTGATCTACTGAGCTTTCTACTTGACTCTGCAAAATTATTTTAGAGACGGAGAAAAAGGGAGTGTTGAGGAGCAGTCTGAACTTAGCGAAGTACTCAACAAAAATGAAGGAGCAACAGAAATCCATCTTAATGAATTCTAACAAATATGAAAAGTTTTTACTTAAATGTAAAAACTCCATTAGCATAATGATCTCATTTGTAATGGCTCCAGACGACAAAGAACAATTAGCTACATGCTTTTCTAAATGAAGGCAGCTAAATAAAGTTGAAATTAGTTTCCAGCCAAATCATGTAAAGGTTTTATCCTCATTTTTAACTTTGATTTTTTTCACTTCTGATTCTCTACAGTTGGAGCATTATTTGGGGGTTACAATCACAGAACTTATTTTCATATAATATATAGCTTTTCTTCTTTTTTTGAAAATAAAAGTGTATCTTTTTTCAATCATCTGCCCTGCATCATGTGGATATCACAGTCCGCAGCTCTCCTCCCTCTGGAATAACTGACTCATGACCTCAATCATGAATCAGACAGATTCTGGAGGCTGTGGAAGTCTTAAACTCTTCTCTTCAGAAACTTTAAAGCAATTTCTCAACAAAAAGCTTTCTTAAGCAACATATCTGCTTACCTTTCAGTGTCATTTATGAAGTCTTTGACACAGTACTGTACAATGTCTTTTTGTTGGAGATATGCATAAATGTGCAGGTACCTGATTATTTCTAATTTTTTGATACTATCACAGTCATCTGCAGCTTCTGTTTTACTCGGTATGGTTCTCTTTTTATATATCCCTTTTTTTTGTTTAAATTCAGTGTATTTCTCTTTTTTAAGATAATTACTCCTTCCAAGTGAAACTCAATTAAAAAAGGGTTCTAAATCAATACAATATATCTGGCTCCTTTCTGTACGTGGGTCGTATGTTTGCACACTCCTTCCAGAGTTAACTTGAAACTGTTGACCACACTATTCACAAGGTTTCAGGTAGCAATAGAAGACAGGTAGAGATTAATGCCACATGGAGGAAGTTTCTCTCTTAGGTCTTTAATTCTCTGTAATTAAAGACCTTAACTGTCTGAGCTGAGGATGAGAAGCAGAGGAAGAAAAAAAAAAAGAAAGGCAGAGAAAAAAAGGAAACACATTCCCCTGGTTCACCTGCAGCAGCTGCTGCCGCCATGCTTGCTGCTCATCTGTCCTAACTGTATGATGCCTGTTTGGTCCTGAGGGACTCTGAGGTACTGTGAGGGGACCACACACACTGACGGACTGGCAGCCAAACAGAGAAAAACAGTCCCCCTTTGCAACAACAACTTGGGTTTGATAACAGCTTTAGCTTCATTCTTCATTAAGGTGCATTTCAAAGACATAATTAATCATGGCGAGTTTAACAAACACTGCCACTGTTTACCTGGAAGTTCACAGAGGCTGACTGTCAGAGGAGTGAAACAAACCACTGGCTGCATGACACTCATGAGGTGTTTACTCACATGTCAGTTTTCCTTAATTGTAAGTAGCCAGTTAAAAGGGGGCAAAAAATGACACTAAAACATCAAAGTAATGTGTTACTTCAACATGTCAGGCAGATAGAGTCAGCCAGGAAGTTCTGAGAAAGCTTTACTACTCTTCCTTCTCTATTGTACAGAAACAGTTGCATCCTGGAGAGCTTACCTCTGTGCAAAGAAGATTCAAGGCAGTGAAGTCCCATTTCTTTGCATGGGCTGTGTTGTATCGAAGTATGGCATCCTGGAAAGAACACATTTATTAATGACAAGCTATCTAGAAACCCATAAGGTTGTATAGCAATTGGTTTAATTCATATTTAGGATCATATTCTACTTGTGTCACTTCACAGAAAAGATGTAAGAGGCCCAAGTATAATCATTGCAAACCCTGCCACCTTGTGGTCATATATGGAACATATTTTGCGTGTTTGAAAAACCATAGTAGGAATCGGAGCAGACTTTTTGCTTCATTAAAGGCATGTTATCCATGTCATGTTATTATAATGGCTGCAGTACAAAGCTCAGTTTCAAGAGGTACATTGCTTTTTTTAGCTGAGCTGCATGAACATAAGCAGTTGTATTTGTCTTGCTTCTCCATCTGAGGACACTCATTTGTACAGTTAGCAGTTGTCCAACTCAAATGAAACACAATACAGATAAATTGGGAAAAGAGGTGCTTGAACTGTGTAAAGTAACCGAAGGGAATCAAGTCCCTCTCACTCCTTTCTAGAAAATTAATTTAATGCATGATGAAGCCGTTTGCAGACATAAACAGGAGGACACTGAGATTTTGTCTAGTTGTAGGTGTTTAAACCAAGAACTTCAACATAAAGATGTCAAAATTTCACAGTGCGGAAGATAAATCAGTCTTGTAGAGTTTCAGAGTATGGTCACCCTTAATTAGCCCAATCCTTTTACTTACCCTCACATCCAGACAACTCTTGAACCCTCCGTGCAGGGCCGTCTGAATCAGCTCCCAACGACTTTGGACACCACCTCCATCCTGCATTACAGAAACCAGCAACATTATTTTACATTTTTCAATAATGTAGAACATTTACATGTTCTGGAAAACCTGCACAGCTGGAATTCAAACCACAATACCTCAGTCTCCATAGGGAAGAGATTCTTCTCAGAGCAGGGCATCTTCACAGACACATCATCCCACGCATCTTTGAACTTGGTGGGGTAGGAGACAGGGAGCTCTCCCTCTCTGAGGAGATCTGTCTGTAACATGAAAACAAAGATGCAGAAATGCTTCATATTGAGGTATGATCACTTGATTATGTCAGAAAATTAATTGAAAGGTTACCTTCTACTTCCACTGTATTATCTCAAAAGTGAGAATGCTGAGAATCTAAGCTTGGCACTTGTTTATTTAAAAGTAACATGTTTCTTGTCAGGCTGACAAAGGGTTTGCCTTAAAACAGAGATTTCATTTTCCTAAAGGAGTAATTAGGAAATCAGTGTTCTTGTTGTCTAACTTGAGTCATGGTGGTCAGTTGATGGTAAGAGTCAGTGATCTTCCACAGCAGCATTGACAGTGTTCCTGAGAGACTAACAGTCTGACTGGAGCTTTGCTGACAAGAGGCCCTGAGGGGGATCACTGAGAAATGACTCCCCTCCCCTCATTCCCACTGTCTGCACCCATGCAGCCTTCATTACATTTCCTCTCCCATGTTTCCTTGCCTTTTTCTTTCTCACTATACACAAAGTATAGACCGGGCACGCAATGCCGAGTCATCCTGTCTGTTTCTCACACTAAGAGAAGCGGCTGTTGACTCACCCTGACTGTAACAGTGTGGTTATGCGCTACTTTCAGGTGAGTCAGAGGGGGAGCACACTGGGGCATTCTGTTCAGCTCATCTACGGAAGTCCCGAGCCACGATTTGTCCATATTACGCAATGCAAATGAGACACTGTAAAGAAAAACAAAACAGAAGAATTGACTTTGATTGAACTTTGTGAGCACAGTGGAGAAATAAACACCAGGCAAGAGGATTAACAAGTCATGAAGGACAGCATATTACACAGGGAAGTGAAAATGTTTAGCAGTACCTTTCAAAAATTCCAGCTGTCTGGCTCCCAGTTAAGTCTTGACTCATATCAGAGGAGGCACTGCACTCTGCTACTTCTGCATCCTGAGTTCCTGTGGCAGCCACTTGGACTCTTTCTTTGGCCAAACATCCAGAATCAGGGTCTTTTAAAGACTGTTCAGATTCCTTTACCTGAGCCTTTTCACAACTAGAGTCCTCCCCACAAGCACTGCTGTCATGATCCTTGTCAGCAGTGTTGTTAATGAGCATGCTTTTACCGACAGGGCTGTCTGGACTTAACATCTCTACATCACTGGGTGTATTTAGACCCTTTCCAGGACTGTGACTTAAACAGAGGGTAAGTTTGGGGTCTGGAGAGTTTGCAGTGACACAGGTGGTTTTAACAGGGTCAGGGTCAGGTGAACTGGGCCTCTTAGATTTCTGTCCATTAGAACAGTGTGTCTTAGCTGTGTTATCATCCAGCTCACATTCAGGCTCACAGTCCATCAAGTTCTGCGATGCTACATCATCTTGTGTGTTCTCAGCTGGCACACAGTCTTTTGTGGCGTCACACTTTTCTGATGCACAGAAAAGTTCTTCTTTTCCATCAGATATGTCCGCTTTCGGAACATCATTGTTCACATGTGGTGGATTGTCATCAGCAATCTCACTGAGGAAAGAAAGAAGGACAAAACACAGAAAAGGGCCATGTTAGGAGACTGAATCAAGGAGGAGTAACATCATGATCAAACCAAGAAGAGTAAAAAAGAAAAAAGAAAAATGACAGTGTTACCTTTTTTGAGAATCCATTACTTCATCCATCTTTGACGGATCTAATCAGATGAATCAACGATAACTGCATGAAAGAGAAAAAGATTCACAAGTTGAAAAACTACAAGATTTTGGACAAATTATGCAACTTATCAGCAAGCTCTATATAAGCTGAACACACAGAAGAGGTTTGTGTATTCTCAACACAATGATCTCCATAAAGAAGTGATGAGCCAATTGTGAAAATCACAGTTGATATCTATACTATTATTTGAAATAATAGTTCAGCAAATAGCTGATCCTGATACTGAAGTGTTCTGCATAAAGTATCTTAAATTCTGTTTTTAAGTGAGCTATGAGATTAAACATATCTAAACTGTTTTTGTTCTCCCTGTCCCTGTTAAAATTTGACCAGAATATCTTATAATCTGCATGTTGTTGATCTTTTTAGAGGTGGTGTAACACTCCCCGCACTGCCGACACTCATTCATGATTTACCCTTAAACAAATCTGAGTGTATCTTACAGGTGACTCCTTCTGCCTTACAGAGCAACTCTTTTCTGAAACAGCAGTTGCCGAAAATAACTTTCCAACTGGATTACTAAAATGAGGTGCAACAAGATACAGAAAAACATTGACTACTGACACCAGCTACCTGGTGTCATACATATGAGATAAATGGTCAAACAATATTTTGATGTCAGAAGCAATGTTAAACTTCCTCATCCTCTATATCATAACATAATTAATACTAAACACACAATATTATTAGTAAAGATTTTAACATTGTTGCGAGCAGCCACACAGCTGAGGCTACCTGTGGCGTCTGCAGATATCACAAGTTTGTTCTTTAGGTGGTTGCAAGAGCACAGGCATTGGCCGATTATGATATGATCAGATCTTATGATAAAGCAAACTGGGGTCCCGGGTATTACATTGAACAATATAAGAGACCAGCCATAACACTATGAACACCTTTGTACTCTCTTACAATCTTCTACTTTTAGGGAACATTTGTGATGTTTGTTGATATGCTGAGACAAGTTTTAGTAGGAGTTGTTGGTGTGCCGCACTATAATAAAAGGTGTCCCCAACACTTTGCTCCCCCTGTGTTAGTAAGTAAAGTGGACCAGACCTTACAATATAAACACACTCCAGTACAACACCAACAAGTAAAGCAGTCATCTGTCTGGTCATGTCGATAAAGGGTGGGGATTCTAAAGCTCCTGAAAGTAGTATTTGTAATCGAGCTGTTGTTATTAGCTTGGCGTGGGTATAATGTTCAGACTAGAAATGTTTTAGGAGTGGTCTTCATGTTACTCTACATCCAGACCTTAGTCGGACCGGGCCAACTGGACAGCTCGTCGGAATAGATCTGAGTCTTGACTTTAAATACGACCCCCCAAAAAGCAGTTCTGGTCCCTGGCAGTCGTTTTGAAGTAACAACCTGCTCAGCGTGTTAGTGAATCTAGAAGATGACAGATTTTAGACTGCTAAAATGAGCTAACTCGACTAAAGGCGTTTCTTACATGATGTCAGTGCAGGCAGGACAAAATCACAAAGTCATGATCCGGAGCTAACTTAGCTTTCACTGGCTACAAATCAAGCTAATATTAGCTAGCTCCGATTCTCTTATTCACCCCCCATCTACCAGTGCTCCCCATTAAAACAAAGAAATATCACTTACATGCCCTGCTTGGTGTGAGACATCTGGGTAACAAGTGTTTAAAAGTTATTTGTCGGTTTTTACAAACAACTGTTCATCCTCACAGCGCGTATTACACTCCAATTGTTATCGTTGGTTCACTTTCGTTTCGTTGTTGCAGCCAGCTGCTACATTTTGACGACCGGAAAACGGGGACCAATAGAAAGCCATTTCTCGTAAAAATAGGCGGGATTATGAGCGGTATCCTAGCAACTGTGCCGAAAATGAGTTTACTGTCGCGCAACTCTGAAGGAGTCAAAATACTCAATAGCGGAGCAGCGATTTATCAGTCTGTCCGCGAAATATATATTTTAGAATTTCGAAATTATTATCTTTCTCGACACCGTAACACTAAATTTATTTTTTGTAAAGTAAACTCAAGACCTAACTTTTAGTTTGTTTTTTAGTTAAATTTTGTTTTAATATTTTAATCTGCATTATGTGATTTTACCCTATTTTGTGTTTTATTACCTCTTTTTTTAAAATGTACTTTCTTTTATTGTTTGATTTTGAGACTGTTTTATTAATTTAACTTCAATGCCTTACCACCTTTATATTTTATCATGGTTTTATCGTTTTAGTCTTAGATCTAGTGTGGTATCTGGAGTACAGCATCAACATATCAGGCCGAGGTATTTCCCAAAGTTACATGAACTAATCAAAGTGTGGATTGTAGACAGTGGGTCACCTGGCTGTTGAGTGCTTGTAGAGCACAGGTCACAGTTCACAGGTCAGAATTCCAGACTAGATAAACAACAAACAAACAGATAGCTGGGGAACAAAGAGAGGATGACCCTATATAATAGGATATCAAACTGTGGGAGCGAGAGCTGGACATCATTGGCCGTCCTCTCCCAGCAACTGCAGTGCTGTACTGATACTGGTTTTGTCTTTATAATAAACTCCTCTTATACAAGCAAGCCAGTGTCACGAAGCCTCCTTCTGCATCTACACACCGAGGACAGCCCAGACACAACACTAGTGTTTCCTCATTTCTTTTAAGATAGCGTTTTCTCAATCATCTGTGACAAATTGAAGAGTCCTCACTTGGTCTTGTGTGTGCATCTGTGTGTGCGAGCTGTATTTGTTGAATGGAGGTTGGGTGGGGTTTGGTATTTGTATTTTTATGTATTTTATTTTATTGTTTTTAATTTTCTGCTTGAATGGACAATGCTTTGTGCTACATTATATGTATGAAAAGTGCTTTAAAAATAAATTTTGACTGATTGATTTTATCTTTCATCAAGTTTAACTACTATATTCGATTAAATGTTAAAAAAAAGATTTTTAATAACTAATTCACTGAATTCTTATGTACATTACACAAATATGAGCAACTTTAAACAAAAATTTATTAAAATAGTTAATGGTTCATTTTTCTGAATTTAAACATAGATATTATGTTTTACACAAGACACATGTAATACAAAGAGTGCAAAAAGTAGAAACAGACTTTGATGATTATGTCACATGGTAATGATTGGTGTACTGCAGAATCTGCCAAAGCTGTTCTGCATATTTCTGAAAGGTGAAGAGGACTGAATTGTCCTCAGTGAGGGAGGAAGACAGCTTCCCTTCATGCTCCTCAGGAGAAGGGCTTCACAATCTTCATGGAGATGTAGTTCTGTAAACAATGGACAGACATTATTTTTCACATGTGACATAACACAAACATTCTGGGTTAACATTCACAAATGGATTAAACAAAAAAAAGAAAACACACCATGTATTTCTCTAGACAATGCTACTTTTGGAATGATACTACCAAATAAAAATATGTTTGGAATTATAATTTTGTTAACTCTGAATAAGCATAAAAAAACTGTGGACAGACATTTAAACTCAGTCAGATCAAAAACAGTGAATGGAAAATATTAATATGATTGTTCTGAAATGTTTATATTAAATGTAAACTATATTATCTCACTGGTAGAGAGTAGAATAGGATCCCAAGGAACAGGATAACCAGCAGGAGGATGATCCCCAGAATGAAAATCCATTTAAATCTGCGCCAGACTATGAACTTCATGGTCTTGCAGGGGTTTGTAAACCAGAAGAATGAAGTGTCAGGGCGGCTGTTTGAGAAAGACACCAATATCCATGTTAAATAAAGCAATGTAAATCAATAAAAATCTATTCTAAGACATTTCTATTTTGTGATGATTCTGATTTCTTACTTTGGTAGGTCCAGTTTGGGATACATGTTTGGCTCATCTCTGCCTTTCCCAGAAGGTCTCTCCTGCATCTCCCTCTCCTCCACAATTTCCAGTGTCATCTCTACCTTCCCCTGTAACATTTTGAAACACAGCTTCATAAAATGACCAGGAAAAAAGTAGAATAAAACTAATGTATGTGCTGTGAATAAAAACCTACACCAAGCACTTTCTTCCCATTCTGCTCAATCGCACATGGCCACCAGCCCCTGACTGACTTCTGGGAGAAGAGGGAGTTGGGCTGTGGTTTTTTGGAGGAAGGTATGCTCCCCATTCCTGGCAACATCTTCAGATTGCACTTTTCTGGGTTCTTAGCAGGAGGGATCAAATTGAGTAAATCCAGCTCAACTGAACCTGTGACAAAGAAATTCACCAAAGAAATGAGCAGGTGTCTTGCACTGTAATACTTCAGTAGCACCCCATCTTTTAGGGCTTCCTTTTGACATGGTAATTGTATGAAATGAGGTGAGGTACAAGCTGCTTCACCTAAGTAGTCATCCAAGGAGAATTTGTCATTGTCCCATATCTGGATGATCAGTTTTGGGGGAATCCTGAATTCAGTCTTGTCAAGATTCCAGAAGTGTTCCTGTATAAAGATGCAGATTTTATTTACAGAATCATTCAACATCGTGACATCCAAACAAAAAGAAGTAAGTAAATGGCCACTTCATAGTGCTCTACGAGTTCACTCACTTTCCTGGAGACGACACACAGCTGTTCTGCAGGAAGGTACTCAAAGCCGAAGATGAACCTCCAGTTGAAATTTCCGTCACCATCCAGAGATCTGTAGTGAACATCAGTCTTCTGTTTGTCCTCCTCCATACCGGGCATCCATCTGAGAAATTTGTTAGTGATAAATTCAGGTTAGATTTTTTCATTAATTTAGTTAAACATGTGCACATTCAGTTAAACCACAGTGTGGAGAGCAAAAGAAAGTGACAGAAGAAGTACTGTACCCCTTCACGTAGATGTCACTCATGTTTTCTCCTGTGATGCTTGTTTCATCCAGAATGACGTCAGTTGTGTTCCAAACAATGGCCCTCAAGAAGTACCTGTTTAGATACAATACAATATATCTTATCTTTACATGTAAATGAGAAAATAAATGTTTAATTCTCTTTGGTTATTTCATCTCTTACTTCTTGGCCTTGCGTGGAGTAATGTCACATGGAGGCCCTGGCAAACCCATGCTCTTTGGGAAAATGTCCACCCACATCTGGATTTTTCCCTTTGATCACAGAAACGAATGACTGGACTTTAAATAAAGCTCTCATACAACAACGACAGAAAATAATACAGTACAAACACTGCTGTCTAAACCTGGGACAGGTTGGGTTGGTGAGAGCTGCACAGGGTTCTGGTCTCAACATGCTCTGGAACCAGGCCCTGGTTTCTGAGGACATGCAGGGCCAGCCTCTCCCTTGCTGGGCCCAAGTGGGGGTGGATTACAGTGTTTGCCTCTACAAAGGGCCGGGCAGAGGGAAAAAAAAGGGAATGTTGAAAGAACACAATACCTCAGAAGCTGCATCAAGATAAATAAAGCAAATATAAGAAAATGCAGTTGTAACACATGAATCGATTCGTCAAATACATATCATTCTTTTAACATATGCTAATAGGATGTTTCAGAGTGTGAGTACCAAAATCTTGCAGGTTGTATTGCTTTCCTGAGAGGGTCAATGAGGTTCCGTCTGCCTCTATGCGTGGAGGAGGAACACCTCTCACCCTCGCCACATTCTGGAGGATCTGAGAAGGTTTCAGCTGATCTCTCCACTGATTAATCCCTGAGCTGTGAGAACATGACAGCATTACACACATTCTTTGTGTTTCACTTTCTAGGATGCATGAACTGTGCCGAAGAAGTGGCTTTTGTTATGGATAAACTTAATTATTGATCATACTTACACACAGTAAGTCTCAGGCAGGCCACAGCAGGGCCGGAAACGGGACAGAAGCCTGTTTTCTAAATCGATGACTGTCTCACCGACTTTCTCATCTCTGCTCAGAAGGTCAAAGTCATAGACGGCAATCTTCAAATCCTTGTCTTGAGGCAGGAAACAGGACAGCTCAAACATCCTGGAAAAAAAATCATATATTAGTTGCTTCCTTGTGTTTGTACAGAAACTGGATAAGAGAGCTGGTCTTACCTCCCAAACTCTGGATTCAGAGTGTTTGGTTTGTAGTTATCTCTGTCATCCAGTGTTTTTCTCCCCAGTGCAATCTTAACATAAGGGTCACACTGAAATGAGAACACAAAGAAAATTACTGCAGCTGCAGGAGCTTTGATGATTGTTTCCAAGAATATAACTCCAGCACATGATTGTAACTCAAATCTTTATCGCTGTAGCTGGCTTGTTGTTCAGCTGAAGTTTAATATAAAACCCACCATGCCATTGGTGTCCTTGGGCTGGAGGTCAATGCAGCGCACCACATAAATCCTGACCAGGCATTCCTGAGGTGCACTTTCAGGAAGCTCTTTGAATTGACGGGGTGGAGGTGGAACCCCTGGGTCATCAGGCAGCGGGTAAATCTTGAATGAGCCCTAAATATAACAAAACAAGAAAGCACAACTTGCTATATATCATCCTGTCAATGCAGTATCCACAAACACATCTTATAGGTAATAACAGATTTATTTAAACTGGGACACTTCAGGAAAATTATGTCTTTATCTGTAATATCTACCCACATGATATTCACTTCCAGTAAAGAAGCCAAACAATCAAACAAATCAAAAAATTTGGAAACTGTTAGGTTCAAATAAAGCCACTCACTTTATTTGCAATTTACAAATTATCCACTAGAGGGCAGACTAGGGCTAGAAAAAGATGCTGAAGAAAAGCAATAACATTGGTTGTATATCTCTCCAAACGTGTGGTGTCATGGGGGGAGGGGTGTGTGATACTTTCTCCAACTGTAGTTTCTTTACCTTGAACTCTCCCACCACTGATGGATCCTCTTCCTCATCTTCGGTCTTTCCTCGCTGAAGTTTAAAGGTGTTGCAGAAATCGGTAAGTCCCTGGAACTGTGCAACTTCCTCCAAGTCAGAGTTATACACCTGAAAAAACACAAAACACAACCAAATAGAATACCACAAACCATATTTACATCACAAATCCTTCTATAAGTGTGTTTTTAACTCATTTTCAACCCTGCTACACTTCACATCCTGTCTGTAGGGTTTCTCAGAGCACCCACATTTATGATGTTTTTCATCATAAGATCCACCCACTGAATCATCCTCATGTCTTACTAATCAGGATCACAGCAAAGAAAACTCAGCAAGAAGTCACAGTCTGGTCACAACCCTACAGATTTTAAGACCAAACACAAACAAATACACAGATCAAATGTATTTTTTGTGTGTTTTTACAATCTGTGTTAGCTTCCTCCCACCTGTAGCTTGTCATATCCTTTTTTCAGGTAAGGCCCACACTTTTCCTGGTTTCCAATAGAGGCGTGGAACTTACTCCACCAGTCCACTGCTTCCTCCTCCTACAGAATAAAAATTTACAGTGAACTCAGTCTTTTCAGGGAGAATATTTATGAGTAGACTGTATGAAAAGAGAAAATCTTACCTTCTCTGCTTGAAGCTGAAGATTGGAAAACAAACAAAAAATATTAATCAGTAAAAAAGCTTATGTGAGAATACTTTCTTCCACTTATTTTACAAAAGTGTTGTTTTTACCTCAGTTGTTTTCACTATGGGTCTCTCCTCAATGTCAATGACAACATCTCTGTGGGAGGCTGCTATCATCGCCACTGCAGCATCAGCACAAAACAGAATTCACCAAGTGCCTTTTATACGTTAGAGTTCATATGAATTTACCGTACATTAGTTTTCATACCTCTTGCAGACATGCAGACTTCGTTGTTAATGCGATAGGGGTCACAGCGAAACTCCTCCAAGCAGTCGATGGTGCACTGACCCACGACAGGCTTCCTGCCAAATGGTCGATGGTCGATGACCTTCAGCACAATAGGTGGAGTGTACATCTCCTCTTTGGGGAGAAGCTAGACCAGGGACAGAAAAGATTATGGCACATTAGGAAATAAGATTCATGTGACATTTATTGGTGTTTAAGTATTTCCCATGTTAAGTTCGAGGGTTAGTACCACTTTGAGTATGAGCACAGATCCAGGGAAGTTTGGGTTCTTTCTGAAGTTCTTGATGACAGCAGTTTGGACAATCTCACCACCACACTCCACCACTAAACTGGGAGATGAAACTGTGGCCAACTGGTAGGTCTTCATGTTTCTCAAGCCCCACGTCAAGACCTGAGAGCAGTGAAGTACATTTGGGCAAAAAACAAACAAACAGGAGATTGAGAGACTGCTAATGGAGGAAAGGAAGAGAGGAACAGATGAGAAATCAAACCAAAACTGAAGTTTGAAGGTTGGTCTAGTCTTGTCTGATCATGTAACATATGTGATGGGAATTTACAGCAGCTGGCAAGGGAGCAGAGTGGTTGGATGGTGTACCTCTATTGCAGTGAGCTGCACCACCGGCCTGATTCCCTGAGGAACCATGTAGAGCTTCTCTCCCCGCCGAGGAGGCACCAGAGGCATGTCTCCATCATTCACCTGAAAGGAACAACACAACATCGTCTCCTGAGGACAGTTTGATAAGCTTGAAACTTGGCATGTTTAGTTTCTTAAATCTTTTTTGTACCTTCTCCTTCAGTATAAGCTCTGCTGCCATTAGCACCTCTCCAGCATTGCGACCTTTTTTGGTGACTGGGAACCACAGCAGCTTGGGGTTGACAGCCACACTGGGGTTCAGTTTCACTACCGGTGGGCATGTACAGCAACCCATGGGCTCATCTTTACCCTTGTAAATTAAATAAAGCAGCAAACAAACACTTAGAGAAGCCTGCCAGTGTCTTTATAATGGTCTCCTGTCACATTAATGAGAGACAATTGATTTGTTGAGAAGTAAAGCAGACTAAATGGATAACATACGACTTGATCGCTGTCGTACAGCTCCAACACCACATCAGGAGGGTTGTGCGCGATCGTCTGTGGGTCCCCGTAGATTTCAATGTCCTCAAAGATGAGAGTCTGATCCCATGTGGGGTTCAGAGTGGTCCTTATGACTTCTGTGGTCTTACTCACATGTAGGAATGACACGTGGGCGTAAGGATCTGGTGAGGATGAAGGCATTATTTTGTGAGATACTGTAGCTTTTGTTCAGGTAAAACAGAAGATCCCGAGGAGATTTAGTTCATCCTTCTGAGCCATAAAGAAATCTTCTTCATTTTTACCTGAGAAGCTGTCTTTGTCCATGGCACAGAGATTCCTCGCCTGATACACGTACACTCTCAGGTGGTAAATGTAGGACCCTGAGGGGAGACAACACTTCTCAGCATGTTTCAACTGCTTAAAAATAACATTATCTCACAGGATACCTGATACACTGATCAGACAAGTGCCTGAGTTAATTCCAGATTTTACAGAATTCCTGATTCAGGGTGAACTTGCATGAGGACCAGTCAGGTGGAATTTACTTTATCTGACTTACGGCTAAAGTGGCAGGAAACTGTGGGGGTGTTGGCACCAAATACTTTGGCTGCATCCGTTTTACTGGTCTTTTCATCAACATCAACTCCCTGTAAACAATAAAGCAGGACGTGGTACTTAAAAGAACACTTCTCAGCAAATATTCGGGCAAAACTGATGAAAACATGAAGAACGAAAAGCAGAACTGAAATAAATTTCCTGGGTTTTTCGCCAACATCTAACAGGAACAGACACACGCATAAGAATAAAGAAGGGATATGACTCAGATGGCATAACATAACCTGAGTTGCCATGACAACTGCCACATATTTGGCAATATTTCACAACCAAGACTTACTAATGCCCCTTCTAATCTAAAGATGGCAGAGGCTCCGACGCAGTCTGACGGGACCATTTTTCTTCTCCAGCGGCGACGCCGGAATGTGTCTGAGGAGCGTTCCTTTCTGTGAAACTTCCAGCCAATCAGAGAGGAGTATTCCCAGCCTTCCCCTGGTTCTCTTCTCTGCAATAAGACACGGACAAAGATGGATGAAAACTATACTCATCCCTGCATTTTTTGTCTCATCTACCCCTCACTCACCTCTGTAGCAGCTACTTTATCAGACGTCTTCCTCCGTGGTCGCACGAGTCTCTTCCTGCGGTGGACGTGGTACATTTTCTCTGCTGCAACCCAAGATTTCGGCTTGTCATCAGGAGGAATGGTAACTCCATACTCCCAACCTGGAGACAAAAATATATATAAATATAAACCAGGAAACAAACTGATAGTGATTAAAACTCGGAAACAGTGAGGATGAAACTCAAATATTTCACTCTACCTTTCTCATCTACAGCCCTGTTGGTGTCAAAGCTCCAGTTATCCTCCCAGGTCCATCCTGGCGGACACTCAAAGTCCTCAGGACTCAGTGTTTTCTCTCCATTCTGAAGAACAAACACACACTCTGTCATTCCTCCATGTCATGTACGGCTGCATATCTTAAGAATGTAACTGCAGTGCTTTTAATGTGTAACAAAACCACTTTTTAGCTGCTTGTGGTCAAATAAATTCTGATATTCTCTCTCTCCTAAAAGCTCCAAATTTCCATCAAACAAGCTCAGGAGAGAAAAATATGGTTTGGCTGCTAAATGATCCCCTACACTGACCAAATAGTTCATAACTCTGTTCAACTTTTGTGCTGAACAGTGTGATGTGGATCTATCTGGGATTTGTAATTCAAGTGAATAGATTTATTAGATTGAGTTGCAGTTCATTTTTATAACTTCTGTTTACACTAGATTTCTCAAAACTGAGCTGCCTTTGTCAATGCAACCACAAAAGGAACCACCTGTTCTGAGTTTAAATAGCACAAGAGGAACTGATATCATTGAAAGCTTAGAAACTGAAACTGATATTCATAAAAGAGTAGAAGGACTTCTGTTCAGTTAACTCCAACTACATTTTTCACACACAAAGTCCTACAAACTTCATGTTTGGTTTTGTGAATGTGAGTGTAACAACAGCATGCCGTACCACATCTGTGTAGGGCTCTCCTGCCGGCTTCCACTCCCCGCCAGGGAAACGTGTCTCATTCTGGAAAACTTCATCAGTAAACTCTGTGTGGCCGGCATCTGCTTCTGTCAACAAGCTAAAAGAAAACAGCAGCAGGTTGATGAGAGGGTCTGTGACTCAGAAAGAAGCTATGTAGATGCATGCTAACCAGAGCAGAACAGCTCAGGAAGACAGGCTTCAGAGCGCTAACGTTATTTACATGAACCTCTGTGGGAGAATGTGAGCACTTCAGATGAAGGAGGCACTAATGGAGGAGGAAGCCTCCTCAAAAGCACAACACTAGTTGATGCCCAGATTCCTTCATTTCCTGTGATTGTGTTCATTACAAGGTTGGAGGTAAAAAGCCTGGCTGGTACAAGCTTTGATTTATAATTACTGCCAATGAGTAGAAAAAACAATGGAGTCTGAACAAGCCTCTGGAGTATGATAAACTGCAGAGTGATAACAGGATGTTGAAACTTGAAGCTGTACAAGTCATAAGTCACAGGGGACAGTGTGTGTGCGTGATAGAGTGAGTTTCTTAAAATTACCATCGCTCAGGGTCAACAAACCAGTCCTGGTCCCATTCCCAACCCCGCGGTGGCAGAAAGCGTTCCTGTTTGAGTTTCACTTTTCCGGTCACATTTGAGAACTTATGGCGACCTACCAGGCCAGTAGTCCCCCACTTTCCAAAGACCTGGGCCTGGTTCTCGTACTGTTTGGGAGATTGATATCAAACAAAAGAAACTTAAAGACACGAAAAATGCGTATTTGTTTTTTAAAAAGTGCATTATTTGGTATGGCTGCTGTACCATTTCAGCATACACGCTGAAGTTTCCCTCTGAGAAACTGTTGAACTTCTTCTCATGGGCGGAGAGGCCGAGCCACATGTTGATCCGCAGCTGAACAGGAATCTTCACACCTTTGTTTTTGTCCATAGGGTACTGAAAAAACAACCATGCATGAAGACTCCCTCTTAAAATATGAAATCATAAGAAACAGAGTATGTTATTGTAGTTTTTTACCTGCATGAAGATGGTCTGAGTTTGTCCACAGTTTTTACCACGAGCCTGTTCGCTGAAGTTGGAGTACAGGATCTGGTTTGCTGGGATTCGAGCGTAAGCCACCCGCTTCTCTCCTCTTAACATCCAGATGATGACATCTGGCATGCTGTTTTGAGGCTGAAAGAGACAAAAAAGTTTAGTGAAATCCTTTTCACCTTTAAAAAAAAAGCGGGACCGTATGCATCCATGTGACAGATTTAGTCCTCTGACCTCCTCGGCCAGCTGCTTGATTCTGTCCACCCAGTCTTCAATGTCACCAACAGTAGCCTTGACGTCTGTGGCCTCATCTCTCATGTGACCTGCCATCTCTTTGATACCGTTCATAGCAGCATCACGCAGCTTCTTCATCTGAAGGTCCAGAGCGGTCACATTGGGCCGGCCTTCCAGATCTGGCAGCTGGAAACTGTCAAAACTTTGTTACTGAAAGAAGGGCGACCATATACAAACCACACTACAGCCCCACTAAACTTTATAGCACTCCTTAATACAAAGTCCTGGTCCTGTCTTACTTTTCCAAGTCCTCCATCAGGTGGTTGATAAGCTTGAGCCAGATCTCTGCCAGACGTGTCTCAGCTATCTTGGCTATGATGGCAGTTTTCAAAGAGGTGAGGTGAGACTCCTTTAAGAGACACAAAGACAGAAACATGACTAAGCTATGCTACCTGTAAAAACATGTATAACATCTGGGTAGACACAGTGTCAATTAGACTTTTTTCCCACCAGTCTCTCAGCAATGAAGAGGAGAATATTGACTGAATCCAGACGGTGACTGATGTCTTCCCAGTATGACGTCAGAATCACCACAGGCTTAGTGTCAGCCCAGGGCAGGTAATAATAGTTATTACCTGTTGAATGAGACAAAAATGAGTCAACATACACATTACATGTGGCCTCCACTGCTCACTGAAAATAAGCTGCTCTTGTGCCTCTCTTTGGCTTCTTGACTAACAGCATGGTTAACACGGTGAACCATCACCTTTGACAGTGAAGTCTAATAATAAACTCTATTTAGAACATTTACTTATCACTTACTTCTTATACACCTTAAAATATACCTGAAGTTGTGTTATGTGGACACATTTTACTATAAAGTCACATAATTTCTACTTCTTTAGGCTGTGTAAATAACTAACCTTTAAAACAGGGTCTCAGATAAGAAAATATAAATCACAACACTGCAAATTGTAAATTAGAGTTTTGTTTGAACTCTTTTAGACTTTTTTCATACCATCAAAAACAGCAAAGCTGTACTGGGTGGTGGATGACAGAGGCTTGCAGGTGGAGTCCAACTTGTTCCCATAGTTACCAATGCTGACCTCAAACTGGATCGGCTCGCCAGGCTCCTGGAGCATGCAAGCACTGTGGAACACGGCGCACAGACAAAACTTCCTCCTCCGCTGGTATTTCTGCACAAAGGATCAGGCGGTGATAAAGGTCAGGGCAGGCAATAAGTCTTTTGTCTTTAATCCAAAGTTTCTCCGTGTTTGACAGCAACTGAAATGTTGTTTTTTTTTTGGTAAATGGACAACTTGAATGATCAGATTTATAGTTTCAATCAAATACAAATTTGTACCTGTGCCACCAGGATGTCATCACTGGAGATGTCATCCAGGTTCTTATCTACTTTTCCATCCAGCTGAGTGGACAGCTCCACAAGGACCCTCCCCCTGTAGGCCACCCCCTCACCCTGCAACAGAACAAAATGCAGAATACTAATGTAGATACTGTAAATAAAAGGTTAAATATCAAATACTTTTACCTACTATACCCTCTTTTAATAAGACAGCATTACCTTCCCAAAGTTGAGGTCCTCATATGGGTCAGGCAGGCCAGTAAACTCTCTTGGGCTCCCGTACAGGTTGACATAACAAGGACCAAAAGCTGGGAGAAATCCAATCTCAGAGGCTGCTGTGCTCACTGTAACACAAACAAAGTCTGTGAAGTATGCAAGCTTACTGGCTTATAAGGCGAAAACATTTACAGGTCTTAAAAATGAGACTGTAAAAGGTCACAATCTGGTCACAACCAAGTTACTTCGTACATACATTCAGTTCCTGAGTTGGTTTCAGCTCGTGCATCTGTTCCAAATAAAGACAAAAAGCCAAGGTTATCAAAACCCCGAACAAACACAAAATTAATTCAACACAAAAATACAAATATGTTTACCTTCAATCTCTCCACCAGAGGAAGACATGGTGCTCAGATTTAAAAATGTCGTCCCAATGGCGTCATCTTTGGTGAGACGATCCCTGCCGAGATTAAAACAGTATTTCAGATATAAAACGTGATATCATCAGCACCTGTGTGGCTGTTTGGGAGTAAAATTTCTCTCTTACCAGTCAAAAAGAGTTAACTTGATTCGCTCACACATGGATGGGAACTACATAGAGATAGGAGGATGAGTAAATGTCTGCTAAAACAAATATGTGAGATCAATATTACAAGAATATACAGCTTTCATACCTTAACTTGGAGACTGATGAGCTGATTCCACTCTGGGTTTGCATTTTTCTCAATTATTTTTGTGCACAGCTGAACAAAGAAAATAATTCAATAAAATAAGATTCACACAGCAGGAGCATTAAGAAAACAGATTTTCTCTATATCAAATATGCACTACCTTTTTGCCTGCAAAGCTGACTTCCAGATATGGATCCACCAAGTTTTTCCTGTCCCCCTCTCCTCCAAAGACCTGTTTCACCGTCTGAATAAAGGCGTCATCCACTGCAAGGAGAAGTAGAAGAACGCTTTTAAAGGAGCTTCAAGTGTTTAAACTTTAATAGTTATGGTAGTTCACATCCACACTGGACTGACTCTGCGGCATATCCTCAGCACGGTACACTTTGAGACTGAGTGTCGCCCAACGCATCGTGATCCCAGCTGGCACCAACAGATTGCTCTCAATGTCATCCTGCTCGCCACTCATCTCTCTCCGCTCAGTCTGGAGCGAGGAAAGGAGAGATGACAGAAGGAAAGGAGAGAGGAAAAGAAAGGAGAGTCTTCTCTAAACTGATGTGTAACAAAACTTTTCAAGTTGAAAGAATTTGATGAATAGATGGATCAACACACCGGTGGGTCATCTCCAGTCCCCACGATAATGATGCTGACTTTCAGGTAACCTCGGGCTCCTGAATTAGAGTCGTCAGTGTCGCTCAGCAGGAGCCATTTTCTCATTATGGCATGACCTACACACGAGACAACATTCAACATTTTAGATACCTTTTCTTAATATACTAAAACACTGTGATAAAGCTTACATTTGGTATCAAAATACTGACCTGGTTCGTCATAAATGTAGCCGACATCAAGCTAGATAAGCAAGAACAAAGATCAAATCATGAAAAATAATAAGACTGGTCATCCTGTTAGCTATAAAAGCAGTAATTCTTCCTCACAGAGTCCTGACAAGAGAATGAGAAATAAAGCAGAAAAAATGACCCCAGAGATCATGTCTGCATACCTTAAACTCTCCAATCATACTGTCAGCTCTGAGGGAGAAGGAGTCATAAACCTGTCCGAAAAAAGAAGAGCAGCTTTAGGAAACAAAATAATATTGTTAATTGAATTCGCATAATGAATGAGGCTCGTTTTCCTGCTGTAAGAAATTGCATCAAACAGTGTCAGTGTCTACTCACCCGAAGACTAATGCTCTCGTCAAACAGCTCTGAGGGGAGCATGTTTACGTTGTAGAAAAACATCTGAGGTACAGAGAAACAAAAGTCATGTATAAATGAGCATTTCTTATGTCATTGTACACAAACAATACATCCTCATGTCAGACACACTCACTGATTTTGACAAATATTGCAGGACTTACAAGTTAAGAAGCTGAGATGTGTATGCTTTTGACAGAAACTGAAGCAAGGGGGAAATGCACATGAGAGGAATTAGATACAAGAGAAAGCTGATTATACTGGCTTCAAGATCAACCGGCATATTAATGCTGCAGGTAAAGAAAGAAATACCCCAAAGCAAGAAAGGATTGGTGGGCAAATTCATAACAGACCAGCAACAAGGAAAATCAAAAGTCAGCGATCACTTATGATTTTTGATTTTAGCACTTTTTGTGTTGGCACTCCTTACCTCATCAAAGAACGGGTTATTTCCTCTCCTTATCCTTGTCCTGTGGGTCTGTTCACATACATGTGCCTTAACCACAGGCTTGATGTTGTTACCAGGCAACTGACGGGCCTCAATGACCCTGACACGGATCTAGACAAGAGGAGAAACAGTGAGGCAGCTGAACTAACAGTCAGAAAACTTATCTTGATCTGTATTTGAAAGGACCATTAATTAAACACCAGCTTTCACAAAAGAAAAACAAGCATTAACATATAAATCTCTGGATTTAATGAAACTAAAAGTACGACCCTACAGAAAATCATTTGTGTGACATTGTTCTGAAGCAAGGCTGAAAGGTATGTTCACAAATCTCCAGTATAAAGTACAGCCAAGGTGTCACTCATTTGATAAAGTGTAAAGATTTCCTCCTAAAATGGCATTTGAGTTTATCCAGGAACAAAGTACTCAAAAAAACACACAATACCTGGAAGTCCTGAGGCTTATTGGCCAAGGCTCTGTTCTTCTTGCGGCTGATACGGATTGGCTTTTGTCCCGACTTCCCAGGCTGGTTTGTCGAAGTTGGTGCACCTGAACCTCCACCCTGAAATCCTCCCTCTGCATCTTCATCCCCCTCGTCACCCTCATCACTGCCGCCTTGGATGCAAAAGCACAATAAACATACTGACTTCCAGAAATTGGAACAACATTAACAAAACTTTATGACAATTCATGTTTGAGACTTTTGAGAGGGTACACCAGTAATTTGTCCTCATGGAATAGAATATAAACACTTTCAAGCCTTGCTAATGATATTAAAGAGTTGTATGTCACCATCAAAGCCAAGCAAGTGCACATAACTTGGTTGGAAATAAAAATAATTTAAATACTCTTTCAGTCATTCTTCACATATAAGTCCTCTGCTCTTCGTGTACAACCTCCTACAAAATTTACTGAAGTCTGGACTATTAAATGTCCCTTCAGGGATAAATAGTGTTCTTCTTATCTTATCCCTTGTTAAAATTTATGGAGGAAATACTCCCAGTGCTAAGAGGGTGTGCAAGTGTTTCCTGCTCTTTTAAGAAGGAATTTATTTTCAATTTGTTCAATGAAAGGTTAAGATTTTTTTCAGCTTAATATTTTGACTTGTTAAACCTTCTGAAACTATAGTTTCTAACTCTAACTCTGCAACCAACATTTTCACTGTATTTGTGACATTACCACCATCCACATGTGATGCATCCCCCTCAGGCTGTTCATTGAGATTTGGAGTTGTGTTGGCAGGCGGCTCGTACCCAATGAGCAGATTGATGGTTGCCTAAAAACATATGTAAAAAGTAGAAAACAAATTGAAGTAAACAGTTGTATGTTGTAACTACAGTATCTCATCTATTTTTAATAATATACCACACAGTAAATTATTGAACCCTTAGCCCATGGCCCTTGTCATAATAAAATATGAACCCTTTGTATTTCTTGAGGATAATGTTATTAAGCTAATATATTTACCCCAACCGCCTGCTGTTTGTCATTGATCAAAGGCACATTCCTGGATGGGAGGGACTTCACTTGACCACTGGCCAAGTCTCTTAGAGAGATTTTTGCTGAACCAATAAGCCTGAAAAGAAACCATATTAATTTTCCTTTGGTCAGACAATCATAAACACATCAATAAACGAGGTATGTAAACTAGAGAGGAACAAATGTTCGAAAAGACCACAAGTATGAGCCGTTAAGACAAACAACAGGGTGGATTAGTTCAAACATCCTCTATCAAAGCGATGTAAATAGATGTAGTGTTTATGACTGGAATTATTTGTTGCTCTGATGACAGTTTCCACTTCCCAATTTCACTTCTCCACATATTATGACAAGCTGAGGTATCACACCTACATTACCTTCTTTTAGCAACCAAACAGACGTCATGTGCTACAGTGATTAACACCCACAGTGGGTTGCATCAAAGTGGACATTTTCCAAAATTAGCCCAAACAAACAACACTGACTTTTGAAATCACTGAAAATAAAACCATCCTAATACTGTATTCATGAAACACACCATAGAGATAGATATTATACTTCTCCCTCTGCAAATGTTGTTAAAAGTCATTTCTAAGCAGCAGGCCCTTTTTTTAAAGGAACCAAACTGGATACTTGGTAACATAAACAGGACCAGCTTAGAACAAAGTCCAAGTTGATGAAAAAACTGCACGAGAGGAAGAAGAAAGATGGAAACAATTAACATCTACCACAAGCATGCGCTGGCCGCCCTGTGCCTGGTTAAAGGGTGGATGAATATAGAGCCAAGGAGGCGAGTGAAATGAAAGTATGAAGTCAGCAACATGAGAACTAGAAAATCCATTTTTATGTCATTGCCCTAGCTCTGATTTTCTTTTCTCTTTTTTGTACAGAACTGAAACACTAGTGCTGTCCTTATAAAAGCAGGGTCACAGTGGAAAATAAGATGGGGAGGAAATCTGATGCATCTCTACTGCTGCAGAAGTCACACACAAACTGGGATAGCTATACATCTGTAAATAAAAAACTACAGTAAAGTTAAAAAAAAAACTTTAAGACTTAATCCTGAAGTATTTGGCACCACCCCATGAAAAAAGGAACCGATTTTTTAACCACAGCAACAAAGCAAGAGTGATGGTTTTCCGTCAAACTGATTCATTTTCCACTGTGTTCGCACGACAAGGCAAATAAAGTTGCACAAGACTCTTTGCCAAACAACTGAAAAGTCTACACAGCCAGTGAAGTTTGCCTATCTTGACTGGGCAGCAAATCCCTGCTCAGCTCTGTGTCACATTCCTTTTCCAGATTTTCCAAGAGTGTAAACACGGATCATAGCTGCGTTGCCTGTATTTTTAATCAGACATATTTCCCTTCAGTATCAGCCAAGTAAAGTTCATTTTTGCAAAGTAGGGCAGGCTGAGCTGCTACTCGTCATCACAGTTGTGCCAATGACAAGCCTGCACAAGCTTACTTATTCACCCTCCTCATGAGGATCAGGCAGCAGTATCATGGAAAAATATCCCAGTGCATTCGTGGCTGAGACAGACAACCCCCAACTTCTCACCACCCTCTGTGCCTCCTCCAGAGTCATTTCTTATTACAACACAACACCATCAGTCACCGGAGTGACTCATAAAAAATGTTATTTTCTTCTCTATCCTTTTGCCCAAGTCTGATTTACAGTGTTACAAAGTGCATGGGTCCCTCACCAACAGAAAAGCAAGGAAGTTAGGAAGAGTTATACATGACAGGATTGTTTATACCAAGTGATTTTTTTCCCTTTTAAGGAAACATTCCTGGTAAGAAGGCTGCAGTGCTATTGTAAGAGAGACAAAGTGCCTTCTCCCTCACACTACAAGTCTTAACATGGTCGCAGTGATTCTGTGATTAAGAGATTGCAGAAGTCTGAACCTCTGCACCTCAGTTAAGGATCTCAACAATCATCTTCAAACTGCGCATTTGCAGTTTAAGAAGCTTTACAGCAGCTATTCTGAAAATATCACAGTCATGTCTGTGCATTCAGTTTCACCTGTACTGCAAAACATAACAAGGGTGGTTTTTGGAGAGGGGGGTTTATGCAATGAGGGCAAGTAATGAGGAAGTAACCCTCCTCCAGAGAGAACACAGGGTGCTTAAATGATCAGTCAGTCATCGTGCTGGGTGGGGATTGAGGGCAATTTATTCAATCTAATGTTAAAACACAACTACCTTGATATATACAATACAACAAACGCTCATGGAGTCACGTACTTGTCTTTGCCGATTGTTTCATAGTCCTTGACAACCACATTGATGAATGAAGATGCATCCAAGGCAGAACCTTTTAGATCAAATTCAAGCACCTGGAATTTAAACAAGGAGAGAAAGTTGCAATTTACCGCCAACAAAAGGTGATTCAGTGCTTTAACAAATCCAGACATTAAAACTTAAACTTGGTATTTAAACTTCTGACTTACTTCATTCCAAACAGGGTTCAGCTCATTGTCAATCGCTTTGGTTTTCTTCTTTTCACCTATAGAGGCACGGTGAATTAACTTAGGGGGCAAAATAAGGAATTGAATATGACAATACTGGACAGAAACAAAATGGCACTATAAAGCAACATTAAACAGATTAAAGGGCAACCTGGTAACTGGACAGAATGGCTTTTTAAGATGACCATATAAGGATCCCATCATTGTTTTGTTTATGAATCACTGCAAAAATATTCAGAAGGGGCATAGCCTACTGCTTTAAGAGTAGATATAGATATCTGTTGTGGTGCATTTGTTAAAGTTTTAGTTGAATATGAGAGTAAAATGATCAAATAAACCAAAAGCCATCACAGCAAACTACGGGAGTTTTCAGAGCATAAATGATGAAGAAGTCTGTGGTGTCTTACCTCTGAAGACAACACCAACGATTGGATCTGGATTTCCAAGTTTCTTCTTAGGAATCCCGTTGGCGGATTCAACAATTATCCGCAACATTTTGACAAAAGCAAAGATTTCTTCAGAGAAAGCGGCTCATATTCCGCTGAGACAGAGGAAGCCTCAGAGAGGACTGCACACAGATGTGGGGAGGGAAGAGGAGTGGGTATACCGGGACAGCCTCACTCATGACTCAGAGGCAAGAAACACACCAGCCAGTTAACCAGCCAGCCAGGGGGAAGTGGGTTACAGCAGGCGAGAAAAACAAACACACAAGAAAAGCTTTACCTTCATGAAAATGATCTAATCGTCACTCAATTTGACTTCACATCACTGTGTGCAGAAGTTAACTCATTCACTAACGCTAACCCTGGTGCTCTTCATGTACCGCAGCGCCCTCAAGTGGTGATGTGAGGAACAGTTTAGCCAAACCACATTTGCCATAGGCCTACTGTAAAAATGTACGCCTAACTAAAAATACGAGTTTCTAATTGAGTATTTCTCACCTAAAATGCTTTGAAAAAAGTATACATATAACTACAACACACTCATTGAGTGGCCAGTAAAGTTTATCACCTGCTAAAGTGAGCGGAGCAGTTTAGGCGGGAGTTTCTAAGGCAACAGTTTCCTGCAGTCCTGTGACAGTTACAACCATCCAGCCCTGCCAAGGTAATATAAAACTAGTTTATTTACCTAATCTGGTAGATTTGTGAATCTGTAATTTAACAAAATCAGACATATTAAATATAGGTGGCGCAATGGGAACTTAATCGGTATTTTTGTTAGCTAACATTTCCAACTGAAGCATTTTCCTTCACTGGAGCACCAACAGGGCTAGCTAAGTGACACAACTGATGTGTTTTTTTCCATTTACTCCACCTTTATTAAACTAAAGGACATTACAGGTACACAGCAAACAAAGTATGGATATTGCAGTTAATATTGACTACATACTAAAATATAATTAACAAGAAGAAAACGTGAGAGATCAAGAGTCAAAGAGCATATTAATGTTATGAACACCCAATACAATGACTACCTAAATTCTGCTTTTACAAAGCTTACATTTTTTAGTTTAGTTTTGTTTACATGGTTGACTTTAAATTAGATATTAGATAGGTGGTGTATGAATGTGGATCATATGGAAAAGTGCTCCTAATGTTTTTCTCACACTATGATTGTCCGGAAGTGGACAAAACAATAGGAACACCTTTCATTTGCACACCGGAGTGCCACACTACCACCAACTATGGCTATAATAATAGGTATGATTGCACAGATGTAGTGTAGTGTAGTATTATAACTAATAATTAATAGAAAATTATAGACTTATATTAAATATTGCCAGCTGCCATTTACATAAGTAGATGAGATATTTCATATTCATCCTGCTTTTTTCTGTGAAAAATTGTGAAAAAGTGCCACAGTTAGTACCAGTTCCTCAATTTTTATTTTCATTTTACTTACTTTTTAATCTCAGTGTTAGTTCACAATTTGGCAAAATTGTTTGCAACACTCATGCCAATAAATTACATTGAATTGAATTAATTGAAAAATTATTAAAATTAATCCACATTTAAATCATTTGCTGTTGCTTTGGAAATATGTTTTTATTTTGTTTGTTTTTTAATTGTATTTTATTTTGTAACATTTTTGAAGTCTTACTTTTGTGTCAGACTGTCAAGATGGTGCCCGCCAAATACAGAGTTTCCCTCAGAAAGAAACTCAAGGCAGAGCTTGAGGGAGCTGTCAGCATTCTGAGCAAGGAGAATGACTACCTAAAGAAGACCCTGAATGAGTTTCACCTGCATTATTCAGCACTCAACAAGCTACTTGAGGTGAGCTCTATCAAATGTTTCCTGCCATAAATACTTACTCTCAGAGCTGAATTTCTTTGTAATTCATGGTGTTTAACAGATTCTGAATGTCTTCCTGCAGCAATTTCTCATTCTTGAGACGGTAAGACTAGAGGGAAGTCAGCAGCTGAAGGCTGAAGCAAATCTGATAGATGAAGTGAGTTTGAAGATAAGGGGAATCATATCCAGCTACTCATCAGAGATCGAAGATCTCAAGAACAAGCTTGTGAGTGTCTCAGCTAGACTTAAGTATGTCGAGGACAATGTTATAAAGAATAAGGTAAATGAGCTGAGATCTGGGGATCCGTCTCCCCTCTCAGTGATCAATATAAATACATATTTAAGATAGAGAATATTACAATCCACAAAATTATTAATGTATCTGTTGACTTGCCTAACCTCAGCTGCACATTATCGACCAATTTGTTCACCAACATCATGACTACATCGAAGGGAAGTGCATAGTTGTCACAAATAACAGAAATAATGGAGAGTGAATCAGCATATATTACACAGGGTCCTGAAACCAAACCATAGTCAAACTAGCTTCAGTGAATAAGGAGTTGTACCAGTGTTATACCACTAGATGGCAGCAGTCATTTTCAAGTGTCGGTCTTTCCCTCACAAAAAAAACACTTCCCTCTATCCTAAAATCCCAGAGCTATATGCACAGAATACAATATGTCAAATAAATGTAGAAGTTGATGCTCCAATTCAAAACTTATCCAAATCATGTTTTGACATATCACAATAAGGTCTGCTTTTTTAAGGTTAATATTAATTAACACGAAGTCCATTTGGTGGCATGCTGTATTTATTCACAGGGTTCCACCTCAGATGAAGACGTTTCTACTGACGATGTAAGACAGCTTGAAAGTAACCTCAAAGACGTATGTGTTTTCTATTAACTATCCAGTCTCTGTTTTTGTTGTTGTACTTTCTACTCTGTGTGTGTACTTGTTTCTAATGAGGATGTTTGGCTATGTACAGTAAACATGTCTTGCTGAGTGATTCTGCTTTGGAGCCATCCCACTGGCTCAATTCTCTTTCTGTCTTTTTCTGTTATGTGTGTCTCATTCTTTTATTGTGTGCCCCGAGGCCTTGGAGAAGAACAAGCAGTGGCTGGAGTATGACCAGCAGAGAGAGGCCTATGTGAGGGCGATTCTGGACAGAATGTTATGGCTGGAGAAGCAGCTGAACGAAGCCAATCAGGCCTGCTTACAGAGACACAATGAGCGCCATTCAGATGGTAAGCCCAAGAGACAGTGGGCAGTGAGCATTCACCGCTGGGGCATCAAGGGGCAACAGACTGTCACAACAAGGTTTTTAAGATACTGAGATTGCCCCTGAGAAACACACTTAAACAGAATCTGCATAATGTCATACGCTGTCAAAAACGCTTATCCCTCTTTTATCACTATGTAGTGTTTGCACAAGGCTTTCTCTAATATTTGAATGTCTATTTCAATGTGCTTTCCTCCTTTTTTCTTAAGATTTTCATTTTCATCCTCTGCCTTTCTCGTTACAGAGAAGGATCAGATAAGACAGATGCAAGAGCACTATGAAACACTCTTACTGAAAGCAAACGATAAACTGGAGCTGCTCAGGTACAAGCTTGACAGGACCAGCCAAAATCTGATAAGAACTCAGAACAGGTACCTCAAGTCTTCTGCCTAATAAATAAGTAATATAGTGCGCAAAGGTTTTACATGGTGAGAGTTGTGACCAGCCTCTTGATGCTTAGTTGCAAGGAAAGGGAGTCTGAGGTAGAGGAGCTCAGACGGCAGCTACAGACTTTCAAATTAGGTGCACTAGAAGATCCTGGTTGCGCAGAAGACCTGCGCAGCAGACTTGATGAAGAGAGGCGTAAGTCAGCAAACTTAGAGCTACAGGTATGTACTGTATATCATTAGAGATATAGGCAAACAAAAATCCTACCATTGTTATACAAGTGGCGCAAGATGTTCACTACATTATAATGTCTCTTTTCTAGGCGGACATCCGTGAAAGGTTTTTTAAAAATGGTTACCAGGATGACCAGAAAAGGATTGCAGACCTAGAGCGGCAGGTATGACAGACACTCTTAAATAACGTCCATTAAATTTTCTTTTCTAATTTAACCCTCTTCAAAATTTTAGATCAAGATTTCTGCTCAGGACCTTGAGGATGAGAGGCAGGATTGTTTACATTTAAGGAAGCTAATGCTCAAAGTTCGGAAGACGCGGCAAAACACTAGAGGCCGTCCGACTAAACTGTCGAAGGTTAGCAAAGACTAGAGAACTATGAGCTGAATAAACTGTGAACTTGGGAGAGTAATGTGAACGTCTGATTATTCCACCATGGTCACCACCCAGTCGCTGGCTTTTTCTGTCTGCTGTTGGGCTGACAATGTGGCGATTTTTATTGGCTGAAAAGAGCGGCCTGTTGCACCTTAAATTTGATGAAGCTGATACCAAAAAATCCCCCAGATCAGAGAGGTTAGAACATGCACTTTTGCTTCTGTGTCGCTATGATTGATCAGTTTGACCTCACTGATCATTTTTTTATATTAAAAGTGTCAAAATTGTTTTTGCAAAAACTGCTTCAATCACTCTGAATTTTAATTACAAAGACCGATTAATGACTCATTTTGCATTAGAGAGAACAGCAGGATCACATCCCAGGCAAAGTTGCAACTCCACCATCTCCATCCACCAGAGATAGCCTTCAATCATTCCCTCACAACAGTCTGAAGGATGAGAGCTGCCTGGAGTGTCCCATCTGCCAGACCCAGTATCCTGCTCATCAGTACAGAGACCTGATTTACCATCTAGACGTCTGTCATGACTGAGAGAAAAGAGGAAAAGTTTCTTCTAGTCTGTTCTTTGTGTTGTATGGAATCCAAATAAACTACGTTCTGAAGTTCCTGAGGCTGTGCTCCTGATTATAAACAAAGCCATGAATCAAAAATCAACTAGAGGATCTTATGTTGTGCTACATAAAGTCAGGGCCCCTTTAGATGCTACAGTGCAAATCCGTGAGTTGATGTGGCGCCACCATCCAGTAAAAGTTTGCCCAATGAAAATCTCAATTTATGGGTGCCATTTTTTTGCAACAAATGGTCATGGTTTCCAGATGTTAAGTTCTCATGAACATAGTTTTCTCCTGGCTTTTTATGGGTCGCACATTTCTCAGTCAGAGTGCAAAAAACTGAACAGATACTGGATGGACTGACTTGTTGATCACTACCTTTCATCTAGTACCAGCTGAAAGTTGATTTGACACTTACGTATGACCAAATACTTGCAAAACTAATCACATTCCCATCAGCCTCAGCTATAGTCTGTGTTTGGTATTGTAATGATCATCTATGTTAGCGTCCTGATGTTAGCTTTAAGCCCAAAGCACTGTTGTGTACATGTTCAGTCTCTGCTCAAGACACAAGTATGAAAACTCACATTCTTATTTAAAAGTTAAAAATATATGTTTCCGTGATCAAAAAACGAAGCTGCAGGTTCTTGACCCCTACCAGGTTTCACACTGTCCGAACCAGATGACTAGCTCAAAACAGCTTGTGTGAGTTAATCCTTTTCCTGTGCTATTTAAAGAAGTGGATTAGTATTGCCAGCAAACAATATGGGAGGTGTGAGGCCTATGCAGTGGCTGGGAGCTCAGAAAGGGGACATGACACCAAAAGTTAACAGAGACTAACAGCTGAAGAATAAGATGCTAATATAGCTTTGTTCCTTACCAACTTATTTTGCCTTTCAGGAAGGTTTCAGTGCAGAAATGGAAATTCATGGAAATTTAGCCCTATGAGAGAGGCAGAGATCATGGAAGGTGTTGCTTTCATAGCCCTAAAAAGGACCAAGACTTGATGTGAAATAGATCATTTAACATAACACAGCGTACATGCAAAACAAACACCTCTCAGGTAAAAGTCTCCTCTTGAAAGAAAGAGAGTCATGAATCAAAGTAAATTCTTTCTAAATTGGGTTTAAGCTAAAAGCTTATTTTGCAGGGCAAACATTGATCTCTTTCTATAGGATGTTCACCTGGTAATCTAATTCACAGTGTAAATAAAATGGTTTCAAGCTAATGAGATCACCTGTAGCTTGTTTGCAATGTACACAGCACAGCGTAGCAGCAAAACAGTCACACTGGCGGCAGATTAACCCCTTGTTAGATTGACAACAGTGCAACAAATCATCTTGTGTTGCAATTAAAAGTAGATCTACTATTAAACATGCTACAGGACATATTCCATGAGACATCCTGTAAATGTATGTCTCTACTCCAGCTCTTATCGGCAGGTCACCTCCCTCCAACTGCTCTCCTTGTCTTGTATTCACCCACACACTTGTCTGGAAGACTAAGGAAAGAAATGAGATGGTATTTTGGATCTTCATAATCTTTTTCTGCTCTGTTACCTTAGCAATGACTCAATCCTCATAAGAAACTTTGCTTATTTTCCCTTCTCTTCTGATCCACACCTTCCAGATTGTATTTTCACTGCTATTATTGAGCTCCTGCGTATCTCTGCTGTCCTGATCCCAGTGGGAAAAGTTGCTGAAATTCAAGCACTGGTTACCTAGAGAGCACAGACTGCCAGCCCAGACAATCTCCTTGACCCCCAACTTGTTCTTTGCTGATATACAGCTCATCTGTTTTGTTTGGATATAGTTGCCTTGAGCAACCATCTCTCACCCACCGCCTCAGGCTGTGTTTGTTTGAAGAGGCTGGCAAACGGTGCCTCCTGTTGAACAATCAGATGTGACCTCCACTGTCATTGACTCTATCTGGGCCTTATATCCACTCACCTATACCCCTGGGTGATTCCCTGAGCAAGTATAGATGAGTGGTGGATTCGGTCTTTGCTGCTCTGTGTGCTCATATCCCTGTTTTTTTTTTATCGTAGAGGTCAGTGAACACAAAATTTTACAGTTTGCATCCAGAGAGACTTCATGATTATTCACACCTCATTCAAAACATAAGGACTCATGTGCAGTTCAATAGGTTCCACATACCATTTTTTATTGTTTCCCCTTTTTTCACCAAAGATTAAAATTCACAAAGTTTTGATTTATGCTTTGACTACAGCTTGCTAAAGGTTATGAGTAAAGGTACCTCTTCGGGGACAGCCAACAACCTGTAAGAGACATTTATGTGTCTCCTCCTCAATCGTTTCTGACTTTTTACAAACTTGTGTGGATGTACACGTCTCACAATCACATTACCGTTCATGAACTAATCACTGTTTGCTGGCCAACAGAGGTAATTAAACTCCTAACAGTGGCCAGCAATCCCCTTAATCCTGTCGTTGGTTAAATGTGTCTGCTATTTAACAGGACCTCCACAGAAAAAGCACCTCTGGAAAAAAATCGGTATCTGGTCGTACTTGTTTTAAATAAATCAGCTCTCTGCCGGTAACTTAAGCTTGCCAGGTGTCACTGTATCATTATCTATATTAATCACTTTCTCTCAAACAAAGCCTCTCAGACACTGTGAGACCCTTAAACTGAGCTTTTATCAAGGCGCCAATGTGCCCTCTGACCTTTGCATGGTATTATAGTTATGGTATTATCCTTATCCGCCTGAAATCATACAGCATGTCTCTTCATTGCTTTTTGCATGAATCAACATTTCCAGAGGCGTTTCCTCAGCATGAGTAAAAGAAAGAGAAGCTTCTGATCTCTGCATGGCATCAGATGTTTTCAGGAAAATCCAGAAATTATTTTAGTCTGGATCTTCGGCTGCCTACCCTCCACTGCAGTGCAGATCATACTGCTGGTACCATAACTCACCTGTCATCGTCTGTAAGGGGATTGGCTCCTCTGAAAAGTGGTTGGATTTGCAGTTAAGAAAGCTCAGAGGCTTTATGACTCTTGCGTCACAGTTATTAGTGCCCTCTGGGATCCCCTTACTCTGTAAGCCACTCTCTACCTTCTGTTAGGGAGGAAAAGGTTGTCCCTGCAGCTTTCACCCCGTGATAAAGAATTTTTGGAAATGTCTCAGTAGAGCTTGTTCTGCATCTTTTACTGCTCTGCTTTTTCAAACCAGGAGCACCTTTGCGCAGCTTCAGAGGGGGACCCTTCATCCATAATTGGACAACATGGCAGACAAAGACACTGTAGAGAAGTTCCTTGACAACAACCCTCAGTTCGCCAAGGAGTACTACGAGAAGAAAGTCAAAGCAGATGTGATCACTGCTGCCTTCGGCAACCAGGTCCAGATCAAAGATCCGGCCTCGTACAAGGAAGTCACCACCATCCAGGAAGCTGAGTTCATATTTGAGCTGGTCAAGGAGATGCAGGGAACCAACCCCATGGAAAAAGCTCTCCACAAAGTTCTCCAGAGGATTGCCCTGCTGATCCAAGCTGATCGGGTCAGCTACTTCGCACACAGGGCTCGAAACGGTACCCCCGAGCTGTCCACCGTCCTCTTCGATGTGACCCACAATTCTCCATTTGAGAAAAATTTTGTCAACCCGAATGTAGAGATTGTTTTTCCCACTGACATGGGGATAGTTGGTTGGACAGCTCACTCCAAGAAGCCTCAGAATATTCCTGATGTTAAGAAGGTGAGCAGATTATAGCTCTAAAATTAGACGTATACTTAAAAGAAAGTGAAAAAAAAAAACTGTTTGTAATGTGGGGGCAAAGCTAACATGCCAAACCATGTTATGTTATTGACAAGAGCAGCAGTAAATATATTTTAATCTACCAATACTGTTATCTCTGTAAAGATATGGTGCTCTTCAATTAAGATATTGCAAACTGATGGATGATGCACAGCTGAAAATGTGCTCAAAATTCAGGATTACTATGAGAAGCAATGAATAAAGAATTCCTAATACATCATAAGAACTTTGAGACTTAATTTAAATTATATAAAAGCATGCAAGTCTTTTACACCAATTTTATCGTGTATAAAACTGACACCCTTGTCCCTTTTTTTCCCCCAGGATTCTCATTTCTCTGACTTTGTGGATAAACAGACCAAATACACTACCAAATGCTTGATCGCTGCTCCCATAATGTACGGGAAGGAACCCATCGGCGTCATCATGGCGCTCAACAAACAAGGTGCAAATGAATTTTCAAAGATGGACCAGGAGGTGAGTGGATAAGATGTTCATTTTTAACTGGGTATCTGCGCTAAATTTAAGTTAAATTTAATTGTGCACAGTTTGGAAAAGAAAAACTCTACTCGTAGTAGACAGACAAATCCCATGCAAGGATCACTCCCCCATCTTGCAAGGGAAAACTGCCAATTATAGCTCCCTAGCTTCCTGTCTCTGACCTGTATATCTAAAGGCTTGTCTTGGTGCTTTGGGCCACAGTTATGACAGCTCAACTCATAATCCTTTCATCTTCAATCCTTTTTCACTCTTGACCTCTTTTTAACTCTTGGAGCACCTCAGTCAAAGAGATATCTATATTCTACTGTGACTGAATGATATCAAAAGTGTGAATCTCATACAGAAAAGCCCATTATTCTTTGTTCTTTCTTTACAGCTCTTCAACAAATATGTCACCTTTGCAACTACGGTCGCTCTCCAAGCCCACACCGCTAATATGTGGGATATAGAGTCAAGGAGAAGCCAGGTGGATACATTCACTCATTCTGTGTTTTTCTATTTCAATAAACGGTATGACAAGACAGAAAGGCAACACAAAATTCACAAGCATGATTTTGTTCTTTCTAGGTGCTGCTGTGGTCAGCCAGCAAAGTTTTTGAAGAGTTGACGGACATTGAGAGGCAGTTTCACAAAGCTTTGTACACAGTGAGGACATATATCAAGTGTGAAAGATACTCGGTGGGTCTCCTGGACATGACCAAAGAGAAGGTAGGTTGGAGAGAGATGGGGGTAAAAAAATTAATTTATCTGCAGCTACATGCACTTCGGTACTTTTGTCTTTAAACCACAAGGAAATTCAGCGGTGTAACATGATTTTGGTCTTTTTCTCTACAGGAATTCTTTGATGAATGGGCGATCAAACTAGGAGATCAGGAACCATACAAAGGCCCTAAGACACCTGACGGCAGAGTAAAAAAAAATTGTGTTACTTTATTCTTTAAACTATTTTTGCTTGAAAATTTACTGAATCGCTTCGATGTTTGAATCTTTTAGGAAATCAGCTTCTACAAGATCATTGATTATCTGCTGGAAACAGAGAAAGAGGAAATTAAAGTCATCCCGTAAGTGTTGTCATGTATGGAAACACAAGTCCCTGACCCGTTTATAAAGCTTTATTTTCATATTTTTAGAGGGTTACTGGTCATTAAAGACTTGCAGCTGTAATAGTGATCTGGATTTTACTCTTTAACCTACAGCGGCCCTCCTGCTGATCACTGGGCTCTGGTCAGTGGACTCCCATCATATGTGGCTGAGAATGGATTTGTAAGTTTCACCTTCATTTCATTTCTTTTATGCATGTCTAAAATAATTTACTAGTCTCCGAACACTCATGGAGCTGCATTATTTTTGTCTCCTCTAGATCTGTAACATGATGAATGCTCCAGGAGACGACTACTTCCAGTTCCAGGTGAGACTCTCTTTTTCCCAAGAGGAGCCTTCAAACTGCAGCGATTGTTATAATCAACAAAGGAAAATTCATGAGAATAACGAGTATCTTATATTTGACTCATTTGACAGAAAGAAGCCGTGGATGAGACCGGATGGATGATTAAGAACGTCCTTTCACTCCCGATTGTAAACAAGAAGGAAGAAATCGTTGGTGTCGCCACTTTCTTCAACAGAAAAGACGGCAAACCGTTCGATGAGAATGATGAACAAATCACAGAAGTATGGGAAATATACTTAATATACTTAATATACTAATATACTAATATACTAATATAAAAATACTGTTAAAATTTACAAACAAAACACTAAAAATGGTATTATTGGCCTGTACAACCTCTAAGTTTTATTATTATTATTTTTTAATTATTGTTACTGTTATTGTTAAAGCTCCCGTAAAATGTTTTTTGAAATTTTTGAAATAGTCTGAAATTGATATTGAGGCTATTTTATAGTATTCAGAAACAATTAAGACCATCAGGAGCAAGATTGAAATTTTTTATGCTTTAGTTTTTAATGCCTGAAACAGGTGTGAGGGGGGTGGGTGTCAAAGGATCAACATGCATATCCTTTTATTTACCATATTTAATATAAAAAGAATTACACAATTGGCTTTTAAGAGTAAGCAGGGTGAGTTTTTTAATCAGAAAAACTACTTATGCATGTAGGACAAGATAAGCAAAGATTGCTCAGTTCAAAAGGAGGTGCTAACATCACAACGAACCAAAAGCCCCTCACAGGAGCTTTACAGTAATTATCAGTGGTCATAGTTAACTTAAAAGATAGGCTATATGGTAGACGTGGTAATTAGTCATGATATTAAGTTCAGTACTGTCCATGTCTCTAGGCTCTGACCCAGTTCCTCGGCTGGTCCACCCTATGCAGCGACACTTACGATAAACTGAACAGGACAGAATGGAGGAAAGACATCGCCCAGGAAATGCTCATGTACCAGACAAGGGCCAGTCTAGCTGATGTGCAGTCCATCCTGGTGAGTCACTGTTTTAACTGACTTATGTCCATTAAAAAAAAAAAAAAAAGACCTGAAACAGATCATTAGATAAAACTCTATCATTTCCCAACAGAACACAGATGAGAAGCTTGGCTCTGCACCAGAAGACTGCGACCAGAAGGAGATGTACAAACTGCTGGTAAACACTGCTGTATGCCCTTCATAACTCTCACGCACTTGTTTGTAATTGCATACTGACTGTTTGCTCTTTGTGCCTAAATATGCAGAGGTCCAACATCCCTGAAGCCAAGACCGTGGAGCTTCACGAGTTCCGTTTCAGTGACTTCCCCTTGTCAGAGTTTGAACTCATCAAGTGTGGTATCCGCTGCTTCTTTGAGCTGGGGGTGGTGGAGAAATTCAAAGTCCCAGCTGAGGTACAGAATACATCAGTCAAGACATCTGTCTGCACATCACCTTTGAAACACTTCATTTAACAATACTAGTACAAACGCAGTGAGCAAAGAGGGATCATCACATGTTTTTTGCATATTTGGCAAAGCTGACTGCAACTTTGCACCAAATCCACCATTACAAATATAAAGCCTCATTACAGCTCTTCTTTATTCTTGTCACTTTTTCATGCAGATCCTAACACGATGGATGTACACCGTCAGGCGGGGATACCGTGACATCACCTACCACAACTGGAGACACGGCTTCAATGTTGGACAAACCATGTTCACCCTCCTGCTAGTGAGTCTCTCATATCCGCCATGTTCATCTGACTTCATCTGACTTCCTGATCTGCATGTCATAACACGGGGTTGTCTGTCCCATTTCCTCCACAGACGGGTAAACTGAAGAAGTATTACTCTGATCTTGAGGCCTTCGCCATGGTAGCAGCTGGATTCTGTCACGATATCGACCACAGAGGCACCAACAATCTCTACCAGACTAAGTATGTGAGCATTTGGGGTCATTTTCTGAGGGATGTGAGAGACAAAATCATGTCTAGAAAATTAGGCTGATGTGTTCTTGTTCTGTTGGACTCTTTTAGGAGTTTATCCCCACTGGCAAAACTGCACAGCTCCTCCGTCATGGAGCGCCACCATCTTGAGTACAGTAAGACACTGATGGAGGACGAGGTGGGTCTGTAGTTGTGGTTTGAACTAGATCCTATCAGTCTTTCTGTGAATGTTTTTCATCAGTTTCGACTGCTGCCTGATCTCATTGTTCTGCTATCATTCACAGAACCTGAACATCTTCCAAAACCTTCAGAAACGTCAGTTTGAGACTGTGCAGCATCTGTTTGAAGTTTGCATTATTGCCACTGATCTTGCCCTTTACTTCAAGTGAGTCAGACGCTTTGTTCTTTCAGAGTAAACAGAGAGTTTTGCTCCCACACTGAAACTTAACAATGCTTTTGAGTGATTATCAGGGATTTTGACAAAAGATTTGACCTCTTTCTTGTCTTGCAGAAAAAGAACAATGTTCCAAAAAATTGTGGAAAATATGGAGGGTATTCCAGATGAGAAAGAGAAGGTCAATTACGTCTCCAACAATCCGACGAGGAAGGAGATTATCATGTAAATGCAAAGAAATACACTTAAAATACTGTTTATCAATCATCTTAGTTTCCTAAGTGCTCAAAAATGTTCCTGTTTGTCTCATATCCTTTCCAGGGCAATGATGATGACAGCCTGTGATCTGTCTGCCATCACAAAGCCATGGGAAGTTCAGAGCAAGGTATCTTCCTCATCTTTAGGACTATGATGCAGTTTTAACTCTTACTTGTCGGTTCTCACTGTTCTGTTGGTTTTTTCCAGGTCGCTCTGATGGTGGCAGCAGAATTTTGGGAGCAAGGAGACCTTGAGAGGACAGTGCTCGATCAGCAGCCTATTGTAAGATCTAGAAACTGTGTCCCTTAAACTTTGAAGATGACAAAAGCTTTGATGACTTACATGATCATCTGCTTCTTTATCGTCTACTGTAGCCAATGATGGACAGAAATCACGCTGATGAGCTGCCGAAGATGCAGTGCGGTTTTATCGACTTTGTCTGCTCCTTCGTATACAAGGCAAGCGAATACTTCTTATTAAGTTCTTATTAACTTATTTTCTAATTTTGTTCTGTAATCTCCAAACATCTGCTAATCCGGGTGTTTGTATCTGGTTTTAAGCACGTGCTTGTGTTTTCTGTGTTTGCAGGAGTTCGCCCGCTTCCACACAGAGATCACCCCCATGTTCGAAGGGTTGACCATCAACAGGGGAGAGTGGAGAGCTCTCGCAGACGTCCATGAGGCCAAGATTAAGGCTATTGAAGATGAGAAGAAGAGGCTGGAAGGTGGAGGTGATCAAGGTGAGCACACATCTTTTAAAACCTCTTTGTTTTCACCGTCAGCTGTCTCTGACTTTAACTAACTCTTTTTGTTCCTTTTGCAGCTCAAGAGGGAAAATCAAAGACGTGTGTTGTCTGTTAAAGCTCACGGACTGTCAACGCATTTATGAGAGTTTGCATGAGTGTGTGTGTGTGTGTGTTTGTGTGGTGTGCATGAGTGTGGTGAGGAAAATTCATATGTGCAAAAACACTAAAATAATTTTTATATGCTCTGATGGAATATTTATCCTGTTACACAAAAAAAAAAAAAACATTTCAAATCCACTTGAATCTTTTAACTATAGAGATACCCATTTGAGATTATGCTTGTATATATTTAAAGAATTTATTAAAAGATTAAACGTATTTTAAGATAAATATTTTTAATAAAAACAAATTTAGCTCACTTTGGTTTTGGACTATATGTGAATAGAAATGTAAGGCTGCAAATGAGATGCAGAATCTATTTAATCTGAATATGTTTGGGGTATGAATTTGAAAATAAACTCCTACTTTTGTCAAGAAATGTCCCAAAAAACTACATTAATAGTTGTTGTTTTTTTTCTGATTGCAAAGGAGTTATTTAAAACATATGTCTCTGGCAAATGAGGGAGCGATGTAAGAAGATTTGACTTAATTGGATTTGGTTATAAGCCCTCTGGAGCCCCCAGGCTTTCTTTTTTTAAGTCCTCTGCTTACATAAAGAAAAAATACTTCCGCCCCACTCATAAGTCAGAGTGTGCAAAGTGCATGTGGCATTAACAGGCCTGGAAGGTGTCCTGAGGAAACACTGGAAGCAGGTGGATGTGGTGTAAAGCAGCATGTGTACTATGATTTGATTTCTTAGAGCTGGAATGATAAGGTTGATTTGTCTGAGCGTATGAGATGGGGAGCAGAAGAATTTCAGATTTTATTTTATTCCTGATGGAAATGTTTAATTTGGACAGAACAGTGTATCTCTGGGAGTGCTAGCTTTGCAAAGACATCTGACTTTACCAAACGTGTAGCATTAAACACGCATTTATATGTGCAATAGCATCATGTATAAGTTGTGTAAATGTCAATAAAGTTTATTTTCCAATCATGTTGGGGCTTTTTGTATTTATGCTGCATTTAAACACACTGTAAATCCAAAAGTTGGATCACTCAACCTTAAAAAGAAAGAAAACAGTATTTTTGTTTGTCATTTTAGCAGCTGCAACGATCTAAAATCAGAGATTAACAGAGATTAATACCAGATTGTTGAATAAGGGGAGTTTCCTGATGACTGCTGGCAGCTTCAATGATTCCTAGAAGCCTGACTGTAATTCCTCGGTGTACACGACGTTAACTGCTACGACCCAGCTGAAGAAGGATTTAAAAGGGCAGGACTGCCCAAGCATCACCTTTTAATTAACCTCTTACAAGCTTAGAGGAATCCCTGTGAACTGTTACTAAACTGGAACTGATGTCTGCAAAACAGGAGCAGATATAAATGTATAAAGTGCATATATACATGGAAATCCATGCCATACAGGCCCCAGTTGATAAATGCATGAATATGTCTGGCCGTATAAAGCATGTAAGAATACAATTTGACCCTTGACCTTTGACTGTTTAGCCTTAAGTCTAATCTTAGTGTGGATGCATGGCAGATGTTTTGGTGCATCACATGAGAATATTCCTGGGAGATCCCATACAGTCAAAAGATCTAAAGGTTTTCCTGCTATTTTGTAATAAAACAGTAAGAAAATTTAATTACTTTAAAGATTCATAATTTTCCCTTTTATTATTCAAATATTGGTAAAAAAAAAAAGAGTTTCCAAATACATTTACCTGCTTGACTTTAAGCAAATTTGCTCTTATTTAGCTTTTGGGGTAAGGAGACTTTTTTGGGAACCTGCAGAAATAATACATAACCTTCACGTTTGAGTATTGTCTCTAATGGTCTCATTAACTATTCGATCAAATTCCTCATCTAAGAAGCATTGAGCTTATTCATGCGTCACCGCCGACAGCGCTCATCCTCTTGGTGTGATCAGCTCAGGCAGGTGACTAACAGGTGGCGTGAGAACTTCATAGTTCATACAGCAAGAAGAGAGAATATCAGTTTCAAAAGCCTGACTGTCACGTCAGAGGAGGTAATCCAGCTTTGTGGAGTGACGGCACACCTTTAAGACAGCATGCAGGTGAAGAGGTCATCCAGCAAAACACAAATGTGTTCACTGATGAGCTGCATTTACGGGTGGGGGAACTTTTGCCAATGACATTAAAAAATTACCAAAAGTTATTATGACTGTCAGGTAGTAGTGGTGTAGAAACAGCTTAATCGCTCTGCAGTCAGAGCCCTCGACAAAAATACAGACTTCACTCTTAATCTAACCAGGAAAATATGTAAGATAAGTGTAGAAAACTAAGAGACTGCTCTATGTATTTCCTTGAAGGAGACCTATGAAACTCATTTTACCTGTTCTGTCATTTAATAAAGATATCTGTACAGAACCTATCATGAGCGATGTTGAAGCTTGTGGTTCAGGGCCTAATAGAGCCCCAGGTTTCATTAACAACTGAGATGCAAATCTAGCTTGTCTGTCACCAGAGGAGTCACCAGAGGAGCGGCGAGCATAATCAGCTAGGATGTGACTGTTTTTCTGAAAATTAAAAAATCCCCCCATGTTTTCTGGTGCCTTCATCTTCGGGAAGAAAATTCCTCCATTACCATAAGAACAAAGTAGAAATTTTCAGAGACAAAATGAATAAACAACAAGCAGAAAGGATGAAAGGCAGAGGAGTAGTGAACTGCAGCCTTGGGACTGGCCTGTTTTAGAGCTACTGGGTGGGGATGTCCCTCAAAACTGACCCAGTCGGACTGCAGAGCGGGACGTCAGGTTTAAGACAAGTTTTGCCAAAATATTGTAAGAAGCTGTTTAGGGAACCAGAAAAAACACACTGTGGGATTTTTAAGCATCCCTTTTTTTACTTTGCTGAGGTTTAGCATTGAAATCCAATACTGTAACATTATATCTACAGTATTCTGTTTAAACATGGATTGGCATAATAGGTCTCATAGGACATACTTAGTTTAGTCATACTCGACATCGTTTTTTGTGCAGGGAAAAACATGGAAAAATGAGAATTTCCTAAATCTTACATGGTTAGTTGAGGATCTGACTGTCAGTGTGGTGCCTAACCGTGCACATATGATTTCAGCTTTTGCTGTAATTATTAGATATTAATCAAACCGGGTCAACAGCGACTCTAACACAACAAGTGCCATAATTTTAAGAAGAGCATTTTAAAATTTAGTCAATTTAATTTTTTATTTTTATGTTGATAGAGTTTCCTGACAAAGTAAAAGAGTCTTGATGCAAAAAAGCTAATTTAAGTGGTTCTTTTAAGCATTCAATAACAAAAACAGGTCGGTGCAGACCCTAACACAGGAGGAGGGTTAACACAAACCTAGCTTATCAGCTGGGTGCTTAGAAATGAACCACCACTGACAGGGATACACCTTGGACCTACATTTCCCTCTAGTGGGGAGGTCTGGCTATAAGTTTCTTCACCTACACATGAAAGCTTGCTTTGAAAACTGTCTCTTTAAAAGCCATAGGCACAGCAGTGAAAGCAGGGGTGTCCATGTAAGTTGAATATGGGTTATCAGTGTCTGAAATCAGATAACAAACACCCTAAAGCCCTTTAATTGAATTCAGAGAGAGCAGGCTGAGGCGTTTTAGTCGCTGTGGTCATGGCTGTGGTCAAATAGTTACTGGACAGAGTGTGTTCTATTCTGCTAATGAAAGACGGCATTTATGAAGCACAAGAACGACCCATCATCTCACAGCACAACAATAATATCCAGTGTTCTCCATTTAGTCCAAAAGCTGCTCATGACAACTGACATTTGTTGCTTCCCGTCCGCTCCTGATTTTCCATATTGCACAATTCTGTTCTATTTCTATTTCTCCTTTTAGAGCAACATCCTCTTCACTCATAGTAGCTTTCATTTTCATCCTCTCCTTCAGTAAGACATCAGGAAGCGGCCTCTGGAGCACGACCCAGCTTCTCGAAATGCCATGCTTTATTTTTACAGGCAAATTTTATTACCGAGGGAAACAGAAATCAAATGTGTGTAATCACATCAGGGACGCAGAGGGGCTGGAGGTCTTGAGCAGTGTTCATTTATTGAGACCTTTTAAAAAGACAGCTGCACATGTTTCTTCCCAGAAGTGTCTGACGCATGCAGGCTGAGAAATCATATAAATCTTATTACTCTGGAGTGATCTAAGAAATTAGATGGAGAGGAAGACTGTCTTATAGCGCTGTCCTGTCATGTTTGGTACAGCAGAAGAGAGAAATGCAATTAAACTGTTAGGGTTGTATTTCATAGCAATAAAACTAGAACAGAGGGGACATTTTTGGCCTTTTTTATGGAGGAATAAACATGGTGTGATGCAGAAAAGGTTGCAGAAAAACAGCACAGGAGTTAAGTCCTGTCCTTTGTTTGTAAATGGGTATCTGATGGGGGATGGGGGTGATTTGACTGTGAGGCAGAGCAGATGTCAGGATGATAGGAGGGCTTCCCCACACCCCTCCAGCAGGGCTGCTACATTTTGCATCCACCAGTCGCCATGGAAACCGAGCGCAAAGTAGGAAATAAACCCCCCCTCCTGAAAAAGATGTTTGAGAAATATCATGCAAGCGAAGGCATCTAAGGACAAAATATCATGTAGGAATGCTTGAGTGACACGACAGCAACGTTTTCAAAGCGATAATTAATTTCTCAGGGTTTCCCCACCCGCTTCCCGCATAGGCAGCCCCTGTGCGTCTGCGCCACACGCTGCAATCCGCTGGCTCATGTCAGGGCTTCATTTTTCTCCAGCTGATTCACGAGAAGAAGAAGAAGAAAAAAAAGAAAACTACACCATTCCTCTGCCTATTGGGTGGATTCCTCCTCCGGGAGCTTGCCTGACACGGCGAGTGTGGCGTTTGCAGAAATCATAGGCGTGGTTTTGGATGAAGATGCTCCTTCTGCTCCCGCTGGGATCCCCACCTGCCGTCACACAGCGTTTGTCACCGCGCCAGCTGGTGTTTTCCTGAGCTACCGGGGCGCGAATTTGATTAAATCTTGTTTTTCTCACGGGGTATTGTGATTTTTCGTCTGAAGGTGCGGCGTAATTGCAGCGCCGTGGACTCGCGTTGCGCCCGGTTTAATCACCTCCAGAGCGGTAGCGGCGGCGGTGGTGGTGGCGCACGAACGGCACCGAGCGGAGATAAACAAGAAAGAGCGGACTGCGCGTCGCTTGGCCTCCAGGCAGCAGCAGCAGAAGAAGAAGAAGAAGAAGCAGCAGGTTTAGTGGGAAAGGAACCAGAGAATAGACCCTGGTTCATGTGCAGGGCTGTTCGACGCGCACGTCGTGCCCGCAGCGGTTCGCAAAGATGGAAAATACAAGATTGCCGTGGCTCTTCTTCCTCGGAGTGGCGTCTGTTTTACTTGTAGTGGACAGCAGGAGAGCCCGGCAGCCCCGCTGTCCCCCATCATGTACATGTACCAAAGATAACGCGCTGTGCGAAAGCGCAGGGCTGATCCCTCGCAGTTTTCCCCCCGATGTCATCTCTCTGTAAGTCCGATTCTTATCATCTTAACCAGTGCTTCCTATGACAACTATTTACGCAACAAACCTGTCTATTCCTGCCGGTTTCTTCTGCACAGTCATGTCAGCTAACAGAGTGGAGAAACTGTGTGCATGTCAATGTTGTAAAAGCTAACCAGTGTGACTGTGTCTCCTGCAGATCTTTCGTCAAGTCTGAATTCACTGAAATCCCGAAGGAGAGCTTCATCCACACGCCTGCTCTTCATCTCCTGTGAGGAAATCTCTGTGGAGCTTTTTGTTCTTCAGTCTTTGTTAGATGTTGTCAGTGATCAACGCCATGTTTAATGTTGAAGACACCTCCACTGACACAGCACAGGATCAAAAAGTGCATGTAGATTGAAACAGAGAGCTTTAACCATCACATTTTGGTTGGTAAATCACTTGTCTTACATGAACATGGTTGAGCGTTTTCTTTGCCGGGCATCCATCCAAAGCTTGCTCTATATTTTATCAGTCTGTGTTGGTTTCAGGATCAGCTTTGTTTGTAGGGAATCCCTCCTTTTGAAGAGGGAATCCCCTCTAATCTGTCTCATGGGGTAGAGTATTGACTGAATCACCCTGGCCTTAGAACAAACAAGCACAGATCCTAAAAGAGCATCGATCGTTGTCTTTGATGCATCAAGGTTACTGTTCAGGAACAAAAAGGAGGGGGAGAGTCTACCACATGTCCTTTTTTCCAAAGTTTGCAGATGGTAAAGTAGGACAACAGCTTGTTTTGAGCAGAAAAAAGTGAAATGTTTTAATCTCTCTGCACAGCCTTTTTACAGCAAACAACCTGGAGTCTATAAACGAGGATGCTTTCCTTGGTCTTCCTCATTTGGAGTACCTGTGAGTGGAAAACAAATCTATTCTGAAGGGTTTTGTTTCCAGAGTGGATTATCTCATCTCATGCATTTAATTACTCTCCTCTTTTTCCAGGTTCATTGAAAACAACCAAATCACATCCATTTCACCGAACGCTTTCAGGGGACTGAAAACTCTGGTGCATCTGTAAGTAACGCGGCGTATTTTTAACCTAAAATCTCCCTTTTCACCATGAGTCTCCTTGCAGAACAAGAACTTACAGAAGCTTTCGGAAGTGTTATATTCCCTCTCCTGCAGAAAGTCTCTGTTCAGCACTTTAAAATGCTGACAAAGTCCATTACACAGGACTTCTTGCAACTTGCAAGACATTTCTCAACATTCGGCACAGCTGTTATTACAGTTGTGAAGAACACCCTGTCACTTTCGCTTTTTAATTAAACAAAGCTGCAAACCCAGAGTTTCAAATTAAGAACACCGCTCTCTAGCTATCCCAGTGTCTTCATTTTAGCTCTCAAAATTCGCAAGAAGTTGAACAAGAGAACAAAACTTCCCACTAAATCGTCTTTTTCCAGGTTTGTCTTCAGGCAGAAAGCCATAAAATGACTGAGGAGCTCTCAAAATAGTTTAATGTTTCCTCAATCTCACGATAAGCAATGTTCCCAAACATGGCAATACGCACCCAATCTCTTTAACAGATATCTTTGTCTCCAACTGCGAGAAAAACACTAAAAACACAGGCGCAGAACACATGGAGGTTTTATGGCGAACACAGAAATTGCCAGAAAAAATGTCTAATTGGCAGCGAATTGCAAAATTAGAGAGAAATTGAGGCAGTTTCCTCGTAATGAAGCCAAAAGAAGAACGATAAGTCTTCACACATTTGTTGTTGTTTTTTTTTAGGAGTCTGGCCTACAACAATCTGGAGACTCTGCCCAAAGATTTGTTCAAGGGTCTCGAGGCCTTGACTAAAGTGTGAGTATGAATTTCAACCCTGTGATATCTTTAAACCAAATGATAAATTGTACAGTGTTGCATAACTTAAAACATAATGCTTGCTATTATGAAAGATGAGTTCTTCTATAAATGGAACAATGTGTCATTATTCTCCTGCAGCCAAAGCTTGAAAAATGTGTGGGTGGTGCTTTTAGCGCCATTAAAATTACATGCGGCAGCGAAGCAGAGACGGCTCACAATCCATCACACTCTGAAGATCATCAGCTCTCTTTTATTCTCCCCCCTGATTTTATTAAGAGCTCAAAGAAAAGCCATGAGGGCTGCAAAGCAAAGCCAACAGTCACACTACAGCGACTGCAGCTTTGAATATTAAATCAACCCCGAGAGCGGAGAGCATTCGTGATTGCTTTGTGGAGGTTCAGAAGTTAACTTGTGTGTATTCTCCCTGTAGAGACCTGAGAGGGAACCAGTTCACCTGTGACTGTAAACTGAAATGGCTGGTGGAGTGGATATACAGCACCAACGCGACAGTGGATCAGATTTACTGCAAAGGCCCTCCCTCACAGCTGGACAAAAAGATCAACGACCTGGGGCCGCAATCCTTCGACTGCATCACCACAGGTAGAGGACACCAACTTTTGGCGTTTTGAACAGTAACTTTGGGTTAAAACCGTCTCAAATGCTTCCCATCAGTCATGACCAGCAAGACTACTGTAGCCCCTTTCACACAGGCACCTCATGGTAGGGAAAGGTCCCGCCCTCCTTCGCCTCTGATTGGCTTGAAGTGCTGGGCTCCGAAGGGTTATTCCTAATGGCTGTGAAACGTCATCGTCTGTCAGGTTAGGGTTAGGGTGAGGGTTAAGGTCCTTACACACCAGGGCTGACGCGAATGTACAACACAAAATTACAAAATATTCGGAGGAGAATAATTTGCCGCGCCTGACCACATCAAGCCCGATGTGATTGTGACTTTCCAGGACGGGAAAACGTCGCTGATGTGAACGCTCCTTCATTGACAGGATACAGGTTCGAAAAAAAACAATATCAGCCACTTTTATTAAACGGTCTACCAGTGTGAAAGGACCTATAGTGTGAGGAGTAGGATGAGGGTTAGAGTTAGGAGATTCAGAAGTAGAGCCGACAGCCTGCGTTTGTACAAGACAGGCTTCAATAAGAGACAGGCCTTTATTTATTTTCAAATGAAGTCTTCCAAAGTCAAAGTGAAACAAACTTTTTATAAAACTTGAAAATAAAGTCCTATTGTTGATTTTATTGTGAATTAAGAGCCTTGCATCTTTCTGGGCAACAGCTGTGAAATCTATTAAGCAGGCCAGCACTCAGTGTGAGATCATTCCTGTCTCTCTGGTTACTCACCGTGGCGTACATTTCTTCTGCCTCTCACATGACACCCTGAGATGCTGTGCCCCCACGCTGTGTATCCAGAGTTCCAGCTCTTTATTAGCATTCTTCCTCCCACCTCCAGGTAGCCTGACTTTTTTATTGTCATGCTGGGAAAGAAAACAAAAATCAGATCTTTAATATTTTTTTCATCAGCTTTTAATTTTTTCTTTTTGGATCAAATGGACTGTATCTCTGCTTCTCAAACTTAACTGACAGCTTGAATTTTAGATCAAACTTTTCTCTTTGTGCCACAATGTCATCAGCAAATGTGCCATGTGGCGATTAAGTGAAAACACACACACACACTCTCTGTCTCTCTGTGTCACACACACACAAAGAAATTTCACAACACTGGGAAAGAGATAAACATGACGTAGATCTGGCCTCTATTAGAGGTTGCCATGTGTTTGTCAGAACATGCAGCAGCGCTCTGGTTGTTTAAGAGTCTTGGCATTTGAATGAGGCTGGAGTTTAATGAAAGTTTTATGGTGAATCAAAGTTGTGAGAGTGCATCAAACACTGACAGACTCCCACCATGTTGAACTTGTTTAAGGCAACTCCAAGAAAATGTCAGGACCTTAACGACAAAGGCTCATTTCTTTTCATTTACAAGTGTTGGAGATGTGTTTGCTCTCTGTAGAGGCAATACAACAATGTCAATTCACTATGCAGTACTGAAAGCATAGAGAGCGTTTCTTAATGTTACAAGTACCTTAAATGAACTCAAAACCTGCTGTAAAATTAAGGGTTTGGATGACTCAGCCACCAGTCACTTAGCCAGACAAGTTTGTTAGCATTGATGCTAAGGTAAAGCTTTGCTAGCTGAAAGGCTAATAAGTTTGACAACATGGAAACTTTGGCTAATGGCTTCAAGTGAAACAGAAACATTAGCTAAAAGTAACTTACCACTGACTGCACACGTGGACAACAAATCAAACAAAGCAACCTTATCAAGGAATGACAGAAACCTGCAGGTACAAATGGCTCAGGTGGGCCGGGATTAGGTGCCCATATTTATGCCTGACCACAAAGATGCAGTTAGGGGGGTTGTGCTGTGCCTTAAAATTTTTAGTCTGACCTCTTGATTTTCTCTTGCAGAGTTTGCTTCATATCAATCTCTGAAGTTTGAATCCATATCCGTGGAGGCATTTTCTTTCGGGAGTGACCAGTATGTGGTGTTTGCTCAGCCCTTCATTGGGAAATGCAGTTTTCTGGAGTGGGATCATGTGGAGATGGTCTTCAGAAACTTTGATGATATTGACAGTGAGTGAAAATCTTTTACATTAGCTATTTTGGGAACGGAGATGTGATGGTACAGTTTGTTGCCTCCTCATTATATTGATTTTGTGAGGATAATAAAGTACCAGAAACAAGAAAAACTTTGTAGGGCCAATCACTTAAAGGTGGGGTAGGCAGGATCTGAGGAAGTGCCAGGTTTGGGAGAAATCTTGAATGTAAACACTAACCCTCCAAACCAGTTTTCCCCTCAGCTCCTCGTCTCTGCTCCAGCAAGCCACGCCCACAAACAGACACTCCTGCTCACTCATATCATTTCAGTTAAATTTAGATGTATTGCAGATAAATACTTTAGATAATTACAAATGGGGCCCAGTCAACGTTAAAGTAAAAAGCATTGGTGCAACTGTAGAGGCCAACAGACAATCAGCAAACACAATGTTTGCAGGACTTTTAAAACTAGGATAAAGTGACATAGTCCAGGACCCGAGCTTGACAGTTTAGCGGCGCTACGACACACTGCAGGTCCCATTTGACAAGAAACACTTCTGTTACAGACACTTGGCTTACTTTGTTAAAGCGGTTTACCTGTCCAGCAGAAAGGTTTCAGGGTCCGTAAGATCCCAAGGCATCCCCCATCGTTTATGCTGATGTTGACCTGGCGTCTCATCTCTTGTCCGGCCTACCTCTATTTCAAGCACCAATTATTCCGCCAGAGTCTCCAGTATTTACTTTGTTTTACTGCTTGAGTTTTCCGTACTTTCTGGTTGGTTTCTACTGTCCGATGCTGTGGCACGCTAACTTTGTTTGGACTCGTAAATGACACGGAGGAGCAGTGTCTACCTCACAACCAATCAGGTTGGGGAGATGGAGAACGGCTTTGTTTACAGTCAGAAAGAGCGGGCCGCTCAAAAATTTTAAAATGTTGACTACACAGACATAACAAAACACAGTGATATTGTCATATTACCAAATGTCATCAATGACTAATAGCTATTGACTGATAGTAAAATCTTTTTTGTATATACACCACAAAAAAGATGCTTCTTTAATGGAATCCTGCCTACCCCACCTTTAATCGGATCTCTGATAAGGTTTTGGTATCTATTTGGAACAAAGGGGGCTAGACTGGAAGCTAAAGGGAGGAAGGACAAAGGAGAGCTTTGCATGTTCATCTCTTCTTTCTCTTGACCAGGTACATCCACTGTGATCTGCAAACCCTTAGTCATAGACAACCAGCTCTTCATCATTGTTGCTCAGCTGTTTGGTGGTTCGCACATCTACAAGCGCGACACCTCTGCCAACAAGTTCATCAAGCTCCAAGGCATCGACATCCTCAAAATCCGCAAACCGAACGACGTGGAGACATTCCGTATCGATGGAGAGTCTTTCTTTGTCATAGCAGACAGCTCCAAGGCCGGATCCACCACCATCTACAAGTGGAACGGCAACGGCTTCTACTCTCACCAGTCGCTCCACCCTTGGTACAGAGATACAGATGTGGAGTACATGGAAATCTCCTCCAAACCTCACCTCATCCTGTCCAGCAGCTCCCAGAGGCCAGTCATCTATCAGTGGAACAAAAGCAACAAGGAGTTTGAAAGACGCACTGACATCCCAGAAATGGAGGATGTCTACTCTGTAAAGCACTTCCAGGTCAAATCTGACCTCTTCATCTGTCTGACGCGCTTCATCGGCGACTCCAAAGTGATGCGCTGGGATGGGGCGCTCTTCAGGGAGCTGCAGACCATGCCATCAAGAGGCTCCATGGTGTTCCAGCCCTTCTCTGTGGGCAGCTGGCAGTACGCCATCCTGGGCAGTGATTACTCTTTCACACAGGTGTACCGCTGGGATGCAGAGAAGGGCGAGTTCGTCCGCTTCCAAGAGTTGAACATCCAGGCACCGAGGGCCTTCTCTCCGGTCTCCATAGACAACCGACAGTTCCTGTTAGCCTCGAGCTTCAAAGGGAAAACTCAGATTTATGAACATCTGGTCATCGATTTGAGTAATTGAGCCATTGTCTTCATGACTGCTTATTAATTTCAGTGTTCCCTGAGATTACTGAACAAAACTGGAAGGGATTAGCTGATCCTAACTTGAGCAAGGCAGATATTATAACTTCTTTCTTTTCTTAAATCTTCCATTGAATTCAGTGCATGTGGGGACAAGTGCATGTTTCTCAACCATATCCATTTGGCTGGGATACATGAGGAATAAGACGCCTCTCAAGTTAGGATTACACCCGATATGTTGCCAAGACATTAATGCATGACCAGGGTCTCACACGGGCCGTCTCATCTGATGAATGCAGCATCCATGCTCATAGATTTGTTCTATCTTGCATTGGCCAGTAGGTTATTTTTTGTGTGTTCCGCTTTTCATGTGACTCAGCAATGTTTATACGTTTGTAATCTCAAATATTTATCTACAGAAACTAATGACGAAATGGAACTTTTTAACCTATTAACATGTCTAACAGAAGAAATCTGCCAAAACAAAATGTTTACACATTTTTCTGTCTTTCCATTTGTAAGCTAAAAGATTTGTATTTGAATGTTTTGTAAGTTAAGAGGGACCACTCCAGTTAGATACTCCTCTGTTGGAAAGAATGGTTTAAATTTACGTTTGCAATTTGGAAAACGTCAACAGAAATGCTGTGCAAGAATCTTCCTGACGAACCTTGTACTTACATTTTTATTGTTAATGGTTTTTAATGTTTTAAGTATTGAAAATGCAGTTTTTCATAAGAATTATGGGGAGAATTTTGGGACTCTTGGAACTATTTTCACACACTTTAAAGGGACCTGAAATGAAAAACAGAGGATATTGTTCATAATGTTTTAACTTTGACTAACATGTGTGCTGAAAACAACAGTTGTGTCATGACTAGGATTAATTTATTGACTAATATCATGCTGTTTTAAGTCAATAAAAGTTTACATTATTAAATGTTGAATGTCATCTGAGCTCCCTGCTGGTGCTGTGTTGCTTCAGTGTGAAATGCTGACACCCAGTCTTCAAAGTAAAACAACGCACAGTAACACATCTACTTCAGTCTGGTTTCAATTAAATATAAGGAATTAATTAAATAGAGATAAATACAAACAAATAAAATCCTTTTTATTTTCTCCAACAAAGTGCACGCCTCAATTCTACAAAGCAGCACATTACAATGTAATGGAATAAATACAACGAAATCTGCTGAATTAAAAAAAAAAAAAAAAACAAGCAAGGAGATACACAAGTACCTGCATAATCACACTGGGAGCAGGATTAAACCAGGCTCTTTAGAAGAAGGGTCCTCCAGACAAACAGACTGTGTCACTTTTTATCCTCCTGTGGATAACGTCGTCCTGCCCGCTCTCATCTTTCTAAAGTAAACCGATTTAAGCCCTGCCGTTTTTGTAATCGAGGACTAGCAAACTAACACGAAAGAAATACAGGTGCATACTCTCATGTCCATACACATCACCCTGGAAAACTTGTGCAATTGCAGCAGGATCTCCAAATCACCTACCTACTGCTGAGAGAAAATAAAGTGAACACATTTTCAGTTTTAACTGAACATACTACTCAAGTCTATGTGGTGCAACTTAGTGTTTTTTTTTTCCGTAGGCAAATAAAATATAACATAAAAGGCAAGGGAGCACATCCCTTAATATTCAACAAAATAATTTAGTGCTCTTTAAATAAAATTAAAAACACTATTTTTAAATGGTGGCTCTTAAAAAAAGAATAAAAAAAAAACTCACAGACCGAAAGGAGAATGGTTTAAGAGACATCAATTATATTAGGAAAGAACTCAAATCCCATGAAAAAAGACATATTGACAATAAAATTCTGTACAGAACGTAAAATCAATATACAATACAGTACCTGCAGATGTTATGCATACAGTACAATTCTCTTTTTACATAGTTTTAGTATGAGCTCCAGCCTGATCTATATACTGAGTTAACACAGGTGGAAAAGCGGCTATTTTAGCTTTCAGTTAATTTAATGGTTATTCAGCGAGGAGAGTAGATCTTGTAGTAGGCGTTTAGAAAAAGAGATTGAAAACATTATTGCAGAATGGTCATCTTCAGTTGCATACTGCATGTGTTACATGAATGTGTCCTATGACGAGGAGCAGCGGGCTGATGAGAGAGACACAGGGCCGGACGGAAGAGAAAAAAAAAAGGGGCGGGGTTTGCTGTTTTTGCTGTCTCTCCATCACAGAGGTTGAACCTTGCAATATCTCTCTGATCCACTACCCTGTACAGTACATTCATGGCCAGTATTGCACGTTACCAGCCGAGTCCACCCTGAATCTGCGCGGTGAGGACCTTCAGTGCTGAATTTTTGTCCTGTGAGTCAACACTAATCCAGTGATGAGATGAGACTGTAACCAGAGCTCACCAAAGACCGACAGGGACTCCATCTGCTGTCACAGTTTGAGCTCATTGGCAATTTTGCAGGCGATATTCTTAAAGGCGATGGACGTGCCCGATATCCTCTTGAAGCGCACGCCGTTAAGCGAGAGACGGGGCAGCTTGCACACCTCCATCTCCCACTGGACCAGGTTGTCCTGGCGAGCATCACCATGCACGCAGAAAAGCAGGAAGCGTTCGCGCTGCTCGTAGTCACAGCTGTTGGCGTCCAGAACCTTTCGGATCTCTCTCATCATCTCGGCTGGCTCCATGGAGGAGGTGGTCTTCATGCTCCAGGTGAAACGCAGCGAGCGGGGTTTGGAGTCCCGACCGCCGTCCTCTTTTGTCTCACCCGATGCGCTTCTAAAGTTAAACAGAGGAAGAGAGACGGGGACAGACAGAGAGAAAGAGAAGTGGAGAGGGACGATGAAGGAGGTAGAGGTGAGTGGAAGGCTCTCTAGAAAATCTACTCTCCAAACAGATTCTCACCTTGGTGTTTCTGTCCTGGCACTGGCCTCTCCCTCACTAGGCACCCTGAAATAAACCAGGAATACACCGTTACTCCCATGAGCGGATTTTCAACATGGGTTCCCCAACCCACTAAAAACACCACCCCCAAAATCACTGGACAAAGAGAGGGGTGTCAGGCATCATGCCAGGAAAGAATCCACAGTCCTGGGTATCAGGGATCAGCACACAATGAGGTCAATCTGAATCCTTGAAGTGTATCCTTAACAGTATAAATGCATCACCCTTTCTACTATTTGCTACCTTTCCTTAATCCCCACTCATCTGTATGGAGTGGAAAATGTCTCTGAGTCTTGTATTCAGCCTCTATAATGCGCCTGATCTTTTCTTTTAAGTTCAGCATGAAGACAGGGGAGAGTAAGGAGAGGAGAGCCAGCAAGTGGAGAAGCAAAAAACGTGGCTTGGCTTAGTTTGGGAAAAAGCTAGTGAGCTGTGAGGTTTGTTTTTTTAAGCAGTGGACAAAAAGGGGAGGAAAAACACGGCATAACAAGGGTGTCAGTAGGCAAAGGTGGGGTGTAGTGGGCAAGTACGTCAGGGGTTAAAGAAACACGGGCCAAAGTCAAAGTGGGTACAGGGAGAGTTTTGGGGCACGGGTGCAGCAAGCGTTGTTCTCCTACCTCCGGGTCGACCTGAAAGACATAGCTCTATGCGGGGGAGAAAAGGAGAGAAAGCTGTGAGCCTCTGCCAGGTGGGCCAGCGTGAAGGTGACACAAGAAGCCAACTGCAGTATGGATGAGGAGGTGCTATCTTTTGGGTGTCATACTGACAGCAAAGGGTAACAGTGTGGATGTATAAAAAGCTTACCGAGGATCGGGGAGAGAAAAAAAGAGTGATGTTTGGAAACAAGCAGAGAGTGTGGGATGTTCTGTTTTCACTGCCACAAAATGATGACAAGCAATCTGGACTCATTTTCACCAAGTGTATCTCTGATCTCTAAGAAGACGCTACACTCTATACTTTTGAACTTTAACAGAGTCAGACAAATGCAGGGGTGCCTTTCAATATAAAATGAATTCGATTACGGTTGGTGTCTGTTTAGTTTCTAAAGTCATTTTCAGTTTTTAATTTTTTGCCCTTTCTTGATTTTAATGCCTGTAAAACACTTAAAACTAAATTTGATCTGTACGGAAGGTCCAGGGTTATGGGTTCAGGTCCTATTACACACAAAAAGTGAAAGTTGGGACTGATTGCTTGAGAGTTAAGGCGCTGAACCCCCAACTGTTTTGAGGTACTGGCTTGTGTTTCCCTGCAGAATTAATTAAGTATATTTTCTAAATGTACCATAACTTATTAGAAACCAACTTTAGTTATTATCGGAAACTTCACTTTTGCCAATATTTAGCGTCAGGACTTTTTGTGTTATTCCTGTATTTCCTTTCTTTTAATGTGCACTTATGTACGGACTAATGTCAAGTATGAAACAACTTGGTAATATGAGTCCGAAAGGACATTTTAATCAATGTGCAATATTCCCTGTCTGTTGTATTTATTCCGATCCTGATATTTTATACCTTTTTTGTCATTTTAGAGCTAAATCTGGAGGTATCACACAAATATTCCAATATATCTGTAGTGTCTTCTACCTAAACTTCTAATCTATTCTATTCTATTTTAGTTACCTTAAATTCAACCCCATCCAACTCTACTCTAATCCTATACTTCTATTCTGTACTTTTTAGTAACTCCATACTGCAATACCAAAACAGAGTGTTATGGAGATCATAGCAAAACTGTAACTCCTTTATATATCACATATAAAGTTTCAGATAATAAAGATATTCAGATTCATTTTCTTGCTGCACAAGAATAGGATTTAAATGTAACTTTTGGAAAACTTTAAAAAATGAAACTTAAAATAATCAGTTTTGACAGTTTTGTCCCCTGTCAGACATGTTTTCGGGAGTTTTAACAGAGCCAGTGGTTGCTCCATTAGCGATATTCTAAGTAGATAAGCCAAGATTATTTATTGATCTCCCTATCTATAAAACTTCAGATAGTATCAACAGACAGAAACTGCATCCATTAGTTTGTCTGACAAGTTAAAAGAAATACATTTAAATTCTTTGTATCATATCAGCCTGTAAAAATGTTCTCTCTTTCTTCTTGAGGTTTTAAGAGACTTGACCAAATGTTTGAACATCCGGTTTCAGTCCCTGCCAAAGAGAATGTAAAACCTTGAACTATTGGGTTCAAGAAGTGAAAAGTTCAACCCCGTTTGTCTTAACCAACCTGCGCACAAACTTGGATGTGATCTTGCTGATGATCCCAGTAGAGGTGCCCCTGCGCTGCTGAGCAAGAGCCCCTGTGTCATGAGACAGTGTAGGTGAAGCTGGGGGGCCGTTGTAGGTGGCGCTGCGCCGGTCTCTAAGCTGTGCTCCATGGAAGGTGCTGCGACTGGTGGTGCCTCGCGGGAAGCGGTTCTTCTCTGGGGTGCTAATACTGTGCGCAGATGGAGATGTGGAGGGACCCCGCGGAGAGGAACTGCACATGAAGAAGAAGAAGAAAAATCAAAATCAACACTCATGATAGTTTACAGTCATGGTGGTTTCATGTGACGGGGTCAGGCTGCTCACCTGGCTTTGAGCTCTGTGTTGTCGTCGATGGGGGGCAGTGTGCTCTTTGAAGGGTGCCCTGACGACGACATGGACTTGGTGTGACGAGGTCGCGTGGAGCTTATCGCAGTCGACGGGGTGCTTCCTGACACCTCTGTTAGACTGGGAACCAAGGATGAAGATGATTAACCCAAACTTGCTTGCTTTACAAATTAATTTTGCACTATGTACGACAAGATTAAAAGATGCTTACCTGCTGTCTTTGCCATTAGGAATGGCTGAATAGCGGTCAGTAGAGGATCGTTCACACACATAGGTGTTCCTGCGAGTCATTGATCCGTTGGTCTGCTTGGGGGAAGTAAAACAAAAACATTAACTTGTACATTTATCTCTATATCTTTTTTCTCATGAGGCACCTTGTGTTACAACATACAGTACATGTACTGTATGAAGAGGATTGTGTTCATATTTGGTTTTTGTTGGTTCCTGTTCCTTTACATGAACCAAGCTACTTTCATTGCAACAGGGTTCCTACGCAAGTATGAAAGTAATTTGATCAATTTCCAGGTCTTTAAAATATGATAAATGAAAAATAAATACTAGAAAAAATTTCCAGACTACTACCACAGTAAAAAAAATACTGTTTTCTAAAATAGAAAAGTAGATATTTCCAAAAATAATTCTAAAAAGTAGGGTATGGAAAAGTATGGTAATTCCAACTGTGTAGGAACCATATTGCAAAGCATGTATAAAATCCACTACTTCTGATCTAATCCTTACCCCAACTGCACTTGTGGTTTTCTTTCTCTCCTGCACTCCCAGTGGTGAAGCTGGAACGTCTCCTTTTGAGGTGTTGAGCTCCAGCCGGCGAGCTCCGTCCCACTCCTCCCTGTGGTCACTTTCCACACTCAGGGCCTGGCCTCGCTTCGTGTACGACACGGCCGGAGGCACAGATGGACCCACTAGCGGAGACACACGAGTAGGAGAAAGCTCAGAGATTTTCAGTCGAACCCAAAAATATTCAAAAAGCTCCAAAGTCGGAAAAATTCACACAAAAACCAACCAGACAAGGACACTGTCTCTGCTACGATTAGCAACAAGCAAAGCCACTCAAAGCCAGGATTTGGACATCTAACTATGTGTCAAATAACAAACTCTGCAACAACACTTGGTCTAAGACATCAGACAAATATAGAAGCCAAGGTGAGCAGGTACAAAGCAGAGCTGTTCCCTCCTCATGCTCCTGAGGAAGCTGCAGGGAGGCACCCAGCCAGCAGATGGCACCAGACACAAAGGGCCCACATGACATGGGAGGAAGCTGCTCCAACTCCACTGCAGTGTGAGGTGGAGTCACTGATTTTGACTGCTTAACAATAGCCCAGTAGAAAATTATACAATTATTCAGCAGAAAACTCTCATTCTTGATTGTATGTCAACACTTTACCCCCAAAACTGCTAAACTTTATCTGTAAATATGCTTAACTTGTCAATTCTCTCCATTTGAAAGCTTTTTCTTCTTAATAAAAGATGCACAATTGAGCTGATGGTGCTCTAATGCCTTGCTCATCAGCAGTTTACTGACATCTGATCATCCTCAGTGATTGAGAGCAGCTCCCCCCGACACAGCACGCAGCCAGCGGCACTCTCAGAGCTGGAAAGAACGGGTTACTTTACTTGGCTTCTCTACGACACCACCACCACCACCACCCTCATCATCCCCACCATGATCACTGTAGCGGCGCTGCTTCTGGTTGGCCGAGATGCTGCGCGTGACCTTGGGATGTGCAGGGGAAATGCTGGAGCTGTTGTTGATGTCACTGGTCGGTCGAGTTCTCGTACCCAGGACGCTGTTAGTCAGCGGCTCGCTCCCCTCGAACTGAAACGGGACGGGAACAGGTTGAGGGTAAGATCATACAATATGATACATGACCTGTGAGTGATGTCAGAGATGTGACGAACCAACCTCTGGAGCTTTTCTGCCCAGCAGCAGGTAGGTGGCCATGACGTCATCGTACTTCTGGCTGTGCAAAGACTCTGTGATCTCATCTTTAGGGAAGCCCATTGTCACCATGAGCTCTGATGGCAGAGAGATGTCAGATAAATCACTGCCAGGATACTGGAAATGACATAGAGAGTGACATCTACACACACACACACACATACACACACTCGCTCAGACACACTGAAACACACCTATTCTGGATGAATCACTGAAGTCCGCCTCAGGCTCAATATAAGGTTTTAGCTCCTCCTCCTCGTGACCCACATTCATCCAATGGTCTTTCATGATTTGCTAACAAAGAAACAACACAATTAGAGCTCATGTGTGTCCGCTGCAATTAGCTCCACTTCTATTTCATTCATTGTTTAACAGCGGATAATTACTCATGATGACTTTTGTTTGATAATTAGACAACACGTCGGTGTGGTGTCAGACAGAAATGCAGCAGACAGATGTGGGACTGATGGTTTCTTTAGGATCGCAGGTTTAGCTCAGGCCAAACAACAAACAAATGTTGTTGTAAGAGGAGAAATCTTTACTATTGAGCTTCAGCCCAGTCCTGAGAGCAGGGGCAGTATTGACCCTGGACAGAGTGAGTGTGACTGGAACTGACAACTAAATAATGTTTGCATAGGAAAACAAGCCGCAACCATCCCTAATGATGAGCAGGCACAAAGAGTACACTGCATTGGAGTTTGTTGATTAATCAATTTTTACGTCTGAAAAAGCTTCAGAAAAAAAAAATCAACTTTTTCGTTTTATTCTGAATGTCATTTCCTTTTTTTTCCACATCTCCGTCTGACAAACTCCAAATTGTAGCTTTCAGCTGATTGTGGCAAGAACCAAAGCAATTATTTGCTTTCAGATGACACACCGCAGTTATACGCCAAACAAGCAGAACGCTCTGCAAAACATGTATTGACGGCAAACAAACAACTTCAGTTACAACAGTGTCAACACTGATAATACCTCCAAACTGCCTCTTTTGACAGGGTTGAGCACAAGTAGTTTCTTCAGCAAGTTTTCACAGTCTGTAGACATGTAGAAAGGAATACGATATTTCCCCCTCAGGACCCTCTCCCTCAGCTCCTACACGTCAAACCACAGACACAGAGAGACACAGACACAGAGGAGGGAAACAAATGAGTACTCGGCAGGGAAAGTTAGCAACTAAGTTCTATAACTTTGTTTCAAACACACAACACGTACTTCAAATGAGCAACAATAGCAACTGAGATAGAGAGGTGATAAATGTATGTAGTTTTATAATGCAGCTGCTTTAATGTCGGTGTTGGTTTCATCTGATCACCCAGCAGGCAAATGCTATCTTCGAGCTAGTTGCTAATTTCCCTGTGCGCTAGTAAAGTCTCTCAGTCTACAGCAGGTTTATAATGAAAAGTTGCCTATTGAGGCTGAAAGCAATACTCCGTTTATGACAGATGCCAAAAAATCTGTTTTATGTTAGATCTTCAAGTTTTTGATTGGATGATATTAGAACATTATCATCCCAAAGGATATACTGATGCCAGACTGCCTCAAAATTAAAGAATAATAAAAGAAGTTGCATCAGATTGAAATTAAACATAAAACACAGCGTTGAAGGCTGAAATACCTGGAACTGAAAAACATGAAAATTAGCAATAATGTGAATTAAATGACATTGGGAATAGAATTCTCTATGATTTAAGTACAACATAATAATGATAATGAACACAGTAATTATGAAAAAGGAGGATCACCTATGAAGTCATTGCTCATAAAAGTGAAAGCTAAACCCTTTATGTTTGCTTTACAGTGTCATGTGAACAATAAAAGTCAACATATAAAACGCAGTAAAGCAAACATTTACCAAACAAGACGTTATGAATACATGAGATGGAGTAAATCTTATTTAATCTCCTCAGGAAACAGTTGACGCTGGTCTGAAAAGGACTGATGTGACTTGCTTAAGGCCTAATCAAATTTACAAGAATACAGTTTTTAGCCGTCTTATTTTGACAACAATCTCTGAAGAGATGTTCAGTTATCTAGCTGAGATTCAGCCTGAACACGAGGACTTTGCACTGGTTTTATACTGCATGGCTCAGTTATTTTACTACCACAAACAACCCCCCTCACATCACTTGATAGTCATTTGATCAATTATTAATGTAAAAGTATTGATTAGTGTAGTTTTTCAAAAGACCACAGATCACTCAGATCAACCAAGCATACAGCACAGCCTAACATTTCCCCTTTCTCTTGACCTGTTTGACTTACTTTAGTGTATTATTAAAAATAACGAACAAATCTCTATGATAATCTTCTCCAAATGAGTGATACATGGTTTGTACAAGTTACCCAGTTTCTGGTTGATGTATACCATATGAACAGGAAACCAGTTCTGATACCGAGCTGCAGGATTTCATTTTCTTCAGCAATATCTTTCTGTATAAAATCAGACGACTTTTTTAGTCTGTTTTCATAAAGAGAAAAAATCTCAAAACCCTCATACTATATTTTGTTTAGCTCATGTCAGCTACATTGGATGATCTTCCCCCAAAAAGTTTGACATGAAAACGGTATTTAACAAAATCCTGCCAATCACATGAAGTGGAATAAATCTGCATTTTTATTAAGTAATTTCTCAGAGGCATCCGCGGTGTTGTACGTGTTGATTAACTGTGTGAAAATAAAGCCTAAAGATCATCCTCCCATTTCTAAACACCTGACAAATAGCTGCTTTGAGTGGTTGTGATGGAGGGACTGTCTGTTGCAGAGGGGACTTTACACACTATAAAAACAAAATCACATTAGTCCTCTTTAGAAAAATTGATACCCCATGATCAAGCTCATGATGGCAGGATAGCAATGAGGGTGATAAACAAGTGGAGTGATCACAAACTATCATCTTTGGGCCATGGTACCACTTCAGTCAGTTATTTTCCTTTCTAAAGACCGACCGTCAGTGCACTCGCTGTCTATCTAAGCATATCTCCATCCTCAGTGCTGAACTCGGCGGAACTTCACCTGATATAAGACTTTAAGATGAACTTTTGAACCTACTACTTTAATCATGGAAACAAGCACAGCTCATTAGAAGGTGTAAGGTCAACAGGTTAAGAGGAGAGAGGCCTTTCCAAAGTATTACATCCAAACATAGACAGTAACTCATCCCAGAACTGAAACAAGTGCTCACCTTTAGATTCTGCCCGTCAAATGGTAGAGATCCGCTGACCAGTGTGTAGAGAATCACCCCGAGGCTCCAGACATCAACCTCTGGTCCATCGTACTTCTTCCCCTGGAAAAGCTCTGGAGCGGCGTACGGCGGGGAGCCGCAGAAAGTGTCCAACTTACTGCCCACGGTGAACTCATTACTGAAGCCAAAGTCAGCTATCTTGATATTCATGTCTGCGTCTAACAACAGGTTCTCTGCCTGAGGAGGGAGGAGATGGATGTGAAATGTCTGAGTATTAGAATATGAGTGATTATAGAGGGTTTCACCATGATGCATATGTCAGATGTGTATAAAGAAACCCATATCAGTGAGAAGTTTGGTCCTCACCTTAAGATCCCTGTGTACTATCCTCCTCTGGTGACAATACTGCACAGCAGACACAATCTGAAACACACACAAAATCTGGTAAGAAACTACAAGTATATTCCAAGATGATCATTTGGTTTAGAGCAGAAAAAGACAGATGTACAGATATAAAAGAAATGTCAAATAAAATCAACATGGACACAGCACAGGGTTGCATCTGGTCGATAATTTTACATTTATTTTATGAAACTCCTAAATGACATCTTCAGCATGTTTTTAGTCCATCCAGAGATTTTAAATCAAACCATTTCTTAAATTTTGCATTTTACTGTGAACGAAAGCTGAAACACCACAGGCGTCCCATAATTGAGATCATTTATGTTCACTAGGGAAGTTAATTTTGCAGCTTTACATACAAAACCAAATATTAATCAAGCTTTATGTGTATCTTTCACTGTTTAATCTGGCTTGAGCTGACATGCTTATTTTTGTCAGTGGGGATAAGAAGAAAACAGAGAGATCTGACTGAAAGTTCTTGAGTATCCCCGGACTTGACAGTTCATAACTTCAGTATCTGTTTTCACACTTCACATTAGGCAAACTTTGAAAAATCCAAAAGCTTTTAAAATGTCAAACTGCAGCTGAGATGATGAATATTCATTTACCTGCTTCAATATTGAGAAACAGTTAAGTCAGTGAGAGGCAAACATTTGAACAGAGATTCATCTGTATTTTAAGGAAAAGCAACAATTGAAAACCTTTTTTGCTGGTGTCAGTCAACAGCAATAGCAGCATTTTCCTGTATCCTTCTGAGCATTGAGGTTACTAAGAAGTGCCTGAATGCTCACTCCTCATTTTGAAGGAATTACACACAAAAGTACCTAAAAAGGCACTAAAACTAGCACACATTTATGCACATATTAGGCTACGTCCACACTGCAGGTTATGATGCACAATCAGAATCAGAATCAGAATCAGAATCTGTTTATTGTCCCGTAAAGGGAAATTAGTTTTGCAGCAGGGCTCACAAAAGACATGTACGCAATGACAACATAAATTTAAAAAACATAGAACAATTAAAAACATAACAACACAATATCAGAAACACATACACAAAACCACCTAAAATTCAGTCCAGAGCTCATACCAAAAAATGGAGAAAAAGTACAATTCAGATTTTTTGTTAAATCCGATCTTTTTGTGCGGTCGTTTACATTACAACAACAAATGCGGCATCTAATGTGAACGGAATGCGTCCATGAAGTGACCCGCATGCGCACAAAGCACAAATTGCTTTCCGCGCCTGTTTGTGTTGTCGAACAATGGTGACGTTTGTCGCATCTTGATGACATTTAGGTCTGAAGAATGCGCCTGAGCGTCCACACTGCAGTCACATCGGATACATATTCAGTTTATATCCACATACAAAAGAAGCCTGGGTCGGATTTGAAAAACTCAGAATTGCACTGTCCACACTTACATGAAAAAATCAGATATGTGTCACATATGGTTAAAAAATCTGAATTGACCTGCAGTGTGAACGCAGCCAAAGAGACGTAAATAAGTCTCATGTTCGAGTCATTGGTGTCCTGCAGTTGCTTTGACAGTTCATGTTGAAGTCTCACAATTAAATGCAGGAATAGTTATCAAACGGACGACGCGGTTTCTTTTTTGACGGATGCTAACCGCCCACCAGCTCTGCTCGAAGGCACCACATGAACACTTTACCTTTGTGTTGATCTCTCAGTGCTGTGACACACAGAGACACACTAACTGCCCACACACTGTGTTATAAACACACACACACGCTTCCTCTGACTCATCCGAGACCATCAATGAGGGGATTTTAAATAACAGCAGCAGCATGTATGTTCAAGAACTGGTTTATAATTAAAAGGATTTAATACTTGTTCTACCTCTTCTTTAGTGTTAGAGTAAAAGTCAACCTGAAGTGATCCGACTGTAGATTTCTTGTTGCTCCTTCAGCACCACTAGGTGTCAGAGCAGCATCTTTAAGGATCTCACAGCCTCATGTTTTTCAGGCCAAGCTATCAGAGCCTCATCTTTCCTCTGCAGTTGGTGACGAAGCCTGATCATGGTGCATGCAGTCTACCCCCAGAAAACAGTGAAGGAATGACGACAGAGGTACGACGACAACGATGACGATGATGACTCACCTGTCTGAACTTAGCTCGAGCTTCCTTCTCCTTCATTCTCCCGTGAGCCACTAGATAGTCAAATACTTCTCCTGGAGTAGAGAAAGGAGGAACATAACAATCAATAAGATGATCTGATCAGTCTGAGGATAATATTTATAATGTTTATAATTCTGTCTTTCTTTCTATAAAAGTTACATTTTAAATAACGTAAGTGGCAATAATAATAGTTAGAAGGACTGATTTTTTTCATTAAATGCTGCTGCTCGTCTTTTAACAGGTAAATAAAAACATGACCACATCACCCTAAGTCTGGCGTCCCTCCATTGGCTTCCTGTTCATTGTAGAAATCATTTTAAAATGTTCTTGTTTGTTTTGAAATCTTTAAACGAATCAGCACCACAGTACATTACTGACCTCTTAAGTGTCTACACTCCCACATGTTCATTGAGGTCTGCTGATCAGCTCCAACTCATGTTACCAAAAACTCGTTTAAAAACCTGTGACGACCGAGCTTTCTCGGCGGTGGCTCCCAAATTGAGGAACCACCACTCGAGATTGAAACATCCCCCACTCTTTGTACTTTTAAATCACATCTTAAAACTCATTTTTATTCCTTTGCTTTTAGCTCAGCATGAGAGTTGTGTGATCTCTGTCCTTTTATCACTTTTATTTCTTTTATGCTTTTGTGTTTTTATTTCATTTTCAGTGTTTTTTAACGGCTTTTATTAATTTCATCTTGATGTTTTCTGCATTGTCTGTTCTTTTAATTTTATTGTGCAACACTTTGGTAAACTTGAATGTTTTTTAAAATGTGCTATACAAATAAAGCAGTTTGGATTGGGTTAAATATGGCATCAGAAAAGTTGAAGCCCTCACACTCTTGCTGTGTACAGACTCGACTGCGTCTTCTAAAGGCTCTTAAACCAATACTGTAGGAATAACAAGCGCCACAATCAAATTAAAATGAAAGTCACTCATTTAGTGGTCATGCATTAATGCCTCACTCACCACCGCTGGCGTACTCCATCACCAAATAAAGTGTCTTCTCCGTCTCAATCACTTCGAACAGTTTAACTGCAGGGAAAAAGAAAAAAAAAAGACAAGGGAAAATATTAACATAGGTTTTTAAAAATTACAGTAACATACTGTTATACAATTTCAATGATGGAAAATGATGAAAAATGGATTGTTCTCGAAAACTTTTAAAACACAATTAATCATTTGGGAGAATGCAGAAAGTGGCAATTGCACTGCTTTCTTTCCACTGCTAGTCCACATTGAACCTAGAGTTGTCAGTTTAGTCTTTAGATTAATCCTGAGAGGCTTATTCCACTCTACTTTAGCTGTTCTATAGCAAAAAGGCAAAAATAACTTTCAAAAGTACTAGTTTAACTTTCATTTAGTGGCATTTATCAAAAGTCTAATGCTGTTTTCACTGATACTAGGATCTTAAAATGAGCGTGAATAACTTCTCTAGAGTGGGAATGCTCTTGTTTGGAAAAAATGGAGAAAAAAATGTTATATAGCGTCACTTTCACTCATAATACTAATCCAAATTTAATGAAATGTTACTGCCAAGCTGTCATAAAACTGCTGCAGGCTTCTGTTTGAACTTACCTATATTTGGATGATTCAGAATCTTCATTATTCGGACTTCCCTGAAGAGCTGTGGAGACACATTGGAACAGTTATAGTACTCAGAAATACGAAGAATAAGATCACAACAAGCAAAGGAAAAGGTTAGAAAACATTACTAAGCACTTATAAGTGAGCTGAGTCAAGGGAAGTGAACGACAGTAAACTCTGAAGCACCAAAATGAGTCTGGATTACACTCTTCAGAAACATGAGACGACCTGATGATCACAGGCCTACTGTACTGTGTAAAGCAATATGACTGGTGCAGCAGCGGCACTGTAGCACTAAACCCTGCCCCACAGAGATAAGGGCCAGAATTACAACTCCACTGACAGGCTGCAGCCCCGCCAGCCAGCCAGCCAGCCAGCCAGCCTGTCAGCCATTCAAACACCCAGTCAGCAGCATGACACAGCCTGCCACTGCAGAGGAGCTGTACATAAGCTTACAGCCAGTACGGCATCTGGTGTCTAATATAATCATCTTAAAACATGGACATGCAGAAAAGAACAGCAAATACACGGTGAAGCTGAAGTCCTGTAGTAAACACAGAAAACTAGATTTGAGCTCCTTCAGAAGGTTTATTTTGACAGGACTTTATTGCAGATGAGAAAAGTTTTTATCCAGTTGAAAAAGGAAAATAACATCCTGCAGTCTGGAGAGCGTTCAGATCATTTAAACTCCTCTGTCTTGGCGTGCTTGTTTATGTCAGACGAGCTCTTGCAGCCACTTAGAGGTGCTGTTGAATCATTTACGTCCTGCTGATTCCTGGCTGTGCTAAGGCTGTGTTTGAGTGTTCAATTTCAACACTCACTCGACTGGGATTATGCATCTACAGCTACCTGAGACCAAACACAGATTTTGACATTAGCTGAGCGCTTTCTTGGAGCAGAATGTGCTGAGTGGAAATTCATCTCCTGTCTGTTTTCAAATTGAGAAAAATCGACTTTGATTATCGAGCACTTCGCAGAAAACGAGACAGGACTTGATGTAGTCTACGAGGATTTTATGAGTGTAAATTATCGTGTGCGTGCAACTTTTCTGATGTCCTTTCAGGCCTTGCATAAGTGCTGTGATAGTCTCTGTTTCTAGGTCATCAAACACAGCCATCAGACCAGTGTGAGCAGGCCTGACTCTGTGGAGCTGCTCTGCTGAAGTCTGGTTGGTTCAACAACATGCAGGTACTCTCTTTTTCTAATTCCTGCCTCTGTTCTGTGTCTCTACTTGCTCTGCTGCTGCTGCTGCTCTTTTTCTCCTGACACCTCTCATCTCATGAGATCACAGAGAGCTGCTGCAGATGGCTCAGAGATTAAGACCTCTGCATTAGACCCATTGTAAAAGAAATCCAGCTACAGTTAAAATGCAGGAATTTTTTTTGTATTGTCATAAAGGCTGATGTTGCTTATTCCAATCTGCCAAAACCACATTAGTATAACATACTGTTGTTTAGTTTGAATCAATCCCACACAGACAGTCCTACTGCTGTAAGGATTCAATAGAAACTCAAAATTTATTAATCCACCACTGAAAATAGTCCCCCACAAGGATCTTTGAATTCTTGCAGAAGAGAAGAAAAAGGTCAATTTCAGAACTTGTTAACCCTCCTCCTGTGTAAGGGTCCACACCGACCTGTTTTTGTTTTCAAATGCTTAAAAGAACCACTTAAATTAGCTTTTTAGCATCAAGACTTTTTGACTTTGTCAGGAATCTCTATTTCAACAAAATGAAAATAAAAACAATTTAATTGACTAAATTATAAAATACCCTTATTAAAATCATGGCACTTGTCATGTTAGAGTCACTGTTGACCCCGTTAGATTAATATCTAATAATTAGAGCAAAAACTGAAATCATAAGTGCACTGTTAGGCACCACTCAGACAGTCAGATCCTCGTCCAACCATGTAAGATTTAGGAAATTCTCATTTTACCTTGTTTTACCATGCACAAAACAACACTGTCGGGCATGTCCAGACTCCTGACATGTGAGATCAATTCAGTATGGATGTCTGTACGAGAGGTATACTGGCAAAGAAAGGCCCAGAGGCCCACAACTAGGGCTGCGCGATATGGGGAAAAGTTTATCACGATGTATTTTTTTCATATCAGTCGATATCGATATATATCACGATATATATCTTATATCTTTATAAGCAGAACCACAGTCAAATAAATCCACCACTGAACTGGACATCTGTATCCATGTCTTCTAACGGTACACACACCATACACCTTGTTGCCCCAAACCCAGCTAAATCCTGGAGAACATACTTTTCTCCTTTTTAATGCCAACTATCGAAAAAGCATATTGACCATATTTTATATTGATATCGAGGGAAATTAATTTTCGCAATATATCGCTATCGTTTTATCACCCAGAACTACCTAAAACAAAAAATAATATAAGCAACATTTTCATGGATAATGAAGCCTAACAAGGTAACCTAGAGATGAGAACCAACTTAGATGATAGAGAAATGATTTTAGTGTAATTTACAGCTGATTTAAGACACGGGTCAAAACCGACCCTTAACACAGTAGTGAAAGCCAAAACAGGAGGAAGGTTGTGAGATTTTTGAACTTTGAACTTTTCATTTCCCCCAAAACAAAGTGTGATGATGTATTCGGCAGGGAAACTGAAATAAGAAACATCCAAACTACACGTCATGGTTTGAAGAGAAAAAAGTATTATTTGTGCGACAGTGTAAGGAGAGAATGGATCTCAGTAAAGGTTGATCAAAGGATTGATGAGTGTGTGAACGCGGTTTACTTCAGGGGCAATTAACCAGCTCTAAAATTAAGGGAGGCTCCAAGAGGTATCAAGAGCTGCCAAGAGTGACTGAGCACTGGTTTTACAGGAAAAGAGCATCAAGGTGCAGCCAAAAGAAAAATCAGTATAAGCTAGTCCATTTTTTAGCCAGTTCAAGGTTTAAAATGATGAATTATGAGCACGAACCTGTTTAATCTAAGAGAAGTGAATTTTGAGCTAACTCATTTCAACTGTGACTTTGCGCGACATTAATTCCTACAGACCCACCTGGGGGTTCATTAGATTGTTGTTGTGCGTGCAGATAATGCAGTATATCTTCAGACACTTTCACTGAGTGTTAAGTCCTCACATTTAGTTCCAGTTTAAAGCTGTTTTTTTTTTTTTCTCTGGCTGTTTGTTTTTTTAATTCCCTTGTGTGTCAATTCGCTCTCGGCTAACATTTTTCCTCTGAATTAATAAATAATTTTATCAGCGTAAACGACACAGGAACACTCATCCTTGCAGCTTTTATAATTGAATTTCACGTCGCTTTTTGCCGTAAAAATCTACGACTCCTGCACGCTACGGTGACGGGCTTCTTGTGTGTGGCAAACCCTGCTCCATATTCATAAGCTGCTGTGTTGGCCTGAGAGGTTCCCCCTGGAAACAAAGTCAATTAGAGTGGAAACACACTGACACAATAACCAAAAGATGTCCTGCGGTACACTAGAATAAACACACAAGATTCATGTTCAGATATGCATGCGCTCGGGCCGTCGCTTTAATATGTGACGCATCTGTCGAGACAGACCCTCTTTATTATTCTGAATGAGTGAGGGGCTAAAGAGTCAGTGCCTTTTACTGCTGCCACTCTCTGTCTGTGTCTCTCTCTCTCTCTCACTCCTGTTTACGTCATTGCCCCAGAGCCCCTCACATGGAAAGCACGCATGCAGCCACTTGGAAACAAAAATTAGAACAAATCTGAGGAGGGCTGTGGAAAAGGACGGCAGCAGACATTGAGCTCTTGTCAATAAGAGCTCAATGGGGATGCAGCCACGATGGAGGCAGACGGATAATGAGTTTGAAATCTAACAGCCTGTCTTATGCTTTTATTAATAAAATCTACATGAAGGTTCTGACACAATGAGCAGCAGTGGACACTCACTCCAAGGCTAAATGTCCTCCTTCAAATCTGAACTGGATGAAAACGGTTGATTTAGAGGATGAATTCTGGTTTTACTGTGAGGAACAATTGTGAGAATATCTGCACAAACAAAATGTGCATCACAAACATGAAAACACACCGTTTCCAATGTGCCTGAATCTTAGTAGTCTGTGCCAGTGACCTACTTCCAGCCACCCAGGGGCACCCAGACTCCCAAACTAGCCTTAATTACAGCAGAGTCCCCATGCAGAAGGAGCAGAGAAGCAGATATCAGACTGGGAACACTTACGGGAACTGGCTGCACTATTTCAGTCACAGCAGCACAGCTGCTCATTCAACATGGAGATTATTGATAGGCTGAGTAGCCTGGAAGCTCTCATCATTCCAGCGAGTGTGTGTGAGTGTGTGCATGTTTGCATGTGCACAAATAGTACTTCAAAACCACAAATCAGTAAATAACCACTGCTCGCTGTTTGTCAAAGAGAGACAGAAAGACAAACAAAAAGGCTGACAGAGGGATCAAAAGTGTCGCTGACATTTAGACAAACTGTCCTGTCCTCGACTCCTGGGCCGCTGAAAATAACCCCAACAAGGAGAGACACGTCCCTCTGTCTCCAACTCTTTCTGCTCCTGCAACCTTTCATTCATGATACACAAACACCGAGGCAGCAGGGTCAACTTTTAACCTCAAATCACAGCCTGAAACACACTGAAAGCATTTGTAGATGAACACTTAATTCAGTATCTAAGCAGCCTTGACATTTGATTTGTTTTGTGATTCATTTCAGTCTACGTAGCTGCCTGTCCAATCAGATTCCACTCATCTGAACAAGACCACAGCTCCTCCAGCCCAGAGGCTCATGCAGAGTGGCAGGCACAAGACAGATGTAAACAACAGCCATTAAGAGAGCACGACCCCGTTGTGGGCTTTTTGTAACTGTCGGGAAATACACAAATACAGCGAGGTTCTGTTTCTGACTGCCTAAATTACACACAGATTTAAGATAATAGCACTGCAAATTTGCACTGTGGTTTAAAGGCAAGTTTAAAGTCTTTACAGAACATGTCTCTCCGCTTCAAAAGCTCTCTTTTTTTTTTTTTAAGTAAATGTTTTTCATGTTTGGGAGAGGCTTTTATTTTGACTTCAGCTGCACATTTTTAAAGCACCAATCATAAAAACCTTTCATATTTAAAAGTTGCCGAAACAATGACTAAATATGAGTCTTATTTACCGATTAGAAAAAAGCCAGAGAGTGATGGGACGACGGGATGAGAGCAGTGTTTGCTCAGTGCAAGAGGGGATTAAACCAGAGGCCTATTTTAGGGGCTAAAATGCCTAAAAACCATGACAACGTCAACATCCCTGACCACAGATGACATGTGATGCATTTCCTGTGACAGATCTAAGGAGTTGCTTTGGAAGCTCAGCTGACCTCATTTCCTGTTACACTGAAACCGCCGCAAAGTCACAACAGAGAGCGCCAGTGGGCCGTAAAGGAACAGACCAGGGCTTCATTCTAACCTCATGACTAATTTTGGCCTCCGCTAACCTCTTTTTAAAAAATCAAATAAGCAGGGAAAAAACAAGTCTGATAAATTTGAACAGAAGGTGATAACATCTTAGATGATAAGATTGACTTTATCTCTGCAGCATGAATCCTGATTTAATTCTTATACCAAGATAAGCAAGAAGGCGCCTGTGTCGACATAAATTGGAGAGTTAATAGGAATAATAAGCAGAGGAATGCATGCTCACAGGTATGTGTGAAATGTTGCCAAAACTGTGACTGAAATAAAAAAACAAGTGTCTGCCAGCTGGAAGCTTTTGCATAAACTAAAAGGATCTCCTGCCGGTGTGTCATAAAGGCTTCTTGTGTGTGTCTGTATAGAATTTGCCAGATCCCTGGCTGTGCCTACAGAGCCAGATGGTGCGCCCGCAACCCGGCTCCTCCGAGACCATAAAAAGAGAGATCAGTGGCGTTTTGACAGGCTGACATGAAAGAGCGGACGTTTACAGCGCTGCAGCCAGATCAACCTGACTCACCCACACTGATAAACAACCAGGATCACTAATAAAAAACACACACTCGGCTCAATCGTGTGCTCGGCTCAATCCTCTCCCAGTTTTACCCTCAGCACAAAATATTTAATCAAGTCCAGGGCAGAGCAAGAGAAGGTGGCAAGGTCAGCTTAGACAGCAGCAGAGATCCTTCAGAGAACCTCTGAAGTGGAGCACGTAAAAAAAAAACCTTGAGTCATTCATCAATCCTCAGACCCATCTGTTGTTTATATCTGATCCTAGAAAAAGCCCTCTGCAGCACTCAGAAAGACGTTTTTATACATGTTAGCATCAGGAATGTGGGAGTTCAGTTGTCATAACGATTAAACGTCCCCACCTACTGTAGTCAGCTCCAGAGTGGGATGACTGATTGGTTTTTTTAATACTGTCTCCCCAAAATGCAGATCAAATGTTGTGTCTAAGGTGTGGTGCAGCCACCTCCCACTTCAACCACTTTAGCTCTGGCTAAAGCTACAACTAGGAATAGACCAGTTAGTCAGTTGGCCCATTGATGAGGATGATTAACGGCATGTTGATATAATCGGCATCAGCTTTACCATCATCTTTTCTGAATGAATCTTTAAAAAACAAAACAGTCATTGTTTTAATATTGGATTGTAAAGTAATATTTTGACTAGCGGTAATATCAGCCATTTTTAGCAATCTATAGATGAGTTTCTTGTGTACAAACAATACTAGATGCACACGCAACCAGGGGGCAAAAGCCTGCTACGGAGTGAACTGATATCATTGAAGACGCCGTTTTGTTTGTAAGTTCTCCCCGGCACAATTGCAATAAAATGTCATTTCATTGACAAATCGCTTCGTTTTTTATTGCATCACAAATCAGAAAAACACTTGCTGAAATGTTCATGAATTTCACTCAGTTTACCAGGTTGTGACGTTGTTTTGGATGTTTCTATTAGGGCCCAACTGATATGGATTTTTTGGGGACGATGCCGATACTGATTATTAGGAGGGAAAAAAATCTGATTACCGATTAATCAGACCATTTTTTAAATGTTTTATGAAGTTCTAAAAAATATATATACTGTAGATATCTAAATAAGCATCAGGTGCAGCACAGTTTGGTAGTATTTTTCTCCTGAGAATGAACATAAAGTCTTATGTTGACTTTGTTTAGACTAGGGCTGTCCCAAATTATCAGTAATGATGATGATCTTCGTTCGAGGAAAATGAAAAATTGATATTGAGCCAAAAATGAGCAAACTTTAACACTGTGAATCCAAAAACAACATTAGAGTTTGTGTCTATCTCTGGTTACTGATCAATTGAACACTCATACTTGCTAACTATTATTTTATATGTTTTTATTTCGATCTGCAACTTACGATCTGCAGGAAGTAGCTTCTACTTCAAAATAAAAGCATAAATGATGTTAATGGATAAATCACAGTTTGAAAATCATGAAAATAGGTGATGACATAAAAGTTATTCAGGTTTATTGGTGAAGTTTATCAAATAAGGTGCTGCTCCGCCCTTGTCATGCCTCTTCTCAGTGTGACTCATGTTGTTTTAGTTTGAAGTGATCAAGTTTTCACATTATTATCACAATATTTTACAGCCGCCATAATTGTGAGGAGGTGAAAATCTGATATTGTGACAGCCCTCGTCTGGACATAAAACCACTTGACCAAAACGAATTAATGGATATGAGAGGGAAATAAACTCAGCAGTTATGGAGTGTGTCTGAATTTTAAAACTCTCCACAGTCAGATCTTTCTGCTGGTTCCTCTGGGTACAGAGGTCATGATGTGAACAGAGTGGGCAGAGCAGCCCTCGAGGAGCAAAGTCAAGTGAACCCTAGACTGCTAAACATGATGACCGCTTTGTGTAAAACTGCAGAGAAAAACACTGAACATTCAGATACCGGCAAGAGAGCTGTTTCAAACTGTAGACAGAAAGACAAATATTTGTATAGTTTGACAGTTAGGGGGTTAAAATGATCCACATTACTTCAGAAAGTCTTCATTTCTTCCCCTCTGGTCCGATTACTTTCTTATTCAAACCATCAAATCATAAAAATCATTGCCATCAGCCAAAAGCGGGTGGTTAAATCACTCCAAACTCTAAACATTAGGAATAAAAACCACCGGCTGACAGCGGTGATGTTTTTCTTTCACTTGAGGTCACATGAGTAACCAGGAAAAACTGTGTAAAGGTTGATGTTGCCTTTAATGCATCCATAGCAGAGCTTTTACAAGGATAGGGTAGGACACTCTGAGTCAATGTAACAATCGATTCAATTCAGGGGACGACTGCTGCATTATAAGACAAGCTTCTGCATTGCAGATGGCACTTATGTCTACCATTACAGCAATCTATAGAACAGGAAAAAGGGTATCAAAATATACAACTACGTAAACAGGAATGAACCTTTCTTTACACTCAAATACAGATAAATTTAACACAGCAATTTTCACGTACAAGCATGCATTTACACTAACTTATTCTCTTTAGAAAACTGTAAGACTCAAAGGTATTCACACTCCCAGGGCTGCTGCAGCTGACACCTGAAAGACCCACTGAATAATTGATCACAGAGATTCTGATTGGTCCACAATCTCACACGATATGTCTGACTTAGCCATCACCAGGCAGCGGACAACCTGTGTAACCACTAATGACCTCGACAAGACCCTGTAAGTCAGTCAGTCAGTTGATATTCAGAATCTTAACGCCACAAACACACAGAATGACTCTAAACGTTCGTCACCCCAGTGAGTGTGTGTGGATCAGAAACCTCACAATGGCCTGTTGAACAAAAGAGCGAGCACAATCGCGTTTATCTCAGTCAGATTAGATGAGTATAGAACTTGTAGTGGGCTTGAAATTCACGCAGCGTCTCAGCTCTGATTGGCTGAAGAAACGCTGTCAGATCCCATTAAGATCCAAGCGAATTACAGACGAGGAGAACAATGCTTGAAACCTAATCATGTGCGAATGACCCGACAGGTTAAAAACGGTTTTGTTTTGCAAAATTATGAGTGGGAAGAGGCTGTAAGAACCAAATCCATCCATTTTTCTCCCTTTTTTCATCATGACACTTTGATTTCTACAACCTTCTCCTGCAGGGACAAACAATGATTCATCGTCTCTTTGACCTCTTCAGATACACGCACAAAAAAATTCACAGCTCTCACCAAAGCTAAAGGTAAAAAACACAGCATACATCGTCTTTTGGGTCTTTTATTAAAAGTGAGTGGGCGGGGCACATACATGTAAAGTTCGCTAAAATGCCCTCAATTGTTATCAAAGTTTTGGATGTCATGTTAAATGAAAGCTCTGCAGCATTATCAGATGTCATATCATCACAGACTTGACTTCTGGCAAAGCTCAACAACTACTACACTACTGCCTTATAATAGGGGTGTCCCGATAGGATATTGATATCGGATATTAGTCCAAAAAAACGAATATCGGATTATATCAGCCTGCATCTAAAATCTCTAATACCAACACTCCCATCAGCAGTCCATTCCAGACTCCGCTCCAGCATCTCTATCTAGCAGCGCCCTGATCCAGCAAGCTGAGCTAATAACAAAGTACTAACAAAGTACTGCAAACTGCAAAGTGTTTCGCTCATGGTGGATTAAAATAGGATAAGACCATTTACAGTTTTACCAGTGGCCACTGTGGATACCGATTATAGAGGGTTGGCCTATTGTCTATATCTAATGCTGGTATCACAAGGTTTTTGCTATTACTTCGATAAATAAAAACAAAACTAAACTTCAGTGAACATTTTATCGTATAAATGTAGTTAAAATTATATTTAGCTCAGTAAATTATTGCCACAAGGAACTTTTGAATTTCTGTTCAGACATCTAAATTGTGACTCTACACATCATGACCGAGTTAAGATAAAAAAATACACCAGCGCCTGTTTTAGATGTGATATGCTGTGAATGGGAGATCAGAAATTTCCAATCTGACCGATTGACTGATGCTGATATGATGCAGACAATATCAAAATGCCATTAATTAGCCAACCGATAAATTCGTCTATCTTAGCGAAGAGTGGGTCTTATTGATCATAATAGGGCTTCATCTTTTCCTATCTGATATCACATCTAATACGATGAAGAGTTTGGTCCAGACCGGCTCTTTCTGTAAAGTGTCTTGAGACATTTGCGGTGAATTGGTGCAATATAAACAATGATTGATCGACTACAAAATTAAACAGGTGCCATTGAACTATTCTCACTTTTAATTCACAGAATTCATTTGAAATTGTTGTGACAGATATTAAAGCTGAATCGAGCCTGATTTAAACCCACTGTCAAAAGGCTTCGAAACTCAAATGTCATCTTCGTAAATTTGTATGCAAACACACTTTTAATACTTTAATTATGTACACAGCATCCTAATTCATATGTAAGATAATTGTGGGTTGGGGTTTCCGATAGCTTTTAACTCCTCTCACTCCCACTGGTGTGTAATGGTAGGCACTTTGAGGAGATAATTGTTATCATTTTGTCATTAAACTGCCTGATGTGGTAATATGTTCTCACTCCGACAGCTTTAGGAGAGATGGAGGCCAAAAGATCCATCAAGACATCGAGTGTTAATGTAGGTGTGGTGGTTTCTTTAAACGGTACATTATTGTAATGAGTCATCACCGCAGGAGCTTCGATATTTGCTCATCCTTCACAGAACGCTCTTAAAACAAAGAGAGTAAAGGTGGTGAGCGATGCTGCGATGGTGTCATGACCGTGAATAAACTCCTGTCACCTACACACCGGCGATATGTTCCTACATAACAGAAAATAAATGTTGCTCATACTGTGGCAGCGGCTGTTTTCTATCCGCAGGGTTTTATCTACGGTGAGGATATGAGCATGGATGCGTGCGTGTGCGCGATTAATCAGCAGAAAGAGCTGGATTTGGCGTTGGTAATCAGGAAACAGTCCCTAACCCTTTGTTATAATTGGTTATGACTGCAACACAAGGGTAAGTGACAAACGGGCAGGCAGGCAGGAGTATTTATAGCCGCTCTAACCACAAACCAACAGAGAGTCGGGCGTACGGTGGGTTAGGAGAAGGGGGGGGCTGGAGATTAAACAAGCCTTGTGGTCTCTTCTGACTACATCTGATTACATTATGTAAAATTGCACATCCTGAGTTCAAAGAGCGAAGAAACAGAGCGGCGAGGACTCAGGAATGACTAATGGAAAAGACATGAGCACTGTAAGTGGAGACATTAGTGTTACCATGTGGCCGTAAAAACACACAAACACTCACCTTCTGTAGACTGGTGGGGTTCAGCTGCGTTTTGTCTATGATCTTCACCGCCACCTACAGAGGAAAAACACAAACAGAGGAAAAAAAGAAATTAAAATGGGAAAGAAAGAGAGAGAGGGAGAGGGAGGTGTAAAGATAAAAGATAACCAAGATGTCAGAACTAATTCTAGCTTTGTATCTGTATTGTGGTCGCACAGTGAAAGCTTGTGAGGAAATGAGCTCTCCTCATTATTTCACTATTCTGCTCTGAGGCAGCGTTGTCAAAACATGTCACAGCTGGATCTGTGCGCTCGCTCTGCACACACCTAAAGGCTCTTCTATCCAATAATATGTGAAGAGATAAAGCTCTTACTGGGGGGGTGATAAAAGAAGTTAAAAATATGTTTTTGTTTGTGCTGATGGGTATTAAATAGCACATGTAAAAATGAAAAAAACACATATAGCGTTCTGCATGTAAGTGCGTCCTCATGCAATCTCAAACGCCTTTCAGGAACCGCTCCCTGCATGGCAGCCAGGCCTGTGTTGGTAGTGTATATTCGACTCTCGACTATGGTCTGGGCAGGTTTGGTTTTGCAGCAGTCAAAACCATCCATCTCAATAATCACCCCAAAGTGCACACTGGACCAGACCTGCTCCCCTCAGCAGCTTTTTCAGTGAGACAAGCTGAGCCATTCTGCAGACTCACCACTAAGAGGAGGAGGATCTTTATGCTGATCAGTGAACGACAGGGCACTTTTCAACAAAGTCTAATTACATTGTAATAATGCACGTGGCATTTTGTCGTTGCACTCATATTGTTCAATAATAATCATTTTTAGATGTTTAAAGAAGCAGATCATCAACATTTGTGCAGATCATTTCAAATTTGATTTAATTGTTTCTTATTTAAAGGGCTATCACCACATTTTATGTAACTGTCCAACCAGTGTTGATGGTAAATGTAGTGAATTGAAGCAGCAAATTCCTCATTGCGTGCTATATTGAGCAAGAAAGCTGAGTTGTTCTGCTAGCTGAGCAGCACAGACAGTGCCTACATCCTCCGAAATGCCCTGTGCTGCATTTCTTTGTCAACACACCAGAAATGAAGCTGAATATTCAGACAGCAGAAAAAAAAACACTTCATGTTAAAGTTAAATCCAAAGTTCTTCAATGACATGGCTGCAACCTCCCTCAAGTCAGGAAAAATCCTCCTTTATTCACCCTTGAGTTGACTGTTTTGTTGCAGTGATTTGACATGTACTATTAAATATCAGGGACACCTTACAGAGATAAAATTAAGTCATTGTTTTAGGATGTGTTAGCCCACTTTTCTTCAAAGCAACAAACCGTCATTGTATATATGAACAGATTGTGTAAGAAACTGGGTCCCTCATGGAGAAGGGCAGGTTAATAAGCAGCCTGTCCATACTTCTGCAACAGTCTGTCCTCAGCTGTTGAGTGTAACTTCACGAGATGATACACATTCCTCATATTAGTGCAGGCAGCTGGCTGCTCTGCCAAAGTCACCCTATACTGTACGCTGTTTGAGCCGACATAAAGATTAACCAAAGCCTGTCCACCCCGCTTCTTTTTCATGAAATTACTGCTTTACTCTTGTAAAATTACGACTTTAGTCATAAAAGTTTTTTTCTCATAAATTTACTTCTCTGTCTCCATAAAATTAAGATGTTTTTTCTTGTCCTAATCCTCCATCCTGGACATGTGTTTGACAGAAGACGTGATTAATATCAAGTAAAGTTACTGCAGTCTTTAACAAGTATTGAAAACTTAATTTTACCCCTGCAGGTGGATAAACCAAGACTATTTTGAGCTGTTGTTTCAGCCACATCACATTTATGTCAACTCGCTGTGTCCTGACGCCATTCTTCATATGATGAATTTAAGTAGGGACAAGCTTTAAGAGAAGCTCTTGGATCTTGTTTTTTTTCATCCTACAAATCTTACAAAACTGCTGGTTAACATCCTTGTTAATAGGGCAGCTATGAACCTACACAGATAAAACTCTAACATATATATCCTTGCCTCAACATCCTCTGCATTCATACTTAAAAGGATGCAAATGTTGCAGTTTTGATAGTAGTTTTGTTGTAAAAAGCATGATCTAGAAACCCATTTATGATTCTTGAGTTCTTTGGGTCGACTAGCATCCTTCAATAATGTGGCTGCAGGCCAGAAAAATAAAAGATTTCTGAAGCTGTTGTGCCACAGAGATGAAGACAGAATCAGGATCGGCTGCTCGCCAAAAAAAGTTCAATAGAGATAAGATTCAAATTTGGCCAATTTCCCTTAAATGTTGGAGGATTACAGAACATCATCTCAGAGTCTCATTATTACCCATTATCCTCTCGAAGTGGGAAGCCCCGATGCTCGAATCTTGTCATATAGGTTACAAACCGTATAAATTTGAGGAATCAGACAGTCCATGATCAGTTTACAGCCTCTCTATGCATAACCAGCTTTGACAGGCTACACATATTTGAAATCTGGAAGGAGAGGTCACCATATCTAAAGGTAAATACGGCCTATTTAGCTTCTGTATAACAAGAGCCGACCAAATCCTAACATTGCAAAACTACAAAGATCACACTTGTCCTATATGTGGGTAAAAATCTGGTCTTTTGTCATCCTGGGTATTCAACTCTGATAAGTTATAAATCCTCTGTCATTTCTGTCAAAGGAAGAAAGGGGAGGGACGGCTTTTTTGGAAAAATGATACTATTAAAGAATATATTGCCATTTATGACAGCAGCATTACTGCGGCTCTGGCCTCACGAGAGTTTAATAAACTTGCTTCAGTGGATGCTGACTCTGGCTCCAATCCAAAGCATTTGGCTTGGGGGAAACCATGAAGTAAATGCTGAGTCACAATGGAGAGAGTGCAGGTTATATATCCTGAACAGTGTCGTGTGGGCATTGAAATTCACCCAAACCACCGAAATATGGCTGCAACAAAGAAATGAGTCTAGCAGGGAGAAGAAAGAGCAGAGTGAGAGACTGCAGAGAGGCTCCATGTTTGTACACATGCAGTACGCAGGTGGTGTCTATTTGCAGCCTGCGTTAGGTGGGCAGGTGCACAGACAGACCTCACTCCCTTCCTCTGCTTCCTCTTGTCATGGACAACACTTGGGTGGAGGCATGTGTGTGTCGATTTATGCCTGCAGGTGTTTGAGCTGTCCTCACGAATCGCTCCATTGTTCCTTCTTCCACAATTCCCTCCGCGTGAGTCAGAGATATTCATTACATTTCCCCACAGCCCACTGTACCAATATTTGTCTTTTGAGCCTCGGATTGAGAGATGTGATGAATTGCATCACATCACATCACATCACATGCCAGTGTTTGCATTCTCTTCGCAAATGGACATGAAGGTGAATAATTCAGTCCAACAGTGACAGAAGGGCAACGTGCATCACTGTTAATTATTCAGCGCAGTCGAAACGCACGGCCCATATGCTCTTCACCGTATGCAGGTCTTGTGATCCTGCGTACGTGTGAATATTCAGATGAGAGGACATGAAGGAGGAAACAGTCATAGCAGAACTTGAGAGTTATTACGTGTTCCTCTACTCGTGCATTTCTCTCTGAGCCTTTTAAAAAAACCACGGGTTCATGATCTCGGTGCGCTGAGAGGAGTCACTGCTGCAGAGTAGTTCAAATCCTGTGCATTAAACTGGTACTAACAGGGCTGCGAATGCATCATTCATACAATATGCATTTGCGATAAGCACATTTGGCGATAAATAAAGACAAGCAAAGGTTTCTGATTGTGCAAACGTTGGGTACACACACACTGCATCAATGTCCATGTTTCACACCCTTCTGATGCCGTCAAGGTAGCGTTAACCTCAGGTTAATAGGAGCCATTGTAATACACTTACTCATCTATTATCTTTAGTGCTTATCTCATTCCGGGGTGGTGGGACAGCTGGAGCCTATCCCAGCTGATATTGGTCGAGAGGCGGGGTACACCTTTGACAGGCTGCCAGTCAATCACAGAGCTAACATGTACAGACATCCATTCACACTCACACTCGCGCCTAAATGAGTGACCAATTAACCTGACAAGCATGTTTTTGGACTGTGGAAGTACTTAGAGAGAAGTGATGTATGCACAGGGAGAACATGCAAACTTCACATGGAAAGGCCCCCGCCTGTCTGAAGATACAAACGAGGAACCTTCTCACTATGAGTCCATACTAATCTGTACAGTAAAAACCCAATAAAAAGAGGGAAACAACGAAGCGGAACGAACAGGGTGTGCTCTAATGTTCAGGTTTGACATGTTTTTTCCCTGCTTATGTAAATTTTAAATAAAGTTACATGACTAGCCTTCATATTTTCAAATCTATCAGTTTCATAACTTTTTTCCACGTAGGAGCTATGACTTTGTGTCACTTATCTTTTTTTAGCTTTACGCTCTTTGATAAGTGATGTGTCTATATTTAGTCCTCTCATTTGTGCTGCATTTGCTCTCTGTACTCTATACTCGGGAAGTGTAAAGACAACGTCTGCAAAATACCTTTGAATAAGAGCAAAAACCATTCAATTGATCATCTTTGACTAAATCGAAACAATAAGACTTTTATATCTTCATCCCAGAATCTCAGTTGGAAAATCTCAACTTTTATGGGAATTAACTGAACAAAACCTACCATTTTATGACACTAACTTCAGTTCCAAAATAGTTTAAGGGGATTTTTTTCACTATTTTAATGTTGTACACACAAAATACTTAACAGCTGAAAAAACAGTCAAATTCAAAGATAATCCAAAATAAAATGTTGGCTCATTTGTAGACATTACTTACTTACTTCCTGTACTCTATACTCGTTAAGTGCAAAGACAACGACCGCAAAATACCTTTAAATAAGAGCAAAAACCATTCATATCAATCATCTTTGGCTAAATCGGATCAATAAAATTATTATATCTTCTTTCCAGAATCTCAGCTGGAAAATCTCAACTTTTATGGGAAATAACTGAACCAAACTAACCATTTTATGACATTAACTTGAGTTCCAAAATATTTTAAGGGGATTTTTTTTACTCTTTTAATGTTGTAATGACAAAATACTCAACAGCTGATATTCACAGATAATCCAAATTAAAATGTTGGTGGATTCTTAGAGATGCCTCACATACCGTATTTTCTGTACTTTCTTGACCTGCTTTGTATGACATGACAAATGTCCATAATTGAGACAATGATATCAAACTGGTTGGCAATTGATTCAACTTGGTGTCACTCTTTTTGGATCGGTTTAAAACTAAAAATGTGTATTTGAATTGACCAAAAATAACAAAATTCTGCTAAATTGAGGCTGCCCAACAACAACAGTATGATATGGGAACTTCACCATATTACATAAACTGTTTAAAAATGTATGATTGCCTTTTCCATGTGTGAAGGTGACAACATAAGGAGGAGGCAAACATTTCCATAACTGCAGCTAAAGCGTGTTTGTCCTCAGACTGAAGTCACCCTCCTCAGCTGTTGGAGGACACTGTGCACGAGATGGCACGACTCTTTCTAATGTTTTCTTTTTCCAATTTTGAAATTCAACCTTTTTCCATTTGAGAAAAATCTTTGCTTGTGCGAGTGTCTGATTGGACTAAAGCTGAGATAACGTTGGGTTTTAGTGGGTTATGTTCTTTCCACCTGTTCTCTCCCCAGTCTGATCCATGACTTTGCATTCTGATGAGCCAGCAAAGGCACTCAGGCACACAAAGCTGAGCCTGACCTTCTCAGCAAACAGTGGGTCGCATAGCCAATGTGCCTGTTTAGCATTAGCATAAAAGGATGCAGAATGGATCAAACTGCAACCGGTTTGACCTGGAGGAATAGTCAAGCCCTGGATGCTCTGTCATGACCAAGAAGATGATGAAACTCCGAGGATAAAAGGACGCAGGCGGTTATTATCGACATGAGAGGGTGTGTGAGGTGGATCAGCGTGTGCAACATGGCTGAGTGAAGGACAGAGAACAGATCAGAGGCTGTTGTTTTCTCCTTAGGGAAACAGGAGCTTTAATTACTGACACACCAAAGCAGTTTGTCTATCACCCTGACAAGTCAGCAGAGTATGACTGAGAGTGTGTGAAAACGTGTGAGAGATGAGCAGAGAGAGTTTGACCTGACTTGACAGGAGGACTAACATTGTCGAGCAGAGTTTTTGCATGGTGGGCGGACATAATTCACACAGGGCCAAAAACACGAAATATCCGTTTACTCAAGATTTTCTTTGAGAGAGTTGATGATACGAGTCCTCTTTGTCAAATTTCTGAGCTTGTTACTAAAATGGGGAATCTAGTTTCTTTTGCTTTAAAACAAACATTACTCAAGAGACAGATGCAGTACTTTGTCATTTCGTGCTAATCCGAAAGCTGCAAGTAATACTATCTCAAAAATGGAAAAATTGTTGTATGTAGGCTTTGGCTGGTTAAATATACAACCATTTAACTGGAGCAATGCATAACCCGCACAAATGTACACCTTCCACCGCATCCGGAACAGCTCTGATCCGGAACGACTCCAATACGGAATGGCAGCGATTTTTGCTGTACGCCAATTCCTACTGGATCTGTTTGTGAGGCGAATTTCGTGGCGGGTTACGGTAAGCAGGAATCGCGAGAGCTCTCAAGAACCCACAGATTCACATGCAATCGCGCAATATCAAGTTGTCTTTAGCCACATGGGCTAACCATATCAGCAGTAGATTGTGTCCTTCCAGAGGAGGAAATCTACATCTAGACTTCTAAAATCAGCATCCTCTCATCCATGGTGTCATCAGGATGAAATGCTGTCTAAAACCTTTCACTTATTTGTCTCTGCCCGTTTGTACGGTGCGAAATACGATCCGCCTGAAACACGGAGTGTTTTATGTTGAAAAGAAGCTGGATGTTTTATTTTGTGTCTGTGCCCAACTTTCTTTCCAGCACAAGTTAATCTGTGCTGAATTTATCCGGCATGCTCCGGCGTCCAGAAAAAACAGAACCCTTGCGATCAGCTGCGGAGTCCGGCGATTTGCAGCGGAACGGAAAGAAGCCAAATTGACACATTGACTTGAATGGTTATGATTAGCTATGATCGGCGGATACGGCCCTTTCATAGCTGTTCCCGATGCGGTGGAAATTGCCAGTAACCTGCAGGATGGACCAAAAGCTAGTAGTGCTGCTAACATCAGCCATATTCTGCTAACTAATTCGGTACTGTTTACCGCTGACTTTGCAGTGCTGTGTTCAGCTGTGTCAAATAAATTCTGCTCAACTTTGAATATTTTCCGAGTGTCTCTTTCTATCCTAACACAACTCAGTCGGTCTGAATTTAAATTTCTACTCGAAGGACCAGGAATGGGATGCTTTGGAACATCACTGATGACCACAAAATTAGTCAAATATAGTGTCTGAAAATTGGTCTCACCTCTCGTCCAGTCAGGACATGTCTTGCCAGCTTCACCTTGGCAAAATTCCCCTTCCCAATAGTCTTGAGGAGGCGATAATTGCCAATATGAGGGTGCTCCTCCGTGGAGGTGAAAGAGTTGCGGCATCGTGGCAGGCTGTGGCGACTTGCAGACTTTGTTGGGGGAACTGGAGGTTCAACAAAGCCGTCCACCGATGAGTGCTGCAAGAGAGCCATACACATAGAGATAAGACACTTTGATTTGCAACAACCATAACACTATATGTCCCTTAACCTCTCAGTATTTCTGTGGAGAAAGTCAGTGAATAGATTCCTTCCTCTTTCTACACTGGCTGCACACGTACAAACTATGCAGCAAAGTGCTGCAGTGGAGATTTGTGTGTGTGCCAAAGCTGGGATATCCTCTGTGCAAACAAAAACGCCATTAAGAGAAATGACTCAGGTGCAAGAAGGGGAGCCAGTAAGCTGAGTCTATAAGTGTGTCTGGGCATATATCAATACATTTTCTGTGTGTGCAAACACACAGAGCATTACCCTGCATGAAGGGGACAAAGATGAGGAGAGAGTCAGGTTTCCTTTCCTCTTTCCTCTGTGACACCTTAACCTCTTAACCCAAAGACCTTATCAGTCACCAGACGAGGTTTGATAACAAAAGAAAGAGAACTCCTTTGACATTGTGCCTTTGTGGAGACCAGAAATACTAATCAGAGCAGAGTCTAAACTTGTAAAAATGTTAGCTGCTCCGTGGCTGAACTAGAAAACAGAAAGTGTCCCTGATACGAGATGTGAAGGTGAATACGTAACAGCCTGGTATAAGTACAACGTTGGCACAGACTGCCCACAGTCCCTGCTGGTCTATCTCCACTCCCCTAGAGCAGCTGCTTATGTCAGTCCAGGTCAGAAATCCCATGATCCTTTGCTCCAGAGCACCACACCCCAGCAAGAGAATAAAGCGTTGGTCTGGTTACCCAGGCTCCCCTGCTCTCATTTCACGGGGGGGAAATGCTACACCCTGCAGGGTGCACATCACCTCAGATATCCCACATCCTGATAGAGAGAGCCACACTGCAGGTTTCAAACACTTCCTGGTGTAACAGTGTTTGTGTGTGTGTGTGTGTGAGTGAGTAGCATCCTTATTTCTAAGAATCCATGACAAAGACAGCTGTGCCCGTGTTGTTGAGGTCAGTGAATATTCAAAACTGACTGTATTCCTTTAATCAAATTTGATTAAAACTGTCAGGTGACCAGTTTGCCCTTCACGCTCGGCATGGCCCCTGATTCGGTAAACAAACTGAGGTGGGCGGTGCATACACAAAGTTTTTTCATCCTCCTATCCATTAACTCTCAACCACTGACCATATATCTTCAGAGATGCCAGACCGATAAAATATAACACACCTGAACAGACACACATAAAAACAAGAAAGCGATGGGAGAGCTTCTCCTATTTTGCTGCACTAAAAGCCACTCGTCTCTCTGAGTAATAAGCTGTTATGCAATGCAGTTCAGCTGCTAGTGGGCCCTGGGGCTGCCTGATGGAGTCAAACAGAGGCAGGCTAGGCTGGCCAGCTACTGCCAGTGCTGCTGAGCTGAGTTTTAATAGCCATCCTGCAGTCTATACCTATGTCTAAGGGAGCTAAAGACGCATCAGACTGTAAAGACAGTCAAGTTAGAGCCCCCTCCTGAGCTGATGCATCACTGAGCAGCAGCAAATAATGATCAGACATGATGTAAAGTTACATTAAGACTCCTTATATAACTTCAGAGGATCATTTTGTAATCTATTTCTATAACCTGAAGATGACGCTGATCCCACATGTCCTTATGCTGGAATAAAAGCCCTATTTTTAAATCTATGAATAACCTTTTAGAGTCTCCTTCTGGCTATTGTTTCTGCTTGTTCTTGTAACACAATCTAATTGGGAGGCTGTAGCCGGTGCCTCATCTTGTTTCCAGGAAAAAAAAAAAAAATCGGACAAACCTAGATATGTCAAAGCCTGTAAGCATACACACAGCAGTCCTGGTCTGGGCTGATCTCAACACAGATACTCCTTTTATTATTATGCTGCTCTTTGTGTGCGCGTGACCGGCAGAGCGCGAGCAGCACTGAAGGGAGGGAGGGGGTGGTCGTTCATAAACATTCCTGCACACACAGTGAATGAGAAATCTGGCTATTTCATCAGCCTGTGAATAAACACATAATCTGTTCGCTACGGTGGCCGAGAAACGCCACTTTTGCAGATTTAAAAAGAATGCAAAAAAAGGAAACCACAACAGAAGTAACTGATGAAAAAAAAAAAAAAAGAAACTGAAGCCCACTGCAAATTAAAAAAAAAAAAAGACACGGTGCAGATAAAAAAAACGAAAAAAAAAAAAAACCCACAACGAAACTTAACAACGCAAAGTGGTAATGCAAAAAAATGCAAAAAAAAAAAAAAGTTACTTACTGCAAAAATAAAAGGATGCAGAAGTAATCAACGCAAAATAAAAATAAAAAGGAAAAAAAAAAGTTACGTGTTTTACGATCAAGCCACAGAAGACGACGGCGAAAAAGACAAGCAAAGAAGTGGAAAGGTTATGGTTAATTTCGCTTCGTAAATGTGTCATTTGGTTAAGCCATGTAGCGCCTGAGTCGATATGAAGTTAAACTGGAGGATGCCTGTGTAGTGTTAGCTTCATATCCACTCAGGCACTACATGGCCTAACCAAATGACACATTGAAAAGTCACCGGTGCATCATCATTATTGGTCCCCAGCAGCTCATTTCCATTGTGGCTTTTTCTAGCTTAATTTCGCTTCATAAACTTTTCAATGTGTCATTTGGTTAGGCCATGTAGCGCAAGAGTCGGTATGTACTTGAACTGAAGCTAACACTACACCGGCATCCTCCAGATCAACTTCATATCGACTCAGGCACTACATTGTCTAACTAAATGACACATTTGAAAGCACACAAAGCAAAATTAAACAGTAACCTTTCCACTTACTTCTTTGCTCGTCTTCTCGCCATCATCTTCTGTGCATAGATCGTAAAACAACATCATTATTGGTCCCCGGCAGCTAACTTCCGTTGTGGCTTTTTTTAGCTGCCGGGGACCAATAATGATGATGCACCGGTGTTTTACAATCTAGGTACAGAAGATGACAGCGAAGGAGGAGCAAAGAAGTTAGTGGAAAGGTTATTGGAGGTTATTGTTTGTTCGATACGAAGTTGATCTGGAGGATACCGGCGTAGTGTTAGCTTCAGTTCAACTTCTCTTATTTGCGTCCTTTTACTTTCATGGTAAGTAACTTTTTTTTTTGCGTCCTTAACTTTCATTGTGGCTCTTTTATCTGCACCGTTTCTTTTCGTAATCAAGCGGGCTTGAGTTTCTTTTTTTTTTTTAAGTTGTGACTTCTTTTTTATTTAACATTCTTTTTTTCATTGTAGCAGTGGCGGTTCTCGGCCACCGTAGTTTTCTGCTCTTCAATGTCGTGGCAGCAGAATGGTGAATAATAACACTCTCCCTCCTCCACCTCCTCTTCTTCCTCCTCCACCTCCTCCTCCTCAGCACTGAGCGTGCAGTTACAACAGGGCCCAATAGGTGATGGATGTCACATTGCGATGCTACCAAGCGTTGCCATTGAAAAGTAGGGCAACATCCTCCCCCACCCTCCCTAAATATTGACGTTGTGAAGCAGAAAATACCTCCAGTTGAATGAGTGGAGCACCATGATTTCCTCCACAGGCCTTTAAAGCAACATTTTAATTCTCCACATTAACATTCAAGCTTCGCATGTATCATTAAAGGCGGCACACTGACGCAGTGCGTTGTTACGGCTAGCCGAGTGGTACACAACAACATGGGCAAACACAACCGAGCTGCACCTCCATTCTGGGTTTTTCTGCGCTTTTTCTCGTCAGAATGGAAAACAGGCTGAGTGCTCATTGATTGGAGAGGCTCTACAACACTAACCACACACAGACACACACACAAAAAGCTCTGCTAAACATGCGCCGAGCAGTGCGCCAAAAAAACAGCCAAATCCCTGCTCGCATTCATCCAGTTCCCACGCCCGCTAACACACCGGCGTGTCTGAGAGGACAACAGCACTTACATTCTCGGTGTCACGCTCGTTCACCGTGGGCAATGGCGTTCTGGTCGACATCTTGTGTGCTTCACAGAGGCCGCTCAGCGATGAAGCGGGCTGGGCAGAGCAGAGCAGACACGGCGCGGCGCGGTGCCTCCGTCCCCTCTCTACATCCCCTGGAAACACCGCAAACAGCGGCCCGGGGGTTTACCGCAGCATAGCGAGCGCAGGGCCCAGCCGACACCACGCCAGATTTTTCCCTTCTCCTCTGCTTTTATTGTTGCACTTCCCCGGCAGGTTGTAGGTAGGCTAGTGTGGCAGACAGAAAAGGAGGAAAGAGAGACTGAGAGGAGGGGGAGAGAGAGAGAGGGAGAGAGAGAGAGAAGGGGGGCAGGCCAGGAAGATGCGTCGGTAACGGACGGGTCTGCGCAGCGCATCTCAAACCTCCCACCAGGAAGGATGGAGGGACCTCTCTCTCTCTCTCTCTCTCTCTCTCTCTCTCTCTCTCTCTTGCACATACACTCCCTTTGTCTCCTCTTTACAGCTCATTATTTGAGTCACCAGAAAACAGTTAAGCTCGCACAGTTGCAACAGTGTCCTTCCTCAGACTGACCCCACATCTCAATGTAGGGCGTGTCCAATTGTCAGTGTTTTTTTTTAAAGCTTGAATACAACAAATGAAACTCAGGTAAGGTGCTTTTTTAAATATCATATTAAAGAATAAAGTGTGACATGATACAGCAGATGTGATATATTCCCTTATTTACTTTTTTTTTACTTCGCTGATTTAACATCTCAGTTTGAATGTATGGTTAAATAGCTGATTTCCCCCTTCCTGTGGGGTCTGGATGTGGTAAACAATGTCCAGATAGAGGCCTAGTTCGTGGGTAAAAGCCTGTGTCCATCACTAAACTTGACAGACTATGCCATCTGTTGGACAATTACAGCATTGCACCCCCTTATTATCTTTCAAGTTACTTATTAATTATTGATTTGAAAAATAATCCTGAGGTATGTTGTTCTGTGTTTTCTTTCTTCTTTATAATGAAAAAAATATACAAGTGATAAAAGCAAAGACAGCACAGACCTGTTTGAAGGCACAACAATAAAACAATAGTGTAAAGCACACAAATATGCACCTATTTAACATACTGTTTGTGACTGCCATGAAGCAGGTGACAAGGACACGAATGCATCAAAATCAAAAAAGCTAGTGCTAGAATTAATTCTTTTAATGATTAATTATTCAAAGGCAATTATTTTTTAATATTAACAGATGTGTACAGAGAAATATTGGAGAAAAAGATACCCTAAAATCAAATCATACCCTTAAGGGACAGTGGTGTCTTATGACTTTTTTTCTAATGCAGTAACCTAGTCAAAATAATTCTGAAATCTTAAAATTTACACTGTATTTTCTTTTTGTCATGAAAGACATGGTGTTTAATTCATATGTTTTTCAACGTGGGGAAAAATTCCAACCACTTCATTAAAACAATTCCAAGAAATGAAATCTTAAATTTGAATTTTGAGGGAGTTTAATGAAACTAAATCTTAAAAAATAGGCCTAATATTTAAAAACAACAACAATGATATATATATAAAAAAAAAAGTAGAAGTAGAAAAAAAACTTGCAATTGATTTCTTGGAAATATAAAACCTAAATAATAATTATTATTTTATAAATATTACTATTATTTGTTGTAATGATGCTGATTGATAATAATTACAATGATAAAATAATTAATTTTATCATTTTATATTATTATTATTATTATTATTATTATTAGTATTGTTGTTGTAATTATTATTAGACAATTGCAATCGTCTCAATAAAAAAATAATGAACAGTTTTCTATTATGAATGAAAAATGGTTGTCAACCATTTTATCTTCGTTTCACCTTCTGCTCTTTGTCAAAATCTCCTTATTTATCCGATTTTATGGACACCTGTGTCAACCAATAAAGATGATGTTGCTGAATATCATTTATTGACTCATTTAAAAATTATTATTTGAAATAAAATCACATTACTGATGAGGGGGCAGGGGTTAGTTGGGGTGTGGTGATGATGGCATGATGTGCAGGATTTTGTGCATGCACAATGTCTCCACTAGATGTCAGCCTGCACCAGCACTACATTGCACATGTGCAGCATCACACACGTGGGGCCTCCATCAAATAAATCCATTGCTCATCCTTTTGCCAGCTGTTATCCTGTTTCCCATAAGTCATGGCTGTTCTGTCGTGTCACATTGGGCAGGGAAACAATTGATGCAACAGCAGTTTAACGTCCATCACTGGGTCTCTTGTGTGAAATGTCTTGTCTTCCTCGTGTCTGCTGTGTTATGGTGGAATTCATGCGGACAGTGCACCTTCCGGTCTGTTCCATGACTGATGGTTTGTCTCACACAGCAGAGAGGCCCCAGCCATAACAATGGACACAGCTTGACATAACGTATCACAATAAGTGATGGATATGAGACCTGAAAGCCACTGAGAATATGAGTCTGGGGTTTTTCTGTGATTTTGAGGAGTTTTGGGGACAACCAGCCTGCTTCTCATCAGCAGAGTCTGGTTAAACATTTCTCAAATGAATTTCCTACCAAAGGTTTTCTCTTAGGAAATTTGTATTTCAGGAGAAAAAGCAGAAAGATACTGTAAGATGGTTCGGCAAAACAAAAACAGAGCCAACAGTGAATCTTGGCATGTAGATGGGCATTTTTGGAATTCTGCATCTGATCCCAGCATGGAACGAGTCCCAGCATAGCAGATTTTATCCTCTCTGAGCCCGAACAACTGGGACCAGCTAAATTATCCCAGCAAGAGACATCCTCTTTCTACTAATAGTGAAATATTTGGCTTTGTTTAGCTGGTGTCTAATTTAGATTTGATAATATTCACACATTTTGGGGGGGATTTGTTCAAAATTCTTAAATTTACACAATAAAATAAATAAAATTCTTAACATATTTGTGTTTATAAGAGTGACAGAGCATTTTAATTGGAGAGGTTTGCAGCTATTGTCAAGGCCTTCTCATAAGCTAAAGTAATGAAGCATTTGAGGAGCACAGTGTTCGTGCCAAGGATTTGCATTCTGTACCTGAGTTGCACCGCTGTGGAATGTAATGGGCACTGACACTGGTTTAATGAGTGCATGTACACCCACGGCCAAATGCAATTACATGCTCTCACAGGCACCCATCAAAAAAGAGGCAGCTGTTAACTGCCATTTATCGTGGATGGTCATGCAGTTAACTGTATTTGCAGGACGGGGGGTGAAAGAAAAGAGTAGACAGAGAAAAAGCAAAAGAGGAGAGGGGGGAGATGGGGATGGGGATGGGGGGAAACTAAAGTCATTATGAGAAAGATAGCACAGTAGCATCTGTCAGCATTGGCACTTTACCACTGCTGTTTTTGCCTGACTCAGTTTCACCAGTGAAAGTCAAGCCACACTTTTCCACTCAGTAACAGTGTTTGCACGCATCCTGCAGAAGTGTGGGAAAAACCATGAACAGCCCCGTCAGGAAGACGGATGTTTTCTACAGTTTTGCATACCCTCATTTACCCCCAGTTCGTGCCTCATTTACACAAGGGCAGTCTGAGAAATCAACTTCTCTGAAAAATTTATGCTTGGCAGGGTGTTTCAGGTACTCTGATGATTGCATAATCTATAAATCTGTCCTGAAACTATTTTCATACACTCATATTTTTTTGCTCTCTTTTTCTGTGTCAAAATCTGAGGCCTACATTACCCAAAATGCACCCTGCAAAAACTTTGCCTCATAGTTTCAGGAGTTTTGGTTATGTTGTTTTAAGTTGCTAACTTCAAGCTGAGGGAAAAGTGTGGGTAACAGAGTTGCAGCAATGTCAGCACATTCAGATCATAGACTGAATAAAACATGGACAGAACAACAGCTACTGCTAGTGAAGCCAAAACTTTGAGAGCTCACCCTGTCAGGCTGAACCATAAAATTTGACCCAATTGCAAAACTCTGGATGGTAATCAAAGTTCATCAGTTTTTTAAATGAAGTTGGCCACACAGGTAAGAGACTATCAGCTGTGCAAGTCCTCGTTAGTATAGTGGACAGTATCTCCGCCTGTCACGCGGAAGACCGGGGTTCGATTCCCCGACGGGGAGACTATTCCTTCTGTGAATTTCCCAGTTTGGGATCAATAAAGTATTATATCTATCTATCTAAGCAGGCAAAAAAACATGTCTGTAAATACTAACACTGGAAAAACCCTTCTGAAACACGAGGAAATGCTGGGATGCTATCATAAAGACACAGGACAAAATGGCAGGGAAGGGAGGGCACAAAGAGAACATGTACTCTGGGTTTACAAGACACAGGAGAAACACAAGACCGAGTTCATATGATGGCAGGTATTTTTAAAGGCATGTTTTTTTTTCCTCCTGCATTGTGGCCTTATGTTTACACATGAACAGAGTTTTGGGTTCCTGCAAACAGATGTTTTGGATATACCCTCTCAGGAGTAGATTTAAAATCACTCAGTTTAGTCAGTGATCATGTGGAAAGTGAAAACAAAAGTTTTGTGAAACTCTGATGTCATGACCTTAACTTGTGGATGCGCAATGATGCCAGGCTACCAGTTTGCTTGTGTGCTCTGTACTGTTTGGTTTACCTCAATGTTTACATAAAAACCTTTTGGTTGCTCATCATTATGCAAAGACAGAGGGGTGAATACTTACAGTATATCATGCTCGGTAGTTTTAATATACCACTCCAAAAACTGTTTGAAAAGGCTACTAACAACTGCAGATTTCTTCTGTTCTACTGTTCAAATGTTCTTCTGTAGAGTTTGATATGACAGACTGACAGACTTCTACATTGCTGCCACCTATTGGCCTGGCATGCTTACATGCACATATAAACTGTTCCTGTATTGATAGGATTATTTTCCAACACACTGACCCACGTGTGGACTATGCCACAGACATTGGAATACGTAAAACATAAAATACATACAAGGAAACTCACCAACCAGGAGATGTAACACTCCCTGTGATGAGCTGCAGTTTGCGTCCTAAAAACAGGCAAGACTTCAGATAAATATTCCTCAAACCTATAATGAGAGTTATATCTTATCCTGCTTGTTTATGTTTAAGTGTTTGATGTTGAAATGGCCCCTTTAGTTAGAGTAGTAGGTGTGACGTCAATCACAGTGTTTTATCTTTCTTACATGCCTCGAATTGACCAAAACGATATATTAGCAGCAGATGACCTCTGTGACCTTCAGGTTTTCAATAGTGCTTGGCCAACTCATTATTGCACGATTCAAGTAACATGCAAACATGACCAACTCAAACAGTCACTGTCGAAGACTGAAATCAGCGTTTTTATTTACTTCTGTCCAAACTCATGTTGCAGTGTTATCATTACACCGGTTATCAACTTCATTTAAAGGCATGAAAAGGTGCTACAAATAAAAAGTCATCAGCAAACATTCCTG